AGGCTACGCGCGAATGTGTATTTGGCTACCCGACAATGAAAGAAAGTTGAAAACCAATAGAACATGAGAGAAATAAGCTACTGATTTCAAATGCATATGGAAGTCTGTGTAAAATAATTGCCTCCGCGGATATGGTCAGATTTTGCGTAGGCTACTTTTAAACAATTAAGCAGCTATATGTTTTCAAAATGTGTACTTCTCAAGCTCATTGCAAAGTGTTGTGTGACTCGCAGATGTAGCCTGCCTTCTGTTGTTGCCTATGCATTTGAATGGGGAATGGGAAGCACGATTCAATTACCAGTTGAGAAATACAAATATTATCTATTTTTAATCATGGCCTAAAAAACTGTTCTCAACACATGATTGCATTTAGAATTGTTGCGCAATGATTGGGCTTATAAAAGCGCTGTCCGACAGATTTTCTGCTAAATGGCTCTGTATTGGTATGCTGTGCATGTGATAAATAAGATGCATAACAAATATACCACTCCCAATTTAATTCCACAAAATTATGCAAATGAACCCGTAGACCAATAAGCATGAGGGGTCAAATGTATTTGCATCAACTGGTATTTTCATAAATGAATAGGCTAAAAAGCATTATTTCGCAATAGGATCTTTTTTCTTCTCCCAGACAATTGGCGGTGCCAATTTTATTTATCTGCTTTTCAACAAAAATTGCCCAAAAGCCGGTTACCGGCTAACAGAGGGTGGAGATCCTGCCCCTAATGGCACTTGCCAACCCTGGAGGATGGGAGGAAGTGTGTGTCTGCATGTTCGTGTGTGTGACATGCATTTAGGGAAACAAAAGGCGTGCATCTCTCTCTTGCATGCCTCCTCTCTCACATATACACCACTGAGTCTCCTCCTGAATATTTCACACCACAAAGCTTTCCTTCTTATGTCATTTACAAAATAGCCTCCAACACTCTACTCAGCAAATTGGATGTAGTCTATCACAGTGCCATCCGTTTTGTCTCCAAAGCCCCATACACTACCCACCACTGTGACCTGTACGCTCTTGTTGGCTGGTCCTCACTACATGTTCGTCGTCAAACCCACTGGCTCCAGGCCATCTATAAATCACTGCTAGGTAAATCCCCGCCTTATCTTAGCTCATTGGTCACCATAGCAGCACCCACCCGTAGTCTGTGCTCCAGCAGGTATATCTCACTGGTCATTCCCAAAGCCAACACCTCCTTTGGCCGCCATTCCTTCCAGTTCTCTGCTGCCAATGACTGGAACGAATTGCAAAAATCTCTGAAGCTGGAGACTCTTATCTCCCTCACTAACTTTAAGCATCAGTTGTCAGAGCACCTTACCGATCACTGCACCTGTACACAGCCCATCTGAAATTAGCCCACCCAACTACCTCATCCCTATATTGTTATTTATTTTGCTCTTTTGCACCCCAGTATCTCTATTTGCACATAATCTCTTGCACATCTAGCATTCCAGTGTTAATACTAATTGTAATTATTTTGCACTATAGCCTATTTATTGCCTTACCTCCATAACTTGCTACATTTGCACACACTGTATATATATTTTCTGTTGTATTTTTTGACTTTATGTTTTTTACCCCATATGTAACTCTGTGTTGTTGTTTTTATCGCACTACTATGCTTTATCTTGGCCAGGTCGCAGTTGTAAATGAGAACTTGTTCTCAACTGGCTTACCTGGTTAAATAAAGGTTAAATAAAAAATTAATAAAAAATTAACTCCCTGAATCCTCCCTCACAACAAACATGGAGACCAGCTCACAAGAGTGCCAGTTTTAAAACACAACCATTCGCTCCTTTCCCTAACCTTTGAAATGAGCAGAAATGAAGGGTGTGTGAGTTGAAATTATGTTCTCTTCCTATTGAAACTCATCTGAAAATCGAGGACAGTTACATTTTTATCTCTTGATCTTAATGACATCACCAGCCAATTCTATATTAACCCCCAAAAACTGCGTAACGTTAGCTAACAATTATTACATACATCTATTAATAGGATTGGCTACACTTCCATAATTACAAGCTAGCTAGTTATCATGGAGGTTTCTCTGACAATCTGATGAGAATCTGAGGAACATATGTACCTTGTTGTAACTTGTCACTCTGATCTTAAAAGTAGCTTGTCAGATGTTTTTTTTATTTTTTTTATTTTTTTTATGGCGGGAACGGTGCACCGCTGCTAAATGAAAATAGGTGAAACACTGACTCTACAGGAGAGACTGATAGTCATAATTCTGGTCACATTTTAGTCTGTTGTAACAGGATTGTAACCTCAGTAGAAGGGCTGCTAGATGTGTGTGTTAGTATGCTGTTTGGATGAGTCCATTACAGAGGGGGGGTGGTGGTGGTTGTGGGTGGTCAGGATGGGTCCATTAGGTGATTTGGGGAGGGGTGAGTGTCATAAACCAACCCTATTAGTGTTTATTTATTTAGCTGGACATGCTGTCTGCACCTGGGGCTCACACAGATCGATGGAGGGAGAAATTAAAGCGGAGAGTGGAAGGAGAAGAGAAGGAATACGAGTCCCCTGGGAGAGGAAAGGAGACCACATCATTGTAATGAAGGGAGATAGAGATGGAGAGAGAGAGGGAAATATATTTATAGAGAAAGCAATAGAGAGATAAAGATGTACAGTATCGAGAACAACAACACACTACTGTAACACACAGTAGGCGAGGGAAGAGAGATAAGAGGGCAATTTAAGAGGTCTCTAGAGATGGAGAGAGCACCAGGGAGAGGAATAGAGGATGGGGAATGGGATCTGAAATGACAGTGTTGGCTGTGACATTGTGACCCTGTTATTAGGAGTTATTAGGAATGATGGCATGATCCTGACACACACACAAGATAACCATATTCCCTGCAAGGGCAAAGGGCATGACGGGTCAATAGTTATCAGCTTTGATCTCAGATGATGCTTCGACCTTTGACCTTAATTAACTTTTTTGTTCTGTATGAGCTAATGTATGCATCGACCATGTGATCGCGCTAACGTAAGGAGTATAGAGTAAACAAGGAGAAGCTAGGAGGGATGACTAGCTGTATGTCTGTCATTGCTGGATGGTTGATGGTTAGAGGCAAGCCTGAGTCTCTACTTCAATAGAGCCATTCCTGATGGGTCAATCTAATTTACTAGCTCTCTCCCCTCTTCTACATCCTCAGACTGCTCATCTGTAGACCAGCACTGATCACTCTGGAGAAAACATACTTTAATAATGTTTACATACTGTTTTACCCACTTCTGTGTATATACTGTTTTCTAGTTAAGGCTTATCCTATATAACTACTGCTGTACATACCTTTCCTATTCATGCAGTGCATTCGGAAATTATTCAGACCCCTTCCCTTTTTCCACATTTTGTTATGTTACAGCCTTATTCTAAAATTGATTCAATTATTTTCTTCCTCACCAATCTACACACAATACCCCATAATGACAAAGCGAAAACAGGTGTTTAGAAATGTTTCTTTACATAAGTATTCAGACCCTTTGCTATGAGACTCGAAATTGAGCTTAGGTGCATCCTGTTTCCATTGATCATCCTTGAGATGTTTCTACAACTTGATTGGAGTCCACCTGTGGTAAATTCAATTGATTGGACATGATTTGGAAATGCACACACCTGTCTATATAAGGTCCCACAGTTGACAGTGCATGTCAGAGCAAAAACCAAGCCTTGAGGTCAAAGGAATTGTCCATAGAGCTCCGAGACAGGATTGTGTCGAGGCACAGGTCTGGGGAAGGGTAGCAAAACAATTCTGCAGGATTGAAGGTCCCCAAGAACACAGTGGCCTCCATCATTCTTAAATGGAGGTAATTTGGAACCACTAAGACTCTTCCTAGAGCTAGCTACCTGGCCAAAGTGAGCAATCGGGGGAGAAGGGCCTTGGTCAGGGAGGTGACCAAGAACCCGATGGTCACTGACAGAGCTCCTGAGTTCCTCTGTGGAGATGGGAGAACCTTCCAGAAGGGCAACCATCTCTGCAGCACTCCACCAATCAGGCCATTATGGTAGAGTGGCCAGATGGAAGCCACTCTTCAGTAAAAGGCACATGACAGCCCGCTTGGAGTTTGCAAAAAGCCACCTAAAGGACTCTCAGACCATGAGAAACAAGATTCTCTGGTCTGATGAAATCAAGATTGAACTCTTTGGCCTGAATGCCAAGCGTCACATCTGGAGGAAACCTGGCCTACGGTGAAGCATGGTGGTGGCAGCACCATGCTGTGGGGATGTTTTTCAGCAGCAAGGACTGGGAGAGTAGTCAGGATTGAGGGAAAGATGAACGGAGCAAAGTATAAAGAGATCCTTGATGAAAACCTGCTCCAGAGCGCTAAGGAAGGTTCACCTTCCAGCATGACAACGACCCTACGCACACAGCCAAGACAATGCAGGAGTGGCTTCGGGACAAGTCTCTGAATGACCTTGAGTGGCCCAACCAGAGCCCGGACTTGAACACGATCAAACATCTCTGGAAAGACCTGAAAATAGCTGTGCAGCAACGCTCCCCATCCAACCTGACAGAACTTGAGAGGATCTGCAGAGAAGAATGGGAGAAACTCCCCAAATACAGGTGTGCCAAGCTTGTAGCGTCATACCCAAGAAGAATCAAGTCTGTAATCGCTGCCAAAGGTGCTTACAACAAAGTACTGAGTAAAGGGTCTGAATACTTATGTAAATGTTATATTTCATTTTTTTATATTAGTAAACATTTCTAAAAACCAGTTTTTGCTTTGTCATTATGGGGTATTGTGTGTACATTGATGAGGGAAAAACAACAACAATTGAATCAATTTTAGAATAAGGCTGTAATGTAACAAAATGTGGAAAAAGTCAAGGGGTCTGAAAACTTTCCGAATGTCTCCACAGCCTATCTATACACACCATTATATGTATTTATATATATATATTCCGGACTCTGACATTGCTCGTTCTGATATTGACCATTTGCTTTAGTTTCTCTCTCTCTCCTCCCCCCTCTCTCTCTTCCCCCCTCTCTCAGATCGGTGTGATGACGGTGACAGTGTTCCCAGTGCGGTTGTTCTTTGCTGTGCTCCTCATGCTGATGGCCTGGCCCTTTGCCTTCGCTGCCTCTCTGGGACGATCTGAACTGGCTGTGGAGACAGAGACCTGGTGGAGGAGGTACGCGTGTCAGTATGTGAGTGAGCGAGTGACAGAAAAACATTAGGAACACCTGCTCTTTCCATGAGACTGACCAGGTGAATCCAGGTGAAAGCTATGATCCCTTATTGATGTCACCTGTTAAATCCACTTCAATCAGTGTAGATGAAGGGGAGGAGACAGGTTAAAGAAGGATTGTTGAGCCTTGAGACATGGATTGTTTATGTATGCCATTCAGAGGGTGAATGGGCTAGACAAAAGATTTAAGTGCCTTTTGAACGGGGTATGGGTAGTAGGTGCCAGACGCACCAGTTTGAGTGTGTCAAGAACTGCAATGCTGCTGGCATTTTCATGCTCAACAGTTTCCCGTGTATATCAAGAATGGTCCACCACCCAAAGGACATCCGGCCAACTTGACAGAACTGTGGCAAGCATTGGAGTCAACATGGGCCAGCATCCATGTGGAACGCCTTTGACACCTTGTATTCATACCCCAACGAATTGAGGCTGTTCTGAGGGCAAAAGGGGGTGCAACTCAGTATTAGGAAGGTGTTTCTAATGTTTTGTACACTCAGTGTATAAAATGAATGACACACCTGATAATGACATCACAACCACTTGTGGAATATTTGTAGAAGGTTTGGATACGATTGTCATTGTGTCAGGGCAAACACACACACACACACAACAGGACGTAATTGCAAACAAGTCTTCATTTACTTACCTGTATAAATAAAGGTTAAATAGAAAATAAACACACACACCCTCAACCAGTCTCTCTCTCCTACAGAATCTGTGACATAGCCCTGAAGGTGATCATGCGTGCCATGTGGTTCTGTGGAGGGTTCCATTGGGTGACGGTGAAAGGGGAACCGGCCCCGCCCTCGCAGGCGCCCATCCTCACCCTGGCCCCTCACTCGTCTTACTTCGACGCCATCCCAATCACCATGACCATGGCCTCTATCGTCATGAAGACCGAGAGCAAGAACATCCCTGTCTGGGGCAGTGAGTAGTCTTCCTCATCTTCATCTCTCTCTCATCTTCATTAAATACCATTGTCTTCCTCACCTCTCTTTCTCTCCTTCTCTCTGCCTCTTCCCAAATTTTCAGGCCTTTTCAGTCTGTCTCACTGTCCAGGGAAGTGTGTACTCTTCATCTTCAGTCTCTCTCTCTCGTACCACAGTCTTCCTCACCTCTCTCTCTTTCCCGGTCTGTCTATCTTCAGTCTCTCTCTCTCTGGTACCATAGTCTTCCTCATTTCTCTCTGTGTATGTCTCAAAATGCATACTACCGTGCTACAAGCACGCAAATTGGAGCACAGGAGGGTCGGAGTATGAGTCCAAATCAAAGTATGTGAAACGGAGCATGGAAAGCACTTCTCGGATGCGTACTCCGTTTGTACATATTTTGAAGCATGCATCGATGCACAAGCTTCAACGGAATGTATGCAAAGAAATATGACGCAACCACTTAAAAAAGGATGCAAAATTTGTTGAAATCAATGGCGGCCATTATTTGAGCGGAAGCGAGAGAAAATGCACTCCGACTTGGTAATGAAATGTTGCCTATTCACATCTCATATGTTGCCTGACTACAAAATGTTATCTTGATACGTAAATAAATACATGCTGTTAATTTTGGCATGTTTACCTGCCTACGTACTGTAGATCGCAAGCCCATAATAAGTCAATAGGGCTAACTGACTAGCTACTACTTGTGCTAGCCAGATAGCCACAAATAATTGTTAGCTAGCTACCCACGAATAATTAACTTCTGTCTTGCATATTATTAGTTTTAGGTCATTTTTGCCTCTTAAACTATCTGGTTAGTTACATTATTATGATTCACATATAGCTAGCTGATAGTTATGAAGTAAAACGGTTACTTTGTGTATATCTTGTATCGTCTATTGTTGCCATTGTCCTGGCTGGAAGAAGGTTCAGTGAATGGGGAGGTGAAGCGTGGGATAATACAGTAGGGGGAGTGCTTCTCAAATGTAATGTTTTATGCATTCTCCACACTCTCGCCCTCACAAGATTGTACTCAAGAGAACGTTGTCGGAGAATGCACTCGAAGCAGGAGAGTGTGGAGTACGGTAGTATGCATATTGAGAAACACCCTCTGTCTCCGTCAGGGGCGGTGAGAACCATAGTCTTCTGAAAGATACTGACTGATGTGTGTTAGTGAGGGTATTTGAGTGGACATGAAGAGGGAGGGAGGAACAGTATGAGGGGGAGAGGTGGTGAGACCAGGTGTTAATGATGAGCATATTCTCGTTATATTCTCATTATAACATTATTATAGTTTGAATGTTATAATGCTGTGCTAATCACTAATCTCTCTCTTTCCCTCCCTCTCTCTTTATCTCCATCTCTCTCCCTCTTTCTCTCTCCCCCTTCCCCCACCTCCCCCTCTCTCCCCACTGTCTTTCCCTCATCCCCCTCCTACCCCTTCTGTCTCTCCCTCCCCCTGCCCCACTAGCTCTGATAAAGTTCATAAGGCCAGTGTTCGTTTCGCGGTCGGACCAGGATTCTCGTAAGAAGACGGTCGAGGAGATCAAACGCAGAGCCCAAGCTGGAGGGGAGTGGCCTCAGGTAACACACACACACACACACTGCCCTGGTTGGGTTGTTAACGTAAAGACCAACCTTCCTCAATCTTGTAAGTCAAATTCAATGTACTGTGTGTTTAGGTAAGACAGGATGTAGCTAAATCTAATAAACAATGTGTTTTGTTTTCTGCTGTTGCCATGCTAACTCTGTGATGGCAAAAACAGCTTAAACGATGTCTATACCTCCGTGTGTGTGTTCACAGATAATGATATTTCCAGAGGGGACGTGTACCAACCGATCCTGCCTCATCACATTCAAGCCTGGTATGTGTTTTTCTTTATGCTGACCAGACCCTCTGTCTGTCTGTCTCGCTGTCTGTCTGTCTCGCTGTCTGTCTCTGTCTCACTGTCTGTCTCTCACTCTCTCTCTCTCTCTCTCTCTCGTCCTTTCTCTCTCTCATTGCTAATGTTTGCATTACAGAGGCTCAGTGGGGTTTGAAAATAGCGCCCCTTGTGCCTGTCACTGTGTGTGTGCCTGTGTGCCTGTGTGTGTGTGTTTTGAATGCGCACTTCCATGTGTGTGTATTTCTGTCTGTGTGTGCGTGTCTCTGTTCTGTGCGTGTCTGTTCTGTGTGTGTGCGTGTCTGTTCTGTGTGTGTGCGTGTCTGTTCTGTGTGTGTGTGTCTCTGTTCTGTGTGTGTGTGTCTCTGTTCTGTGTGCGTGTCTCTGTTCTGTGTGTGTGTCTCTGTTCTGTGTGCGTGTCTCTGTTCTGTGTGTGTGTGTCTCTGTTCTGTGTGTGCGTGTTGGCTGTGTGTGCGTGTTGTCGCTTTGTGTGTGTGTTCCCACTGTAGTGACCCCTCTTCATTGTGGCTGTCCCCACAGAGTAATCCCTTCTGTTCCACCCCAATGTCACTGTCCTGTCCCCATAAGCCATGCTTTTCTAACCCTGTCCCCACCCTGTCCAGTTAAGCTACATTCTGGGAATCGAAAAACAACAAAATGGTGTCCTCGCCATTTCTTATGGTATACAGCTGAGGGATGGGGCTAGGGAAATGTAACCACACTCAAGTTCATAGACAGTGCTCCAGATGCAAGGAAAGACAACATATATTTTGAAGCTATACATTGTTTACATTGTTGTTTGTAAACAATGGAGTAACAAATTCTTATCTTTTGGGTTATGACAAAGGTAAATAGTTAGATATACAGTACCAGTCAAAGGTTTGGACACACCTACTAATTCAAGGGTTTCTCTTTATTTTTACTATTTTCTACATTGTAGAATAATAGTGAAGAGTTCAAAACTATGAAATAACATGTAGTAACCAAAAAAGTGTTAAACAAATCAAAATATAATTTAGATTTTAGATTCTTCAAAGTAGCCACCCTTTGCCTTGATGACAGCGTTGCACACTTTTAATATTCTCTCAACCAGCTTCATGAGGAAGGCTTTTCCAATAGTCTTGAAGGAGTTCCCACATATGCTGAGCAATTGTTGGCTGCTTTTCCTTCACTCTGCGGTCCAACTCATCCCGAACCATCTCAATTGGGTTGAGGTCGGGAGATTGTGGAGGCCAGGTCATCTGATGCAGCACTCCATCACTCTCCTTGGTCAAATAGCCCTTACACAGCCTGGAGGTGTGTTGGGTCATTGTCCTGTTGAAAAACAAATGATAGTCCCACTAAGCGCAAACCAGATAGGATGGCGTATCGCTGCAGAATGCTGTGGTAGCCATGCTGGTTAAGTGTGCCTTCTAAATAAATCACAGACAGTGTCACCAGCAAAGCACCCCCACACCATCACACCTCCTCCTCCATGCTTCACGGTGGGAACCACACATGCGGAGATCATCCTTTCACCTACTCTGCGTCTCACAAAGACACGGCGGTTGGAACCAAAAATCTCAAATTTGGACTCATCAGACCAAAGGACAGATTTCCACCGGTCTAATGTCCATCGCTCGTGTTTCTTGGACCAAGCAAGTCTCTTCTCATTATTGGTGTCCTTTAGTAGTGGTTTCTTTGCAGCAATTCGACCATGAAGGCCTGATTCACGCAGTCTCATCTGAACAGTTGATGTTGAGATGTGTCTGTGACTTTTTATTTGGGCTGCAATCTGAGGTGCAGTTAACTCTAATGAACTTATCCTCTGCAGCAGAGGTAACTCTGGGACTTCCTTTCCTGTGGCGGTCCTCATGAGAGCCAGTTTCATCATAGCGCTTGATGGTTTTTGCGACTGCACTTGAAGAAACGTTCAAAGTTCTTGAAATGTTCCGTATTGACTGACCTTCATGTCTTAAAGTAATGATGGACTGTCATTTCTCTTTGCTTATTTGAGCTGTTCTTGCCATAATATGGACTTGGTCTTTTACCAAATAGGGCTATCTTCTGTATACCCCCCCCCACCTTATCACAACACAACTGATTGGCTCAAACGCATTAAGAAGGAAAGAAATTCCACAAATTAACTTTTAACAAGGCACACCTGTTAATTGAAATGCATTCCAGGTGACTACCTCATAAAGCTGGTTGAGAGAATGCCAAGAGTATGAAGAATGTATGCACTCACTAACTGTAAGTCACTCTGGATAAGAGCGTCTGCTAAATGACTAAAATGTAAGAGTGTGCAAAGCTGTCATCAAGACAAATGGTGGCTACTTTGAAGAATCTAAAATATAAAATATATTTTGATTTGTATAACACCTTTTTGGTTACTTCATAGTTTTGATGTCTTCACTATTATTCTACAATGTAGAAAATAGTAAAAAATTAAGAAAAACCCTGAAATGAGTAGGTGTGTCCAAACTTTTGACTGGTACTGTAGTTAAATATCAAGAGTTGAATTGCCCACTGAAAGTTTTCCCAACTGTCAGACTGGAGCTGTAAATCCCTGTTTATCTAACCCTGTTCCTGTCTGTGGAGTATTGCCCCTTTAAACCCCGCTGTTAGTTTAACTCTGGGTTGTGTTAGTGTGTCTGTACCAAATCCATCTTCATTTATACAGCACATTTCAGACATGCAATACAATGTTCTTCACAGGAAAAAACAAATAAAAACAATGAAAATATAATGAAATATTTACTACACAACATAAGAGGATAAAAAACAAAAGAATAACAATAAAACTGAACGACTAAAAAGCAACCTAAGGAAAAGCAAAGCCAAAAAGGTATGTTTTAAGATCTCTTTTAAATATGTCCACAGCCTCGGCCTCCCTCAGGTTCTCTGGCAGGCTATTCCAGAGGCTGGGGGCATAATAACTAAAGGCTGCTTCTCCATGCCTCTTGGTCCCAGGCCAGTGCTAGAGGACCTGAGGGACCTACTGGGTACATAACTTTAAAAGCAGGTCTGACATGTATTGGGATGCACAATCGTGGATTGATTTAAATACCAATAGAATAACACCTAGGTTTTTTACCTGGTGTTTTACCTTTATTGCCCGTGAATTAAAATGTGCGGCCAGATTCTCTCACTGTGCTTTGGCTCCAACAATAAGTACCTCGGTCTTGTCTTGATTTAGCTGTGCAATGTGTCTCCTCTTGTTTAGTCCTCTCACTGGCTCTCTGCAAAACAGCCCTGTCATACAGTATGTCTCAATCATATTTCAGCTTCCCTTCTCTTTCTTTCCTGAATTCCCTCATCTCTTCCTCTCTGCTGTACTAAAATGGCTCTCCAACAAGTCGCTCTCACACAGACCTTCACATGCATCTCTCTCTCCCTCTTTCTCTATCCCCTCTTTCTTTCTCTCGCCCCTCTCTCCTCCTCATCCCTTTCTCTCTCCATACTCCTACATAATCATCCAGTCATAACTCCTACAGTATCCTAGTGGTAATGGTCCCATTGCACCGAGAGGTCAGGGTGGTCTCCGGCAGTGTCATGACCAGGCTGTACTACTGAATAATACTGTAACCATTAACACAGGCTTTTGACGTTTTGTGTCCCCAGGGTGAAGGTTGTCAGAACATCAGTCATCTTACACACACACACACACACACACACACACACACAAGGGAGCACACACACTCAGAAGGTTGTCAGAATGTCAGTCATCCACTGAGTATGAATTAGGCTTGGGCGGTGTCCAGATTGTCATACCTTCATACCAACCTTGTGCCATCTCAGGTTATTCGGTAATAGCGGCATTGAACACAAGGGGCACTGTTTTCAAACCCCACTGAGCCTCTGTAATGTGAAGGTTAGCAATGCTAACAAGTACATGTAAAATCCCATGGTGAATGCTAGTTAAATGCTAACGAGCTCATTGCGAACATTCTATACAGTCTCTGACAAACTATTTGCAAGGCAGACATCCCAGCTCATAACGTTATACAAGTAACTCAAAAATGCTACTCAGTTTGCTGTACACACAAAACAAATATTAGACAGCAAGGCTCTTGAAATGAAGAACGCCATCTGCTTATCTCCTAACACAAGTTGACTGCAGGTATTTATACTGAACAAAAATATAAACTCAACATGTAACAATTTCAATGATTTTACTGAGTTACAGTTCATATAAGGAAATCAGTCAATTGAAATTAATATATTAGGCCCTAATATTTGGATTTCACATGACTGGGTAGGGGCGCAGCCATGGGTGGGCCTGGGAGGGCATAGGCCCACCCACTTGGGAGCCAGGCTAACCCACTGGGGAGCAAGGTCTAGCCAATCAGAATGAGTTTTTCCCCCCACATAAGGGCTTTATTACAGACAGAAGTACTCCTCAGTTTCATCGGCTGTCCGGGTGGCTGGTCTCAGACGATCCCGCAATTGAAGAAGCCGGATGTGGAGGTCCTGGGCTGGTGTGGTTACACGTGGTCTGCGGTTGTGAGGCCAGTTGGACGTACTGCCAAATTCTCTAAAATGACATTGGAGGCAGCTTATGGTAGAGAAATTAACATTCAATTCCCTGCCAACAGCTCTGGTGGACATTCCTGCAGTCAGCATGCCAATTGCACGCTCCCTAAAAAATGTAGACATCTGTGGCATTGTGTTGTGTGACAAAACTGCACATTTTAGAGTGGCTTTTTATTGTCCTAGGGCTGTCTCAATCTTGGTCGACCTAGTCGTCTGTTTTTTCGACACTCTTCCTCCTACTGCTGCTGGCCTTCGCAGATTCTGCTGTTACGCTTCTGCTTTTACACTACGAACAGGCTACCATTTGGAGTGCCGATCTATCTTACCATTTCTACCGATCTGTGTGCCAGTTATGATTTTTATGTGCACATTTTCGTGGAACAGTTTCATTTAATTTATAATAAAGTATTTGTATCTCAAAATCATTATCATGTGATTAATAAAAATTCTAAAAGTAACTTCTATTGCCATTGCCAACTATGTAAAAATAGCCTACATAAATCCAACAAATAAAAACATTGCAGCCTGCAGGTAGAAAATATCTTGATAAAAATAAATATCCTATAAATCACATTGGCTACGCATGGCCTGTCTGCAAGGAACTTGAAACATTGTGTAAACTATTAACTTGGGTCCAGCTTGAAGCTTGCACTAGCAAACTTGCAACATTGTAGTGGCGCAGTGGTCTAAGGCACTGCATCGCAGTGCTAGCTGTGCCACTAGAGATCCTGGTTTGAATCCAGGCTCTGTCGTAGCCGGCCGCGACCGGGAGACCCATGGGGCGGCGCACAATTGGCCCAGCGTCGTCCAGGGTAGGGGAGGGAATGGCCGGCAGGGATGTAGCTCAGTTGGTAGAGCATGGCGTTTGCAACGCCAGGGTTGTGGGTTCGATTCCCACGGGGGGCCAGTATGAAAAAATAAAATAAAATAATGTATGCACTCACTAACTGTAAGTCGCTCTGGATAAGAGTGTCTGCTAAATGACTTAAATGTATAAAATATTCTGGGCTCTCAGTTTCCTGCTCCGGACAGACATAGCTGTAGGCTATTTGCGCAAGGGATAAGAAATAATAAGGTAGGCCTATTTTATGACATTTCCACCGGATCAGAGCGTGACATTTTTTTCCCCCTTTTCACACTGAGTGGTTATCGAAAGAGAGCTGGAAAGATTTTTCAAATAGGCTAAGTTGAGGAACTATTGTCATTCTCAATGGATGTAAAAACAGACTTCGTTTACTTGCTGTTTGAGGTGAAGAAATTATTACTTTGAGAAGTGAGTTAAGACAATCAGAAATACTATCAGATCTCCAAATGGGCACATTTATAGGCCTACATTTGCATGCAGGAATCAGGTCCTTACTCAACATTGACAGGAGCGCTACAAACAAATTACAATGAATAAATTGACAACTCCTAAATGGAATGAAATAAACCAAAACTTGTTCCTCACAAGTGTAGCCTAGGTTGTGCAGTCCGCAAACAGCGTGTCCCCTCAACAAAGAGAACGGTAAAAGACTGTAATAAGAATATATTGAATGCATTAACAGAAATTACTATAACCAAACAAACATTGTAGATTAGAAATTATGGGAATTAACGGGAAACGTACTACTGGTGATACAGGTGTGCCATCCCCGCAGCCTCCGCAATGGATTAGTCTACTGAGACAGGTGTGAATCAGACCGACTAACAGCCTATCGACCAAACAATCGACCAGTCGACTAAATGGGGTCAGTCCTATATTGTCCACAGTACAAGGTGTACCTGTGTAATGATCATGCTGTTTAATCAGCTTCTTGATATGCTACACCTGTCAGGTAGATGGGTTATCTTGGAAAAGGAGAAATGTTCACTAACAGGTATGTAAACAAATGTGTGCAAAAAAGCTTTTAATGCGTATGGAACATTTCTGGGATCTTGTTTTTCAGCTCATGAAACATGGGACCAACACTTTACATGTTGCGTTTATTATTTTGGTCAGTATACTTAAAAAGTACCTATAAATATTCACATTTATTAAAAAACTTCAAAGAAATGGTTTAACAGTATTGACGGTATTGAAAAACCATCCCGTGGCTATTTCCAAATACCCCGGTATACGGTATACACGGTAGAGTATGAATATGCTCACACAGACGCGCACACACACAAATACGCACAGACACACACTCACACTCACTCAGTAACCCTTCTCTCTCTCCTCAGGGGCCTTCATCCCAGCAGTCCCAGTCCAACCAGTAGTCCTACGTTACCCCAACAAACTGGTAAGCATACAACTAAACTCTCCCTCCTTCCCTCCCTCCTCTCCTCCAAACCACCCTCTCTTCATTCCTACTATCCTTCCCTTTCTTTACATACCTATCCTTCCTTCCCTTCTTCTCCCACTCTCTCTCCCTCCCTCCGTTGACAGTTTCTCTCTTCTCACGGCGTGAGTCTGTCTGTGTCCATGCTGAGTGGTATTTCATCTCTACATTGTCGTCCTCTACTCTTTTCCTTTAATAGCACAAAATAACTGAAAAAGTAAAAGCAAGTCTCAAATAGACGATCCCTAGTTGCTTTCACTTGTACAGTGTTTTCAGACCAGTGCAGACGAAGGAGGGGGAGAGGAAGCCACTGTAGAGTATTGAGATGTAGCCTCTGTGTAGGCATCAGTCCTGCTGTGTGTAACTCATTTATGCCATGAACACGCTGGGATTTTGTGTTCGAGTATTTTAGATGGAGCCAATGCTTTTTCAATGGGAGTTATCTGTTGTCGGATGAATGACAGCGTAGATTGTCTGACAGAAAATGCACAAATGGTCCGTCTTTTGACAGATACAAATAGTTTACTTGTGTTGTACTTTTGACGGACAAAAACGGACAATGATGTACGTCATATACGATTTGATCCCTATTCATGTGTCTCAGTGTGTCTCTGGCCCGCGGAGGAGGAGAGGAAGCCAGTGTAAAGTATTGAGATGCAGCCTCTGTGTAGGCCCCCAGTCCTGCTGTGTAACTCCCTTCCTCTTTCAACAGGATACGATCACATGGACATGGCAAGGTCCTGGAGCGTGAGTATCTCTTCCTCATTTTTTTTCATCTCTCTCTGGCTTTTCTTTCTCTCGGTCTCTTCTCTCTCTCTATCTCTCTCTCTCTCTGTCTGACCTAGTCTCTTTCTCTTTCCATTGCTGTTTCTCTCTCTTAGGGTGTTTTCAAATATAGTCCCCTTTAAAATAACCGATCTCAGTCCTCTTTAAAGTGAACTCTGGGGTACCAAAAAATAGCAAAAGAACTCAAATGTCTTTGTATTCACACTGCCCTTGCCTTTGAATGAGGACTCAACTATTTTGCCAGTTCACTTCACCTATTTTGTGGACCAAGTCTTCTTTGCATTCACATTGCTATGTTTAGAAAGGAACCAAGATCTTTGTCCAACATGCACTCTGTGTTTTTACAAAGTGCAGGACTAGCCATTCAATCAGAATGTGTTATCGGACAGCTAGATATACCTACTTACATTTTGGAAAGCTAATAGATTGCATTTAGTTAAAATATGAGACAAAATAATTGTAATCAGAAGATACTATTAACATGTCAATGTGATTGGTAACAGAATAAATAGCAATAGAATAACTGCAGAATACTTAATGCTGTAATTGGAAATTGTACATCCAAGGTAGGCTACTGCCCCTTTTAAGAGCTAGAATAGATTTTGTACCCTATGTTGTGATTCTCACCAAACATATTGTCTTCTAACACTATTCGAACCCCACAATCAATTAACAGTTTATGAAGCTCTCCTAGCCTATAGATCACATATTGCAAACAAAAACTCCACACATTTTGGAATTTCTGTGCGTCCTTGACAATCGCTAATCAATATCCAAAAACAGCAAAAAATATTCTGCTAACCTGCACATCATCATCTTCTCTCTTTTGTGGCACCAATGTGAGGGTTTATGACAGGGGAAACGGTGTTGCAATAGTCTAGTGTGTGGTGCGGGAATAATGACAAGCAAACCTGGGGAGCTTTGCGTTCACATTGTCCTAAAAAAGGGAACCGGACCACGGAATTCAAGCAAACCGAACTCAGACCACCTCTCGAGATGGTCTCAGTTCGGTTCGCTTCGGGGGCTCTTTTGAGGGGTCTGAGTTCCTTTGGAGTGTTCACACTGCACAAAAAATTAAGCGAACCGCACTGAGTTCACAAAAATTGGTTGAAAGGGACCAAGTGTGAAAACATCCTTAGGCATATGCTCAAACTCCCTGCTGCTCTATCTATCGCCCCCTGGCTGTTGTTTGTGGAGAGGTCTGGCAACATGTTTTAGATTAGAAGGGGATGTTATTGTGTTTTTAGGCCTGTGGTTAATACAGGCCTAATATACCCCCCCAGCACAACTTCCCTCTCTCTCTATTCTCTCACCCCCCCCCCCCCCCCCCCCCCCACACACACACACACTTTTTTATTTCTGAATCAACTGATTACTCTCTCTTCTTTCCACTCAGGTTTGAGATACTGTGGCTGACACTGTGCCAGTTTCATAACCCCATAGAGATCGAGGTAAGTGTTCTTTTTTTAAAGGTGGACTCAGCAAATATGATACCATCGTTACATAGTGGGGTGTCTTACTGCTTACAGACATCCAATCTCTCTTGAAGAATGTGAAGAAATTGAGAAATGGAAGATGGGCAGGTGATATGTTAATGTTTTTCTTCCATGCAGTACCTGCCTCTCTACACTCCTTCAGAGGAAGAGAAGAACAACCCTGCTCTGTTCGCCAACAACGTCAGACGCATCATGGCCAAGTTAGTACTGTGTGTGTGGCCTCCCAGGTTACATCAAGCTTTTACATTGAGTTTACATCTGGCTATCTGTGTGTCTTTAACTTCTCTAAATGCCTGCCACATATACAGTATATCTGACATGTCAGGAGGGGTCCTGACTGCTCTCTCTGTGCTCTGATAGGGCCCTGGAGCTTCCCATTACAGACCTGTCGTTTGATGACTGCCAGCTGAGCCTAGCAAAGGGCCCACTGCGTGTCCCTAGCAACAGCAGCCTACTGCAGTTCAATAGATTAGCGCGAAGGCTCGGGTGAGTTTACTATACTATTGGTCGTTCAGCATTATTACAGGTCCTTAACAGTTTTTAAAAAGGGAATTGTTTTGCTGTTGTAACAAAACATTAATGTTGATTAAATAAGAACATTTCAAAATGCTATAAATGTTTATTCTAAAATGTTAGTTGTCTGAATGGGTAGGTAGGGTATGAGTGATGTCCTGTACATCGTTGTGTGACATTTAAGGGTGTCATATTGGGGACTGATGGTCATACTGGGAAAATAATACTGGATTTACTGGGAAATACTACAACTAATACTACTGGGTTTACTGGTCGAACTGGGAAATACTACTGGGCTTAATGATAATACTGGGAAATACTACTGGGCTTACTGATAATACTGGGAAATACTACTGGGCTTACTGATAATACTGGGTAATACTACTGGGTTTACTGATAATACTGGGAAATACTACTGAAGTACTAGTGGGTTTATGTCGAATACATTCAGATACTAGAAAGTATAGTATTTCAAAGTATTTGAGATGTACTTAATTTTGCCATTTAAATCTGTGGTTTTCAAACTTTTTCAGTGGGGACCCCATCCCAAATCTATTGACACAACCTTAAAATCAGTACATTTTTATTTTCATATCAACAAATAACCTTCAATTCATTACATTCTCATCTCTCCTATCAACATTAAGAGAACCAATACATACATTTACTCAATCAAGTTTTATTCTTCAAATTCTTTCTCAAAAACGTTTGTATATTGTCCCATAAAATAATCTGTACTCTTACATTTTGGTTCCCAGTTTTTTTATATATATATTTAACCCAACTGCAATTCTCGCGACCCCGACTTTGAATACCACTGCATTAAATGGACAAAACCAAGCTTGTAGCCACAACACTGGACAGTAGGAAATGTATTTCTTAACCATGTATTTTCTATGTGTAGGCTGAGAGCTGGGACAACAGATACAGTGTTACAGCAGCAGGCTAGCAAAGCCAGGAAGCTTTGGGGATACAGACTGGGATTGGGGGACTTTGCTCAGTACCTCAACCTACCTGTGACGGACATGCTCACTGAGTTACACAGCCTCTTGAACCAGGTACAGTGGGGGGAAAAAAGTATTTAGTCAGCCACCAATTGTGCAAGTTCTCCCACTTAAAAAGATGAGAGAGGCCTGTAATTTCCATCATAGGTACACGTCAACTATGACAGACAAAATGAGAAAAAAATCCAAAAAATCACATTGTAGGATTTTTAATGAATTTATTTGCAAATTATGGTGGAAAATAAGTATTTGGTCAATAACAAAAGTTTCTCAATACTTTGTTAAATACCCTTTGTTGGCAATGACACATGTCAAACGTTTTCTGTAAGTCTTCACAAGGTTTTCACACACTGTTGCTGGTATTTTGGCCCATTCCTCCATGCAGATCTCCTCTAGAGCAGTGATGTTTTGGGGCTGTCGCTGGGCAACACGGACTTTCAACTCCCTCCAAAGATTTTCTATGGGGTTGAGATCTGGAGACTGGCTAGACCACTCCAGGACCTTGAAATGCTTCTTACCAAGCCACTCCTTCGTTGCCCGGGCGGTGTGTTTGGGATCATTGTCATGCTGAAAGACCCAGCCACGTTTCATCTTCAGTGCCCTTGCTGATGGAAGGAGGTTTTCACTCAAAATCTCACGATACATGGCCCCATTCATTCTTTCCTTTACACGGATCAGTCGTCCTGGTCCCTTTGCAGAAAAACAGCCCCAAAGCATGATGTTTCCACCCCCATGCTTCACAGTAGGTATGGTGTTCTTTGGATGCAACTCAGCATTCTTTGTTCTCCAAACACGACGAGTTGAGTTTTTACCAAAAAGTTCTATTTTGATTTCATCTGACCATATGACATTCTCCCAATCCTCTTCTGGATCATCCAAATGCACTCTAGCAAACTTCAGACGGGCCTGGACATGTACTGGCTTAAGCAGGGGGACACGTCTTGCACTGCAGGATTTGAGTCCCTGGCGGCGTAGTGTGTTACTGGTAGGCTTTGTTACTCTGGTCCCAGCTCTCTGCAGGTCATTCACTAGGTCCCCCCGTGTGGTTCTGGGATTTTTGCTCACCGTTCTTGTGATCATTTTGACCCCACGGGGTGAGATCTTGCGTGGAGCCCCAGATCGAGGGAGATTATCAGTGGTCTTGTATGTCTTCCATTTCCTAATAATTGCTCCCACAGTTGATTTCTTCAAACCAAGCTGCTTACCTATTGCAGATTCAGTCTTCCCAGCCTGGTGCAGGTCTACAATTTTGTTTCTGGTGTCCTTTGACAGCTCTTTGGTCTTGGCCATAGTGGAGTTTGGAGTGTGACTGTTTGAGGTTGTGGACAGGTGTCTTTTATACTGATAACAAGTTCAAACAGGTGCCATTAATACAGGTAACGAGTGGAGGACAGAGGAGCCTCTTAAAGAAGAAGTTACAGGTCTGTGAGAGCCAAAAACCTTGCTTGTTTGTAGGTGACCAAATACTTATTTTCCACCATAATTTGCAAATAAATTCATAAAAAATCCTACAATGTGATTTTCTGGATTTTTTTTTCTCATTTTGTCTGTCATAGTTGACGTGTACCTATGATGAAAATTACAGGCCTCTCTCATCTTTTTAAGTGGGAGAACTTGCACAATTGGTGGCTGACTAAATACTTTTTTTCCCCACTGTAGGTATCTAACACACAGCGCATAACTCACATAGTGTCCTACACACACCACACACTGATTTGATTCAGTCAATCAAATAAATCAATCAAATTTGTAGAAATAAATAACCATCAGTGTTCTTTTCTTTCTCTCTCTCTCTCACTCGCTCGCTCTCTCCTCCTCACTCTCTCACTCCCTCTCTGAAGCATGGAGATGGCCAGATCGACGTCAGGGAGTATGTGATAGCCCTGTCTGTGGCGTGTCAACCCTCTAAAGCCATGGACACCCTCAGGCTTGCCTTTGGTGTGAGTGACAGGCAATTAAGCTTTATAACAGTTCCTATGAAACACTATAAGAACCCAATGTCTGCTCCTATAAAGCATTAGAACATCTCTGTCTGCTCTTATTAGGCATTATAATAGAAATACCTACAAAATACCTATGTCTGCTATATAAAGCGTTATAACTGTCCTATGTCCTGACCCTGGTCAGATGTACGAGGCGAAGGAGGACGGGGCCATCGTGGAAAAGGATCTGGCGTCCATTTTGAGAACGGCGTTGGGAGTAGCAGAGGTCGATGTCACAGAGTTGTTCTCAGCAATCGACACACTTGACGCGGGGAAAATCACACACGGTGATATCACACACCAATACCCTTGCCTTTCTTGCGCTAACACTCGCTTCTTGTCTTTATTGAGGAAAAAGTTTTACTTACTATGATTGTGATATGTGGTTGTCTCACCTAGCTACTTTAAGTTGAATGCACTAACTGTAAATCACTCTGGTTAAGAGCGTCTGCTAAATGAATAAAATATAATGTAATCCAACTAACGGGATTACAGCCAACACTGTAACTACAATCTCTCTTTGACCTTCCCTCTCTCTATATCCGTCTGTAGATGACTTCTGTCGGTTCGTGGAGCAGCACCCAGACTTTGCTCAGGAGTACCTCCTCTCCTCCAGGACAACCCCCTCTACCCCCCACACAGCCCCCCTGGTCAACGGGTTCAGTGTGGACCATTACGACATAGAGGAGCAGACCTGCAGCCTCCCTGGACAGAAGAGGAAAGAAGACTGAGACTCTCAAATGGATCTATCTACTTCCTATCACAGAGAGAGGAGGAGAGTGGAGGGAGGAGGAAAAGATGGAGGGATAGAAGGGCGATTGGGAGGCCCTGGGGCTCTAGCAAACAAATCTATCTTCTACAGTTACTATATCTTCTGTGTCACTGTGGCCCATATGTTCTACCAGAGAGAAGGAGAGAGGGAGCGAGGGATAGGATATATTGAGATAAGGAGGGGTGGATAGAGGGAGAGAAGTAAGAAACTATTAGACGGATAGAGGAGATTGAGACTGAAAGGGAGAGATGGAGGTAGAGAAGGGTTGGGTATGTTGAAGGAGAGTAGAGGGAGAGATGATAGAGAGATTTGGTTAGTGAGAGGATATGATGGAGGGTGGAGACAATCTGTTCCTCTGGACACCATCTCACACCAATACTCCCATCTCTGGTTTTGTCTGCTACTGTTTTCAAGGACTTTGTATGCTGTCTGACTTTCCAACATGAGTTTTAAAGGAACTGGAGTTCTTAGGAGTTCATCAAACACTTTGGCTATTTATTTTCAAAAGGGTTTTACTTTTCTATAGGTATTTATTTGTCTTTCGTTTTTATCAAACTATCTATGCCCATTATGACAATGAAATGCACACTCCAGTAAGACTTTTCTTTTTCACGATTAGTTTTATCAGGTGATTAAGCACCAAACTGAGCTCTGAGCTTAATCACTGCCTTTCATAACGAGACTGACTGAGATCAATTGGATCGAGCTGAAACTAAGCATTTCACTGCCTCGTAGACCATAGCAACTCACAACAAGACAAACTGTTCAAATGGATGAATATGGGACCAAACAGACTTCTTATTTTTAAACCAGAGGATTCTTGCACGTTCACATTGAGCTCCTTGTTGCCTTTTTAAATTGTTTTAAACATGTTAATGGTTGTTTTAATGTTGCCTGAGCTTGAGTGAAACATTCCACAGCTTAAGTGTATTTATTTTCATAAGCATAAACACTGGGGTCTGAAGATGAACATTTGTTTGATGTTTTCTCTTTTCTTAGTGGATGAACAGAGAACCATAGAGTTGGGTTCCATCTCAAATGGCACACTATTCCCTATATAGTGCACATTTGGCTCTAGTCAAAAGTAGTGCACTATATAGGGAATATGATGCCATTGGGGGACACATTCAGTTAAAATATTCAGATATGTTTACCTCTTTTTTTAGTTGCCTTTCTCATATCACACTGGAATGGAGTTGCCCTTACACAAAGATCTAAGATCAGCTCACCCTGCTGAAATCCTAACATTAACCATTAGGCAGGGGGCCATCATAAAATTAATCTGGGACTTTATGATAAGCCATCAATCTGTTCTGGCTTTTTGTACTGGTTGGTTTTGTTTTGGGAATTCTCTGCAGTTTGACTTTGAATTGACACCTTTTGTATGTTGTACGTTTGTGGTATCTACATCTTTGAATGTTTTTGAGTATTCATTTTGTAAGAAAGTGAATTGTAAATTATGAATACCTATGCAGTGCTCATCCCTGCCTTTTATGTTGAATTAAATCATGACATTTCTACAGCTGCGGCGTTGTTCTTTATTGCCTCTAGCAGGAGCTGTGCTCCTGAAATACGTAGATATTCAGATTATTTGATCGTGACTATTCTACGCCTATGGCAAAGATGATTTAGAATATATACACTACCATTCAAAAGTTTGGTGTCACTTAGAAATGTCCTTGTTTTCCATGAAAACATACATGAAATTAGTTTGAATAGGAAATATAGCAAAATGCATAGGATATGTAGTCATTGACAAGGTTGGAAATAATGATTTTTTATTGAAATAATAATTGTGTCCTTCAAACTTTGCTTTCATCAAAGAATCCTCAATTTGCAGCAATTACAGCCTTGCAGACCTTTGGCATTCTAGTTGTCAATTTGTTGAGGTAATCTGAAGAGATTTCACCCCATGCTTCTTGAAGCACCTCCCACAAGTTGGATTGGCTTGATGGGCACTTCTTACATACCATACGGTCAAGCTGCTCTCCCACAACAGCTCAATAGGGTTGAGATCCAGTGACTGTGCTGGCCACTACATTATAGACAGAATACCAGCTGACTGCTTCTTCCCTAAATAGTTCTTGCATAGTTTGGAGCTGTGCTTTGGGTCATTGTCCTGTTGTAGGAGGAAATTGGCTCCAATCAAGCGCCGTCCACAGGGTATGGCATGGCGTTGCAAAATGGAGTGATAGCCTTCCTTCTTCAAGCACCCCCAGACCATCACATTGCCTCCACCTTGCTTGACAGATGGCATCAAGCACTCCTCCAGCATCTTTTCATTTGGTCTGCGTCTCACAAATGTTCTTCTTTGTGATCCGAACACCTCAAACTTCGATTTGTCTGTCCATAACACTTTTTTCCAATCTTCCTCTGTCCAGTGTCTGTGTTCTTTTGCCCATCTTAATCTTTTATTTTTATTGGCCAGTCTGAGATATGGATTTTTCTTTGCAACTCTGCCTAGAAGATCAGCATCCCGGAGTCGCATCTTCACTGTTGACATTGAGACTGGTGTTTTGCAGGTACTATTTAATGAAGCTGCCAGTTGAGGACCTGTGAGGCATCTGTTTCTCAAACTAGACACAATAATGTATTTGTCCTCTGGCTCAGTTGTGCACCGGGGCCTCCCACTCCTCTTTCTATTCTGGTCAGAGCCAGTTTGCGCTGTTCTGTGAAGGGAGTAGTACACAGCGTAGTACAAGATCTTCAGTTTCTTGGCAATTTCTCGCATGGAATTGCCTTCATTTCTCAGAACAAGAATAGACTGACGAGTTTCAGAAGAAAGTTATTTGTTTCTGGCCATTTTGAGCCTGTAATCGAACCCACAATTGTTGATGCTCCAGATACTCAACTAGTCTCAAGAAGGCCAGTTTTATTGCTTCTTTAATCAGCACAACAGTTTTCAGCTGTGCTAACATAATTGCAAACGGGTTTTCTAATGATCAATTAGCCTTTTAAAATGATAAACTTGGATTAGCAAACACAACGTGCCATTGGAACACAGGACTGATGGTTGCCGATAATGGGCCTCTGTACGCCTATGTAGATATTCCATTAAAAATCAGCCGTTTCCAGCTACAATAGCCATTTACAACATTAACAATATCTACACTGTATTTCTGATCAATTTGATGTTATTTTAATGGATTTTTTTTTTGCTTTTCTTTCGAAAACAAGGACATTTCTAAGTGACCCCTAACTTTTGAACGGTAGTGTGTGTGTGTGTATATATATATATATATATATATATATATACAGTGAGGGAAAAAAGTATTTGGTCCCCTGCTGATTTTGTACGTTTGCCCACTGACAAAGACATGATCAGTCTATAATTTTAATGGTAGGTTTATTTGAACAGTGAGAGACAGAATAACAACAAAAAAATCCAGAAAAATGCATGTCAAAAATGTTATAAATTGATTTGCATTTTAATGAGGGAAATAAGTATTTGACCCCTCTGCAAAACATGACTTAGTACTTGGTGGCAAAACCCTTGTTGGCAATCACAGAGGTCAGACGTTTCTTGTAGTTGGCCACCAGGTTTGCACACATCTCAGGAGGGTTTTTGTCCCACTCCTCTTTGCAGATCTTCTCCAAGTCATTAAGGTTTCGAGCCTGACGTTTGGCAACTCAAACCTTCAGCTCCCTCCACAGATTTTCTATGGGATTAAGGTCTGGAGACTGGCTAGGCCACTCCAGGACCTTAATGTGCTTCTTCTTGAGCCACTCCTTTGTTGACTTGGCCGTGTGTTTTGGGTCATTGTCATGCTGGAATACCTATCCACGACCCATTTTCAATGCCCTGGCTGAGGGAAGGAGGTTCTCACCCAAGATTTGACGGTACATGGCCCCGTCCATCGTCCCTTTGATGCGGTGAAGTTGTCCTGTCCCCTTAGCAGAAAAACACCCCCAAAGCATAATGTTTCCACCTCCATGTTTGACGGTGGGGATGGTGTTCTTGGGGTCATAGGCAGCATTCCTCCTCCTCCAAACACGGCGAGTTGAGTTGATGGCAAAGAGCTCCATTTTGGTCTCATCTGACCACAACACTTTCACCCAGTTCTCCTCTGAATCATTCAGATGTTCATTGGCAAACTTCAGATGGTCCTGTATATGTGCTTTCTTGAGCAGGGGGACCTTGCGGGTGCTGCAGGATTTCAGTCCTTCACGGCGTAGTGTGTTACCAATTGTTTTCTTGGTGACTATGGTCCCAGCTGCCTTGAGATCATTGACAAGATCCTCCCGTGTAGTTCTGGGCTGATTCAGTCAGTGATTTATTTAGAATTCAAGGCACACTTAACCAGCATGGCTACCACATCATTCTGCAGCAATATGCCATCCCATCTGGTTTGCGCTTAGTGGGACTATCATTTGTTTTTCAACAGGACAATGACCCAACACACCTCCAGACTGTGTAAGGGCTATTTTACCAAGAAGGAGAGTGATGGAGTGCTGCATCAGATGACCTGGCCTCCACAATCACCCGACCTCAAACCAATTGAGATTGTTTGGGATGAGTTGGACCGCAGAGTGAAGGAAAAGCAGCCAACAAGTGCTCAGCATATGTGGGAACTCCTTCAATACTGTTGGAAAAGCATTCCAGGTTAAGCTGGTTGAGAGAATGCCAAGAGTGTGCAAAGCTGTCATCAAGACAAATGGTGGCTACTTTGAAGAATCTAAAATATAAAATATATTTTGATTTGTATAACACTTTTTTGGTTACTTCATAGTTTTGATGTCTTCACTATTATTCTACAATGTAGAAAATAGTAAAAATAAAGAGAAACCCTGGAATGAGTAGCTGTGTCCAAACATTTGACGGGTACTGTATTTATATTTATCCATCTATGTAGTCAATGGTGACTTTCACTCCTCTCCAACCACCCTACACCTGGACTCATTTGAGAACACCATAAAGGTGAAAGCAATGTCTGTGGGATTTGTTCTCAATTGTCCAGTTATTTCCGATCTGTGCATATGGCCTCTTTTGTTCCCTCTGCTCTCACCCCCTCTTTACACAAGCTGAACATTGTGTTATGAAGGTAAGGTTAACATTGCGCCCATGGACACACACCAACTATCCTGTCTTCAGCTAAAAATAGGCAGGATTAAGCTCAACCTGAGATGAGAAAGAGGTGAAGGAGTGAGGGATGAAGAGGGTACACTGTGCTCCTAATCTAATTCCCACCAAGGGTCAGAGGAAGGAAGTAATGGTCTTGGAGAGAGAGAAAGAATGTTAGGAGGGAGAGTGTACATTAGACACACTGATGTTAAACTGCATCAGTAAACTGATAATTGGTACATTTTGTTTTCAAAGTCCACTGTACACAGTTATTGCTCTCTCTCACACACGCGCACAGACTCACACCAAAACAAACAGGCATTTAAAATGAACACTCGCGTTTTGTGCGTCATATGGGTCCTTGCACGACTAGATTGTGTCGCACTTTTTTTTAGAAACCATTCAACGGAATATGAACTGTAAATATTTGAAGTATAGACAAAGTAGCTAATTGCTCATTTCACCGACAGGGTATTCCGTTGGATACAGAGAAATTAACGGAATTGTCGTGCTTTGACATTGAACGAAGACAAATAAATTCTCATCCGGGAGGTTAGCTGGCTTCGTGATAATTCCATTTGGATTAGCCAACTATGTTAGCAAACTAACAACAACCCCGATTCAAGTGAGATTACCCAAAACAGGTACAGTACTATTAACGATTTGGCTACCAATCGACTGTCTTCATGGGTGAACATTTTCTGGAGAAAGTACATTTGCTGACTGTATTTCTCTATGCTCTAGCAGAGAAACCATGGAGGAGTCAGCAAGTACCATAGAGGTCACTGTGAAGACCCTGGACTCCCAGAGCAGGAGCTACACTGTCCGCAGAGAGGTAGGCTGTGACTTCCTGTTGTTGTTGTTGTTGTCTGCTTCTGTCTTGGTCTGAAATCCAACTGAACATATCAGTTTGAATTCCAGGCTACTTCTATGTGGCATATATCTTGTACACTTATGAGAGGGAAATATATTTATTCAGCTCTGTACTAGCGATGCACTGAGCCTGCTATTTGTCCCTCAGTTGACAGTGAAGGAGTTCAAAGAACACATAGCTGCATCAGTGGAGATCCCAGTGGACAAGCAGAGACTAATCTACCAGGGCAGAGTGCTGCAGGACGAGACGACACTGAACGAATACAGTGAGTAAAAAAGCCACGAGACTACACTGAACGAATACAGTGAGTAAAAAAGCCACGAGACTACACTGAACGAATACAGTGAGTAAAAAAGCCAGGAGACTACACTGAACGAATACAGTGAGTAAAAAAGCCAGCAACTATTCTAAGGACACTGTAAGTAATATACTACATACAGTGGCAAGAAAAAGTATGTGAACCCTTTGGAATTACCTGGATTTCTGCATAAATTGTTCATAAAATGTTGATCTGATCTTCATCTAAGTCACAACAATAGACAAACACAGTGGGCTTACACTAATAACACAAAAACAATTATACGTTTTCATGTCTTTATTGAACACACTGTAAACATTCACAGTGCAGAGTGGGAAAAGTATGTGAACCCTTGGATTTAATAACTGGTTGACCCTCCTTTGGCAGCAATAACCTCAACCAAATGTTTTCTGTAGTTGCGGATCAAACCTGCACAACAGTCAGGAGGAATTCTGGACCGTTCCTCTTTACAAAACTGTTTCAGTTCAGCAATATCCTTGGGATGTCTGGTCTCTGCAACATCATCTCAATCGGGTTGAGGTCAGGACTCTGACTGGGCCACTCCAGAAGGCGTATTTTCTTCTGTTGAAGCAATTCTATTGTTGATTTACTTCTGTGTTTTGGGTCGTTGCCCTGTTGCATCACCCAACTTCTGTTGAGCTTCAATTGGCGGTCAGATAGCCTTACATTCTCCTGCAAAATGTCTTGATAAACTTGGGAATTCATTTTTCCGTCTGATAGCAAGCTGGCCAGGCCCTGAGGCAGCCTCAAACCATGATGCTCCCTCCACCATACTTTACAGTTGGGTTGAGGTTTTGATGTTGGTGTGCTGTGCCTTTTTTTCTCCACACATAGTATTGTGTGTTCCTTCCAAACAACTCAACTTTAGTTTAATCTGTCCACAGAATATTTTGCCAGTAGCGCTGTGAAACATCCAGGTGCTATTTTGCAAACTTCAGACGTGCAGTAATGCAGTGGCTTCTTCCGTGGTGTCCTCCCATGAACACCATTTTTGTTGAGTGTTTTACGTATCATAGACTCGTCAACAGAGATGTTAGCATGTTCCAGAGATTTCTGTAAGTCTTTAGCTGACACTCTAGGATTCTTCTTAACCTCATTGAGCATTCTGCGCTGTGCTCTTGCAGTCATCTTTGCAGGACGGCTATTCCTAGGGAGAGTAGCAACAGTGCTGAACTTTCTCCATTTATAGACAGTTTGTCTTACCGTGGACTGATGACAATCAAGGCTTTTAGAGATACTTTTGTAACCCTTTCCAGCTTTATGCAAGTCAACAATTTTTTATCTTAGGTCTTCTGAGATCTCTTTTGTTCGAGGCATGGTTCACATCAGGCAATGCTTCTTGTGAATAGCAAACTCACATTTTGTGAGTTTTTTTTTATAGGGCAGGGCAGCTCTAACCAACATCTCCAATATCGTCTCATTGATTGGACTCCAGGTTAGCTGACTCCTGATTCCAATTAGCTTTTGGAGAAGTCATTAGCCTAGGGGTTCACATACTTTTTCCAACCTACGCTGTGAATGTTTAAACGATGTATTCAATATAGACAAGAAAAATATAATAATGTATATGTTATTAGTTTAAGCAGACTGTGTTTGTCTATTGTTGTGACTTAGATGATCAGATCAAATTTTATGACTGATTTATGCAGAAATTCATTCTCTGTCCTCTCTCCTTCTCTTTCCTTCTCTCTCCTCCACTCTCATTCTCTCCTCCTATGTCCTCTCAGATGTGGCTGGTAAGGTGATCCACCTGGTGGAGCGTGCTCCTCCTCAGACCTCCCAGTCTGGCAGTGGGGGAGGAGGAGTGTCCTCAGGGGGAACAGAGGGAGGTGCCACCCCCTCCTCCTCCCAGGGAGGCCCCCAGGACCGCAACGGGAACAGCTACGTCATGCTGGGAACCTTTAACCTGCCCGTCAACATCATGGACCCCCAGCAGATACAGGTGAGTCAAGGTTGTGTGTTGGTGTGCACTGTGCTGCTGTTTCATAGTCTTTATTCAGAAAAAATATTGAGCACCTAAAAAATAAATTGAATCAAACCGTTTTAATGGGTACCTAATGTGTCTGTAGGATTAGTTGAGCGTCTAGATGAATTGAGTGTATTAACAGTGTAGTAACACAAGTGTAATAACTTTCCTTGGCAGATGCAAGTGCAGCAGATGATGGCAGGAGTGGGAGAAGCAGGAAGGAATGCCAGAGTTGGCACCAGCACTGGAGTAAGTTTTCTTTATTACTGTCATATATATATATATACACACACACACACATACACAGTGCATTCGGAAGGTATTCAGACCCCTTGACTTTTTCCACATTTTGTTACGTTACAGCCTTATTCTAAAATGGATTAAATAAAACATTTTCCTCATCAATCTCCACACAATACCGCATAATGACAAAGCGAAAACAGGTTTTTAGACATTTTTGGAAATAAATAAATGAAATACCTTATTTACATAAGTATTCAGACCCTTTCCTATGAGACTCGAAGTTAAGCTCAGGTGCATCCTGTTTTCATTGATCATCCTTGAGATGTTTCTACAACTTGATTGCGGTCCACCTGTGGTAAATGTATTTGATTGGACATGATTTGGAAAGGCACACCTGTCTATATAAGGTCCCACAGTTGACAGTGCATGTCAGAGCAAAAACCAAGCCATGAGGTCGAAGGAATTGTCCGTAGAGCTCCGAGACAGGATTGTGTCGAGGCACAGATCTTGGGAAGGTTACCAAAAAAAGTCTGCAGCATTGAAGGTTCTTAAATGGAAGAAGTTTGGAACCACCAAGACTCTTCCTAGAGCTGGCCAAACTGAGCAATTGGGGGAGAAGGGCCTTGGTCAGGGAGGTGACCAAGAACCCGATGGTCACTGACAGAGCTCCAGAGTTCCTCTGTGGAGATGAGAGAACCTTCCAGAAGGACAACCACCTCTGCAGCACTCCACCAATCAGGCCTTTATGGTAGAGTGGCCAGACGGAAACCACTCCTCAGTAAAAAGGCACATGACAGCCCGCTTGGAGTTTGCCAAAAGGCACCTAAAGGACTCTCAGACCATGAGAAACAAGATTCTCTGGTCTGATGAAACCAAGATTGAACTCTTTGACCTGAATGGCAAGTGTCACGTCTGGGGGAAACCTGGCACCATCTCTACGATGAAGCATGGTGGTGGCAGCATCATGCTGTGGGGATGATTTTCAGCGGCAGGGACTGGGAGACTAGTCAGGATCAAGGGAAAGATGAACGGAGCAAAGTACAGAGAGATCCTTGATGAAAACCTGCTCCAGAGCGCTCAGGACTTCAGACTGGGGCCAAGGTTCACCTGCCAACAGGACAACGACCCTAAGCACACAGCCAAGACAATGCAGGAGTGGCTTCGGGACAAGTGTCTGAATGTCCTTGTGTGGCCCAGCCAGAACCCAGACTTGAACCTGAGTAAAAATCTCTGGAGAGACCTGAAAATAGCTTCAGAGGATCTGCAGAGAAGAATGGGAGAAACTCCCAAAATACAGGTGTGCCAAGCTTGTAGCGTCATACCCAAGAAGACTCGAGGCTGTAATCGCTGCCAAAGGTGCTTCAACAAAGTACTGAGTGAAGGGTCTGAATATGTATGTGATATTTCAATGTTTTTTAAAAAATGTATACATTTTCAAAAACATCTTAACCTGTTTTTGCTTTGTCATTATGGGGTATTGTGTGTGATTGTTTTTTCCCCTCATCAATTTAATCAATTTTAGATTAAGGCTGTAACATAACAATATGTGGAAAAAGTAATGCACACATACCCTAATAGTAATATATACAGTATGTTAATGATCTTTCTTGTTTGTAGAGCAACGGCTCAGTAGATGTGCATATCAACGTTGACCAATCAGTGCAGAGCGAGCCCAGGATGAGGCTGCAATTGGCTGAGAACTTGCTAAGGGAGACCCAGTCTCTGATCCACAGACTGGAGGTACAGTTACAACTCACATACTATGCTATGTTATGCTATGCTATTATTCTATACTATACAGAAATCTATTTTCAGTGCCTAGTTGACCTTTTAGACAACATGTTTGTGTTTGCAGGGTCAGCCCAGTGGTGTGCCATCTCAAGCTGAGCCGGAGACATCTCAGTCCACCTCCTCTTCCTCCTCCTCCTCCTCATCCTCTTCCGCTACAGCTGCCACTGCAGGAGCAGCCCAGCCTATGGACACCTCCCCTCCTGCACCTGATCCACCACCTCCCCCTCCCACCTCCTCCAGCCAGACAGAAGGACCACCCCACTCCGGGCCCAAGTAAGTGCTCAGGAGGGCACAGCGTAGCAAAGCATAAAAAAAAAAAGGAACATTAAAATGTGTTTCAAATAGAATCAAAACGCTTTCTGCTGTTTCATGCCTACTGAACACGTACCTCTTTCTCTCTCTCTCTCTCTCTGCCTCCTCCACTCCCTCCCTTCCCAGCCACCCCAGCCCAGCAGCGCTAGTGGAGGTGTTGTCGGAGGTGAGGAGGGTGGAGGAGAGGCTTCGTCCCTTCATAGAGAGAACTCACTCCATCCTGGGGGCTGCCACTTCAGCAGACTACAACAACAACGTAAACACTACAACTCCATAATATTCAGTTGCACAGCAACAAGCAACACATCATCACACTGTTTTTACTTCAAACTTAAACTCCTGTTACATATTCGTCCTTTAAATGTAATGGTGTCCATGAGAAGAAAAGTTACATCATAAACTGCGCCGCAGAGTATAGTGAGTCTTTTTGAATAGATCAGTCACAGTGCTGTTTTGCATGAGTGAAATGGAGCCCCAAACAGACTTGAATAAACCACATGTGAATCAATCACAACATTGTTCTTCTGTTGTCACAGACCCAGGAGAGAGAGGAGGACCAGCACGTTCTCAACCTGGTCGGGGAGTCTCTCCGTCTCCTTGGCAACACCCTGGTTGCCCTTAGTGACCTGCGTTGTAACCTGGCCACTCCTCCCCCCCGTCACCTCCATGTGGTTCGGCCCATGTCCCACTACGGCTCCCCCGTCCTGCTGCAGGGTGGTATGCCACATCAAATCCCCATACCGGTAGGTCACTGTGTGGAGAGTTTCTTCCACATATACTCACAGCAATTTTGGTATTTTAGTACCAGGTTCTAAAACTAAACCTCACTGGTTGGTGGATTCAAATTCTAATCACCAGCCATTCATACTTTTTACCAGCATTTAGCTGTTGCTCTTTTCAAATTTAAGTTTGTACATGCACACCATTTTCTTGGGATGTTATTATCTTGACTTGTGTCTTCAGATAAACCTTGGAAACTTAGGAAACCTGGGGAACCTCGGAAACTTGGGAACCACAGTGACCATGACGTCCAATGGGAGGCATGCAGCCGAGGGCCAGGCCCAACCCTCTCAGGCTCCTGGCCAATCAGAGGGCCAGACTCCGCCTCCACAGCCCAACGCAGGCAATCAGCAGCCAAGTCAGGGCCAGGGGGCTCCACATGTCATCAGAATCACCCACCAGACCATGGAGCCTGTGGTAATGATGCAGATGAACCTGGATGGTGAGGAAGGGGACACATTTGTTATTTTCTCTCACTCTTGCTCTTGGCTCATCTTGGAGTTGTCATGCCCTAACTGTGTCTCTCATGCGTACCAAATAATCAGTACATTAGATAATCATTCCAATCCGAGAGAGACCTAGTCATTGTTGATCTCCTATAGGAAACCTTATAGGTGTGTTGGAGGAGAGCTGGAGTGGAGCAAAAGCTTGCATACCCAGTATGCATATTCAGAGTTGTAATGTATTCTCCCTGGTTGTCTCTCCATTAGATTCTGGCAGCGGCCCTCAGGTCCAAGGACAACAGATCCCCATGGGTACTGGACAGCCTGGTGAGTGCTTTTGACCCTACATCACGCTATGTTCTCTATGGTGTATACACCAGACCCCTATACCACAGTCTCTCAACCCCCAGTCCCTGGGATGTTGCTGACTGTTTTATCAAGTATTTATCTCTGTGCTCTCTCAATCTGAAGGTGCTACTCCGGTCCACATCGCAGGCCTTCCTCCAGAGTTCATGCAGGCCATCGTCCACCAGATCTCTCAGCAGGCTGCTGCCATGGCAACTGCTGCCGCCACGGGTCACCCCGGGCAACCAGGAGCAGGTGTCCCCGGGACCACCCCCAGCTCTGCCCCCTCTGCCCCCCCTCACCCTCACGGCCCTCTGCCCCCTGGAGCCAGGGTGGTGATCACGCGCCCCTCCTTCTCCCCCCACATCCCCCAGCCTGTGGGCACCAGGGGCACCACCATCAACCTCAGGGCTTCAGTGCCCCTTGTTGGTGGGCAACAGAACCTTCAGGTGAGGAGAGAAGAGGCAGAGATGGAGAAGTCTGTGAGGAACGACTTTGGTCTCTTATGTGCTTGTGCTGTTGTACGTCGGCAGGGGTGGCCAATCCTCCTGGAGAGCTACTGGGTGTGCAGACTTTTGTTCCAGCCCTGCTTTAACACACCTGATTCAACTAATCAACTGATCTCTTCCTCCATTTCTTCTCTTCTTCCAGGGCACACCTCTGGCTCCCTCTCCCCTAACTCAGATGATCAGTGGTCTGGTTGGACAGCTACTGATGCCTGGGCAACAGATGCCTGGGCAGATGCCTGGACAGCAAGGTGAGTGATTGATTATTGTATTGGGTGAATGATGGGTTTTATTTTGTAGCGTTCAAAGAAAATGGACAATGAATCAGAAGTCTTTTTTTTCCCAGTTCCTCCAGGTGACCAGACATCTACCAGCTCCTCATCTGCCTCCCACTCCTTCTCTTTCTCCACCTCCTCCTCTTCATCATCTTCTGCGTCCTCCTCCTTCTCATCCTCCAATCCCGTCCCTCCCCACCCCTCCTGTGGGGCGAACACCTCTGGCCAGACCACCACCCACACCACCAACACCACTTCCATGGGCCAGCCACCGGAGGGGGTCGCCGAGGCCAACCTAGCCCAACTCCTGGGCTCCCTGTTGGGTGGAGCAGGTGGGCCAGGAACCCCTGGTTCTGGAGCTAACCCACACATCACTGTGACCGTACCTGGAGTCCCAGGGTTCTTCCAGGGAATGTCAGACTTCATCCAGGTGAGAGATTAAATTATTGAACCCTATTGGTAACTTTTTGTTAACTCTTATAATTAATGTGACTGAAAAGTAACTCTTAGGTAATAATCATGTAATTTCTCTGTTATTACGCTGTAATACAAGTTGAAGTAGTCATAATTAGAAGAAGTTGTCATAATTGTTGAAGTTGTACTTAGTAGAAGTTGAAGTTGTCGTAATTAGTAGAAGTTGTCATAATTAGTTGAAGTTGTTGTAATTAGTAGAAGTCGAAGTTGTCGTAATTAGTAGAAGTTGTCATAATTAGTTGAAATTGTCGTAATTAGTCAGTTGTCGTAATTAGTAAAAGTTGTCGTAATTAGTCAGTTGTCGTAATTAGTAGAAGTTGTCGTAATTAGTCGAAGTTGTCGTAATTAGTCGAAGTTGAAGTAGTCACAATTAGTAGAAATAAACTCCAGACAACTAGATGACTGTGCAACAAAGTGTCACCCAGTAGTTACCCAATAGTTCCTCTCCCATTTCTAGGCTAACCAACCCATCTTCTCCCGACCCTCACCCTCACCCCCACCCGGCCAGGAGCCTCCCCCTGGCCAAGGCACCCCTGCCCCCCCTCCCCAGGCGGCCCCTGGGGGTGGAGTGGACCCATCCCTGAGCCCGGAGCTGTTCACAGGTATTGTCCAGGGGGTCCTCTCCACCATGATGGGGTCTCTGGGGGCTCCGCAGGGGAACGGGGAGAGCATCGCTCAGTTTATCCAGAGACTGTCTCAGACCACCAACCTCTTCACACCTGGATCTGGGGACGCTCTCGGTGAGTCACTGACAAAAGTAAAAACCTAACACTTGCACTTGCACTCATACGCATACTTGTCCTTTCTTACTAGCACAGAAAAGATTCAATGGCTTACTATTTCGATGGTTTTACTTGCAATAATCGGGATATGTGGTTGCCTTTTATTTAAATTGAATGCTCTTATTGTAAGCGGCTGCCAAATGACTAGAATATACACTACCAGTCAAAAGTTTGGACACACCTAATAATTCCAGGGTTTTTCTTTATTTTTACTATTTTCTACATTGTAGAATAATAGTGAAGACATCAAAACTATGAACTAACACATATGGAATCATATAGTAACAAAGAAAGTGTTAAACAAATCAAAATATACTTTATATTTGAGATTCTTCAAAATAACCACCCTTTGCCTTGATGACAGCTTTGCGCACTCTTGGCATTTTCTCAACCAGCTTCACCTGGAATGCTTTTCCAACAGTCTTGAAGGAGTTCCCACATATGCTGAGCACTTGTTGGCTGCTTTTCCTTCACTCTGCAGTCCGACTCATCCCAAACCATCTCAATTCGGTTGAGGTCAGGGGATTGTGGAGGCCAGGTCATCTGATGCAGCACTCCATCACTCTCCTTCTTGGTAAAATAGCCCTTACACAGCGTGGAGGTGTGTTGGGTCATTGTCCTGTTGAAAAACAAATGATAGTCCCACTAAGCGCAAACCAGATGGGATGGCGTATCACTGTAGAATGCTGTGGTAGCCATGCTGGTTAAGTGTGCCTTGAATTCTAAATAAATCACTGACAGTGTCACCAGCAAAGCACCCCCACACCATAACACCTCCTCCTCCATGCTTTATGGTGGGAAATACACATGCGGAGATCATCCGTTCACCCACACCGTGTCTCACAAAGCCACGGCGGTTGGAACTAAAAATCTCAAATTTGGACTCCAGACCAAAGGACAAATTTCCACCTGTCTAATGTCCATTGCTCGTGTTTATTGGCCCAAGCAAGTCTCTTCTTCATATTGGTGTCCTTTAGTAGGGGTTTCTTGGCAGCAATTCGACCATGAAGGCCTGATTCCCACAGTCTCCTCTGAACAGTTGATGTTGAGATGTGTTCACTTGAACTCTGTGAAGCATTTATTTGGGCTGCATTTTCTAATGAACGTATCCTCTGCAGCAGCGGTAACTCTGGGTCTTCCATTCCTGTGGCGGTCCTCATGAGAGCCAGTTTCATCATAGCGCTTGATTGTTTTTGCGACTGCACTTGAAGAAACTTTCAAAGTTCTTGAAATGTTTTCCGTATTGACTGACCTTCATGTCTTAAAGTAATGATGAACTGTTGTTTCTCTTTGCTTATTTGAGCTGTTCTTGCCATAATATGGACTTGGTCTTTTACCAAATAGGGCTATCTTCTGTATACCCCCCCTACCTTGTCACAACACAACTGATTGGCTCAAATGCATTAATTTGTGGAATTTATTTCCTTCTTAACTTTTAAGAAGGCACACGTGTTAATTGAAATGCATTCCAGGTGACTATCTCATGAAGCTGGTTGAGAGAATGCCAAGAGTGTGCAAAGCTGTCATCAAGGCAAAGGGTGGCTATTTGAAGAATCTCAAATATAAAATATATATTGATTTGTTTAACACAACTTTTGACTGGTAGTGTAAATGTAAAAAAAAAAGGGCAAAGGGTCTAAATACTTATGTAAATAAGGGATTTCTGTTTTTTATTTTGAATACATTTGCAAAAATGTCTAAAAACCTGTTTTTGCTTTGTCATTATGGGGTATGCTCCTGTAAGTCGCTCTGGATAAGAGCGTCTGCTAAATGACTAAAATGTAAATGTAAATGTAAATGGGTATTTTTATTCATTTAATAAATTTTAGAATAAGGCCGTAACGTAAAAAAACCGTAGAAAACGTCAAGGGGTCTGAATACTTTCCGAAGGCACTGTATGTATGTATGTATGTATGTATGTATGTATGTATGTATGTATGTATGTATGTATGTATGTATGTGTATGTATGTATGTATGTATGTATGTATGTATCTGTATTTATGTATGTATGTAATGTATGTATGTATGTATGTATGTATGTATGTATGTTTATGTATGTATGTATGTATGTATGTATGTATGTATGTATTGTATGTATTTGTATGTATTGTATTATGTGATGTATGTATGTATGTATGTATGTAGATGTATGTATGTATGTATGTATTTATGTAGTATGCTATGTATGTATGTATTGTATGTATTATGTATTGTATGTATGTAGTTATGTATTGTATGTATGTATGTGTGATGTACAGTTGAAGTCAAGTTTACATACACTTAGGTTGGAGTCATTAAAACTCATTTTTCAACCACTCCACAAATGTCTTGTTAACAAACTAAAGTCGGTTAGGACATCTACTTTGTGCATGACACAAGTAATTTTTCCAACAATTGTTTTACAGACAGATTATTTCACTATTAATTCACTGTATCACAATTCCAGTGGGTGAGAAGTTTACATACACTAAATTGACTGTGCCTTTAAACAGCTTGGAAAATTCCAGAAAATTATGTCATGGCTTTAGAAGCTTCTGATAGGCTAATTGACATCATTTGAGTCAATTGGAGGTGTACCTGTGGATGTATTTCAAGGCCTACCTTCAAACTCAGTGCCTCTTTGCTTGACATCATGGGAAAATCAAAAGAAATCAGCCAAGACCTCAGAATTTTTTTTTGTAGACCTCCACAAGTCTGGTTCATCCTTGGGAGCAATTTCCAAACCTTGTGAAGATGCTGGAGGAAACGGGTACAAAAGTATCTATATCCACAGTAAAACGAGTCCTATATTGACATAACCTGAAAGGCCGCTCAGCAAGGAAGAAGCCACTGCTCCAAAACCGCCATAAAAAAGCCTACTACGGTTTGCAAGTGCACATGGGGACAGAGATTGTACTTTTTGGAGAAATGTCCTCTGGTCTGATGAAACAAAAATAGAACTGTTTGGCCATAATGACCATCGTTATGTTTGGAGGAAATAGGGGGAAACTTGCAAGCCGAAGAACACCATCCCAACCGTGAAGCATGGGGTGGCAGCATCATGCTGTGTGGGTGCTTTGCTGCAGGAGGGACTGGTGCACTTCACAAAATAGATGGAAGGAAAATGATGTGGATATATTGAAGCAACATCTCAAGACATCAGTCAGGAAGTTAAAGCTTGGTCGCAAATGGGTCTTCCAAATGGACAACGACCCCAAGCATACTTCCAAAATTGTGGCAAAATGGCTTAAGGACAACAGTCAAGGTATTGGAGTGGCCATCACAAAGCCCTGACCTCAATCCTATAGAACATTTGTGGGCAGAACTGAAAAAGCGTGTGCGAGCAAGGAGGCCTACAAACCTGACTCAGTTACACCAGTTCTGTCAGGAGTAATGGGCCAAAATTCACCCAACTTATTGTGGGAAGCTTGTGGAAGGCTACCCGAAACGTTTGACCCAAGTTAAACAATTTAAAGGCAACGGTACCAAATACTAATTGAGTGTATGTACATTTCTGACACACTGGGAATGTGGTGAAAGAAATAAAAGCTGAAAAAAATAATTCTCTCTACTATTATTATGACATTTCACATTCTTAAAATAAAGTGGTGATCCTAACTGACCTAAGACAGGGAATTTTTACTAGGATTAAATGTCAGGAATTGTGAAAAACTGAGTTTAAATGTATTTGGCTAAGGTGTATGTAAACGTCCGACTTCAACTGTAGAAACCTACACCTGACCTGATGGTGTGCCTTGCCATCTGTGATAGCGTTCTTGGAAAAGTGAAAGAAGACCAAAATGTCTTAGTTTTTGCAGAACATATTCTTTGACCTCATCTCTCTGCAGGGTTCTTTGGGGACTTGTTGTCCCTGGTGTGTCACAGTTTCTCCATGGTGGACATGGTGTTGTTAATGCATGGTAACGCCCAGCCCCTCAGCCGGATCCAGCCCCAGCTCACAGACTTCTTCAACCAGCACTACCTGCAGGGTCAAGAGCCTACTGATGCCAATATCAACGTGAGTACCTCTGCTCTACTGCCAGCTGCTGTTTTGTTGAGAATCATGACATGAAATTGGCACAGTATTCTCTCCATTTGCAGTGAACTTTATTAAGACCAATGTTTTTGGCTTTTCACCTCAAAGTGTGTGTGCTTGAAATTTAGAAACTGAAACCACTATGTTTTGTCTTTTCAGGCAGCATCTGTAGACCTCATCAATGGTCTGGAGGAGTACATAGCAGAGAGCTTTGTAAGTAGAGAGCTTTTGTCTCTGACTATTAAATTGTCACAATATGTTGATAATATTGTAATAATACTGTACCCTTGTCTCTCTCTCAGGCCACAGTGACAGTGAGAGAGGGAGTGGACATAATTCAGACCAACATCTCTTTCCTTAGACAGCAGTTCACCCGCATGGCCACGCACATCCTACGCTGCACAGGTAAAACACACAAACCCCTTGTGTATAATACAGCTTTTCTATACTGGGTCCTACGCATTGTTACCAAACTGGTTCACCGGACTACTGTCAACCCTAGTCTAGTACCTAACAGCAGCATGACTGTAAATCTGTTGCTCCTCTCTACCTCTGCAGACCAAACGTTTGGCCCCCGCCTGCTCCTGCTCTGCACCCAGGGTCTGTTTGAGTGTCTGGCTCTCAACCTGTACTGTCTCCGAGGGGAACAGAGGGCTCTCACCCAAGTCATCAACCACCGCATCGTTAGTACACTCCTCTACACTACTCTACACTACTCTATCCACTCTATTATTTATAGACTTGAGTGTTTCCCAACCCGGTCCTCAGGACCCATAGCCGGTCCACATATATTTTCCCATCTCAGGACAAGCTAGTTGCTAAACTAGTCAATTAATGAATCTGTTGAATCCCATTGTATCTGGTAGGTTAGGCTGTGGGATGAGTCCTGGTATATCTGCTTGGTGTGTATGACGTAAAGCTCTGTACATGTTTTCTCTCTTCTCTCTATGTCCACAGAGGAGGATGTCAGCAGAGGTCAACCCCAGCCTGGTCAACTGGCTGACCAGTATGATGACCATGAGACTCCACATTATCCTGGAGCACAACCCAGTCACTGAGGACCACATCCAGCACTATGTCATCCACACACGGAGAGCAGAGCCTGAGGCACAGGCTGGACAGCAGACAGACACACAGAATGTGGAGGTGAGTGATTGTGTGTGTGTGTGTGTGGTCACAGTCTTTCCAGGTGTTATCTGAGGGTTATAAGGACACTGCATGCTTGGCCTCACCTAGAAAGACATGTGGTAATTCCAGGAAATCAGCGAGGAACACAAAGTTCAGACAGCTTTGAGGACATGGTTATCTTTGTCTTCATACAGTACAGCTAACCTTAGTTAACCTTAGTTAACCTACTCTCATCTCTAGATGGATGAAGGTCTGTCCCCGGCCCCGGCCACCACAGCAGAGGAGGCCATGGCTTCATCAGGGGACAGACAAGAGGTCGGAGCATCCCCCGGGGTGACCACCCCCTCGCGGAGAGCATCGTCAGGGGACACCAGAGGAGCTGTTGCCATAGCAGCAGGAGGAAGGGAGGAGTCTGGAGGAGACATGGAGCCCTGGGCAGCTGCAGTGCCCCCTGTAAGGACATAGGACCTATGCTTTATTGTTTAGGGGTTAAGTGCCTTGCTCAAGGGCACAATTACAGGATATTTCTTCTAGGATACCTAGAATTACACCAGATGATTTCCTGGGGTTTGATCTTGTGACTATTCGGTTACAGGCCCAGCTGTTTAACCACTGAGCTGTGTGTTTGTGTTCATCAGGAGTGGGTTCCCATCATCAGACACGACATGCTGTCTCAGAGGAAGATAAAGGCTCAGCCCCCTCTGTCTGATGCATACCTCCACGGGATGCCTGCCAAGAGGAGGAAGGTGAGCTGTCCATCTGGTTAGAAACCTAATGAGAGCCAGCTTGCCATTGTATATTATAATTATTTGTCATGAGGATGCTATGCCCATTAAGTAGTACCGGGCTAAGGAATATTCTCAACGGAAATGCCTAGTCTGTATACCTGGTTATTCTAACAGTGTTTCTATAGGAAGTGAGAGTCAAACATTTTGATACGGAAGAGGAGAATTATCATTTATCATTGGACAATTTTGTGTAATACCTCCCAATTTCAAAACATATTATTCTCCTGTTTCGTGATTACTGAACACAGCTCGGGTTAGTGTTGACCTGTTGTTATCCCCTTCTCACAGACCCACCAGGGTGAGGGACCTCACCTGTCCCTGTCTGAGGCAGTGAGCCGGGCGGCCCGGGCTGCAGGAGTCAGACCTGTCACTACCCCAGACAGCCTCCAGGGGGAACTAGATGAGCCAGAGCTGCAGGAGGCCTACCAAGAACAGGTAAACTACGGCCAGTGTTGCTTTCTGGAGGATGCAACGTCTTCCCTAATCCAATCACATATACAGTGCATTCATTTTTTTTTTTTTATGACCTCATCAATCTACACACAATTCCCATAATGACGAAGCAAAAACTGAAATATCACATTTACATAAGTATTCAGACCCTTTACTCAGTACTTTGTTCAAGCACCTTTGACAGCGATTACAGCCTCGAGTCTTCTTGGGTATGAAGGTACAAGCTTGGCACACCTGTATTTGGGGAGTTTCTCCCATTCTTTTCTGCAGATCCTCTCAAGCACTGTCAGGTTGGATGGGGAGCGTTGCTGCACAGCTATTTTCAGGTCTCTCCAGAGATGTTCGATCGGGTTCAAGTCCGGGCTCTGGCTGGGCCACTCAAGGACATTCAGAGACTTGTCCCGAAGCCACTCCTGCGTTGTCTTGGCTTTGTGCTTAGGGTCGTTGTCCTGTTGGAAGGTGCACCTTCGCACCAGTCTGATGTCCTGAGCGCTCTGGAGCAGGTTTTCATCAAGGATCTCTTTGTACTTTGCTCCGTTCACCTTTCCCTCTATCCTGACGAGTCTCCCAGTCACTGCCGCTGAAAAACATCCCCACAGCATGATGCTGCCACCACCATGCTTCACTGTAGGGATGGTGCCAGGTTTCACCCAGACATGACGCTTGGCATTCAGGCCAAAGAGTTCAATCTTAGTTTCATCAGACCAGAGAACCTTGTTTCTCATGGTCTGAGAGTCCTTTAGGTGCCTTTTGGCAAACTCCAAGCGGGCTGTCATGTGCCTTTTAATGAGGAGTGGCTTCCGTCTGGCCACTCTACCATAAAGGCCTGATTGGTGGAGTGCTGCAGAGATGGTTGTCCTTCTGGAAGGTTCTCCCATCTCCACAGAGGAACTCTGGAGCTCTGTCAGAGTGACCATCGGGTTCTTGGTCACCTCCCTGACCAAGGCCCTTCTCCCCCGATTGCTCAGTTTTTTTACGAGTCTGAATTTTTATTGAAAAAGTCAAGGGTTTGGCCGGGCGTCTTGGTGATTCCAAACTTCTTCCATTTAAGAATGATGGAGACCACTGTGTTCAGTGCAACATAATTTTTTTGGTACCCTTCCCCAGATCTGTGCCTCGACACAATCCTGTTTCGGAGCTCTACGGACAATTCCTTCGACCTCATGGCTTGGTATTTGCTCTAACATGCACTGTCAACTGTGGGACCTTATATAGACAGGTGTGTGCCTTTCCAAATTATGTCCAATCAATTGAATTTACCACAGGTGGACTCCAATCAAGTTGTAGAAACATCTCAAGGATGATCAATGTAAACAGGATGCACCTGAGCTCAATCTCGAGTCTGATAGCAAAGGGTCTGAATACTTATGTAAATAAGGTATTTCTGTTTTTTATTTTTAATAGATTTGTAAACATTTCTAAAAAGCTATTTTTGCTATGTCATTATGGGTATTGTGTGTAGATTTGATGAGGAAATATTTTTATTGAATCAATTTTATGAGTAAGGTTGTAAAGTAACAAAATGTGGAAAAAGTCAAGGGGTCTGAATACTTTCTGAATGCACTGTACATTAGTAATAACCTCAAGGTAAGGGAGGAACAGCGGAAGCATTTCAAAAGTATAAACCCAAACATCTTTTTTTGGCTCACATTCACTCTGAAACAGCAGGGTGAACGAGACTTTAAAGCATGGCAAGATGAGACTGACCGGCCCTAACCTTGACTCATATGTTTGTCTCAGGTGAGGAGTGACATCAGGGAGAGAGTGAGAGATGACCCAGACTTCAGCTCCCAGCGTTTCCCCAACACACACCGGGCCTTCTCTCTAGACGACTCCTAAATATTATTGGTCCTCAGGCCTGTCAACCACCCCATCTAGCCAATCACAGTTTTCTCCATGGATAACTCCTAATCTGATTGGTCACCACACCTGTCAATAACCCCATCTAGCCAATCACTTACAAGCATGATGTATCCAGGGGTGTGTTCATCATCATGCATCTCAACATCACGTCAACAACATTTCACGAATGTCAGCTCTATTCGTGAAATGTTGATCTTCAACATTCTGTAACGTGCCCCAGATTCCATTCTGCAACATTCCCTGTGGGTCTGTCATGTCCAGTGAAGAACAAAGAGAAAAGAAAACACAAGAGACTTGACTTGCATAAACCCTGCTTTCTCATTGAGCTACCATGGAAAATGCCACTTATTTAAAACCGAGAAGAGCTTTACAACCGGTCTGTCATCTATCAATGGAAAATGTCAGTCTCAGTGTGGTATCTCTGCTAAAGCACCGCTTTCTCAATCCAACAAACTCATTTCTAACTGGTTGTCGTCATCTGTATGTCCGGTTGTCCTTATAAGGCTTTGATGTAACTTGTAAATTAGCACAAATTGTACATTGTATTAAGAACGTGATGTAATAATATTCGAGTGGTAATGCAACAGCTATTCCATGTTAGGTTAATAAAGTAACAAAAACCTTCCGTAGGCTCTTTTTTTGTGGGGGGTGGGGGGGTGCGTTTAGCCTGGTATCCCGCCTAGACGTGAAAGAAGCACAGATTCTAAATGTTGACTGGCCTACATCTTTACGTATTTCCTTTCAGAACAGAGAGGATGGTAGCGGTTTAGGTGTAATGGGTGATTGCAATGTCATCAGTGACATTTTGTGTCTAGCTATTTTAAAGTGAGTGTGAATACGGGGCTCAATGGTGTTTTAGCCATAATTATGTTCAGTCGTAATAATAACTGCCATAATCAAGACCATGATAAAGATAAGCCTCGTTTTATGCCATTGTATTTCTTTCTAGGTGACCACGGCTATCATTTCTAGAACCTGACTGTTGTAAAAAGTTGAATGCTATGTAACTTGTGAACATTGCTTTAAAATAAATTGTCAATGTAGAAATGCTATGGAAAATTCCTCTTGAGAAACCACACACACTCCTACACTGTAGGGCTAACTTTGTGAAAAAAGGGATTTTTAAAATATATTTTGTCAACGATTGACTGACTGAGCATTCGGCTCTTGCTGAAATGCCTCAAAATCTTGCAGAAATGTAAATAAGATTTGAAGTTGTTGTCAGATACAGTGAGGGGAAAAAAGTATTTGATCCCCTGCTGATTTTGTACATTTGCCCACTGACAAAGACATGATCAGTCTATAATTTTAATGGTAGGTTTATTTGAACAGTGCGAGACAGAATAACAAAATCCAGAAAAACGCATGTCAAAAATGTTATAAATTGATTTGCATTTTAATGAGGGAAATAAGTATTTGACCCCTCTGCAAAACATGACTTAGTACTTGGTGGCAAAACCCTTGTTGGCAATCACAGAGGTCAGATGTTTCTTGTAGTTGGCCACCAGGTTTGCACACATCTCAGGAGGGATTTTGTTCCACTCCTCTTTGCAGATCTTCTCCAAGTCATTAAGGTTTCGAGGCTTACGTTTGGCAACTCGAACCTTCAACTCCCTCCACAGATTTTCTATGGGATTAAGGTCTGGAGACTGGCTAGGCCACTCCAGGACCTTAATGTGCTTCTTCTTGAGCCACTCCTTTGTTGCCTTGGCCGTGTGTTTTGGGTCATTGTCATGCTGGAATACCCATCCACGACCCATTTTCAATGCCCTGGCTGAGGGAAGCAGATACACATGTATAATCACTAGATTGTTTTATTCACACATACATAGCCAGGTTTCACACAAGATGTTGGGTTATTGCAAAAAACATTTGAGTAAAATCTGAAACGATTCATTGTCATTTTTTTTACTGATTGAATTTTACTGATACTATAGTTTTAGGTAACACTTTACTTGAAGGGGATAAAACCTTCATGAAAGCGGTCGTAACAACTTTACAAGTGTTTCAGTATCATTCATAACAAACTTCATAACTTATTTATTTATTCCATGTCATTCATGAGGTGTTATGAATGCCTTATGTATGCCCCCTCAAAGTAAAGTGTTATTGAGTATTACAGGTAGTGCTAGATCTAACACATGGCATGCTTTGTCACATAGTTTAAGAAAGCACATGTATTGTAGTCTCAAACACACACATTATCATGTTGTTGAGTGAAACATATTGTAGCAATGATGCAGAGGAAGCTTGAGTCGCATTCTGATGACACGTACAGGTACTCAATATTCTACACATACTTCTTTTTAACTTATAATAACCATTAAATTATAAGTCAACTGTCATTCCAGTCAAGAGTATAGTTTACGAGCCACTTGTTTTCCGTTCAGAAAATAACAAAGGAGAAGTGTCTGTCCCAAACAGGCTATTCACATATTTTCAGCAACCTGACTCCAGAGTCCTATATACACTATATATATAAAAGTATGTGGACACCCCTTAAATTAGTGGATTCGGCTATTTCAGCTACACCCGTTGCTAACAGGTGTATAAAATCGAGCACACCGCCATGCAATCCCCATAGACAAACATTGGCAGTAGAATGGTCTTACTGAAGAGCTCAGTGACTTTCAACGTGGCACCGTCATAGGATGCCACCTTTCCAACAAGTCAGTTCGTCAAATGTCTGCCCTGCTAGAGCTTCCCCTGTCAACTGTAAGTGCTGTTATTGTGAAGTGGAAATGTCTAGGAGCAACAACGGCAGAGCCGCGAAGTGGTAAGCCACACAAGCTCACAGAATGTGACCGCCGAGTGCTGAAGTGCCTTCCCAGAAGAGTGGAGACTGTTATAGCAGCAAAGGGGGACCAACTCCATATTAATGCCCATGATTTTGGAATGAGATGTTCGACGAGCAGGTGTCCACATACTTTTGGTCATGTAGTGTATGTCATGCAACTGTGTTGCAGTGTCAGGGACATGAACCCTGGTTGACCTGAGGTCAGGTCAAACATTAACTGCAGGCCAGGCAGTCTGCAGGTGTCTCCTCTCCCTGACAGCCAGTTAGCCATCCAACATGGAAGGACCATAGCTGTTTCCAACCAAGCTAGGAATGGGGTTGTGAGTCACAAAGGTACATCAATGAGGACATGAGATTTAAGGCTCTTCAAAATAAGAGTCTTATGAGATTGACATGTACACTTCAAAATAAGTTAGTACAGGGACAGAGACAGACATACAACATCATGCATTCGTATTAGTATCCATGTGGCATAAAGCAACCTATTTAAATGACTTTCCACTAGCACACAGAGATCAGAGGGCCTGTTAGAACAAGGCCCACATTGAGTCATGGTGGGAGGCCATAGATAATAGCCGGGCCAACTGGCTATATAGAATGGGGTCTAATCTCTTCATATAAAGACCCCTGGCCTCAATACAGGGTTCCATTGGTTTCTTGGGCTGTGCCAACTGTTACATCAGCAATGCATTCCCCAGTGACAACTGTTTTCAAAGGACACCAGTGACAAATGTGTGCCCAGTTCCCAGGCATACTTGACTGCCCCATAGGCTGAGGACACATGAAACACAGAATGACTGATTCCAATAAATATTTAATCAATTTAACTTTAATACTAATCGGGCATTCATTATTTTTTAACATTGCTTCTTTCTTTTTTTTGTGCATTTAACAGTGTCTTTGTGTAATGCAGTGAAAATAGGTTTGTCCAATAATATATGCCATTTAGCAGACGCTTTTATGAGCAGCAGGCTATGTACAGTGGGAGGGTATAGGCCCAGAGAGCGGGTCAACATCACACAAGCAGTCACTCAGTGCTGTGCGATCATTTGTTTGTGCGTTAACAAGGTATTGATCAAGGTACCAACTCGACTTATTGGATAAACTGAAGTTCTGGATTGCATATAAACTAAAATAGTAGCGGCTATTCTATTGCTGTGGGAGTCCAGAGAGAGAACGGTTTTGGAAAGTAATATATATTTTTTTATAATAATGTTTTAGAGCAGGCGTACAATAGGGGGGGATTGTACAGGTGATCAGGGATAAACATGTTTTCTTCTCGACAACATTGATTGCATGTTTCCCTCTCTCTCTCCGTTACTCCTCTCATGGTACACACATGCTCCTTTCTCCAGAGCCTCCTTTCTCTCTGTCTCTCTCAGTCTCGGCCCTGTCGGAGGGAGGAAAGCAGGGGGGGCAGGAGGTTGAGGGCTGGCCGGTGCTCCTGGACCCCCAGGGCCACAAGGGCCCCCGCTAACAGAGTGGTCACCCTGGGCAAGATAGGTGGCTGGGCCTTCATCACCTGGAGGAAGACAGGAAAACAATACTCAGCAAGTTTGAGGTGATCAGTTTAGGCAAGGCAGAGAATCTGATGATATTTCTCAGCAATTTATAGGCATGTCTATTTCAGTCAGATGAGACAGTACACAACAGGGACACTCACTTTTTCCACTTTGTGACAGTGTATGAGTCCATCATGGCCAAGGTAGAAGGTAGAGAATGCATCATATGACCTGTTGAAAGACTGTGTTTACTAGTGTATGAATGATCAAAGATAATTAACAGTGAAGAGGAACACTGACCAGAAACACTATCCATTCCAATACCAAATCAATACATTTCTATCTGAACATTGTGTTAAGATGAACAGATCCCAGCCAGGTTTCTGTACCTGTAGAGGTCAGTTTTGTCCTTGCGGTAGAATCTCAGCAGCAGAGAGAGGAAGGGCAGTCCTCTGACCCTCCACCTGGCCTTGATGGTCCCATCCTCTGGGTGCTTAGTCAGTTTCAGTACCTCTAACCGGGCCTCAGCATAGTAACAGAGACACAGCAGCCTCCACAGAGACAGGCTCAGCTGGTACAGAACTCTGCCCCTAGAGGATAGATAGACACGGTATAACTGTATTATAATGTAGACCTATTATGGGGGTGTAAATGTGTGTAGTTACATATGTATAAATATCAGGGTTCGGGAAACTGCTATTGAGTAGCCAGAAAGTAGCATTTACCTGGTCTTGGCATTTAGAATACAGTTGACGAACTCGATATCATTTGTGTACATGGTGTAGTCATGACTCTTCACAAAGAAACTAGAAAGCTGCAAATCAAACAAATGATAATCAATACTAATAACTAAATAGCAGTGTATGCCATCAAACAGAAATATCTTAAACAAACCCCTCTTCTCCTCTCTTACCTCAATCCTCAGTTTTTCATACATCAAGGCCAGTTTCTCCTCATCCTCCCTCCCTCTATCGCTGTGACCCCCCTGCACTGTCTCTCTCTCTGAGTAGCTACTATTCAGAGAGGTGTGGAGCAACAGCGACAACTCTTTCTCTAGTCCAATCATATGGCCCGATTTGTCCCCGTAACCAGGTAACGGCTCCATCCCAGGACAGTGGAAGCAGTAAAACCTGGATCCATACATAAATGGAGCGGGACATCCTTCTGCCTCAAACAGGCTTCGGAACGATCCTCTCTCCCTCTTTTCTGTCTCTCCCTCGTTCATCTTCGTCTTGGAACCCGCCTGAACCTTTGTCGTCCCAATGCTGATGTCGTCCTCTCGGCTCCCGTCCACAGTGGTCATGGGGAAGAGGAACTCCACAGGCCTACTGAGTCCTCCCGGAGCCAGGAGCTCGCCTAGTTTAGTATGCCCAAACAGAGGCACCTCCACCAGGGTGTGCTGGTCATCACACTCCCCAGGGACGGGCCGCACCAGCACACACAGGCTGACAGTCTCTTCCCAGTCCTCATCCAGGCCCAGGGGCCTCCGGCTGCGGGGTTGGCCCTGGCTGGCATGGTGGAAGGGGTGTGACAGGGCCGGCTGCTTGATCTTCTGATACCTCAGACTGTTGGGGGGAACCAGGGCCCATGAGGTGCTGCTGAGAGACCGAATCTGTCTACTCCACTGCACATCCAGCGCCTGCAAATTCACATAGGACAAGTAAAGATTTTCCATAAGGTGCTCTTATACAGCCTGGTCCCAGATCTATAACAGATCTGGATCCAGCCTTGCTCTTATCCAAATATTTAATGAATGTAGGCCTGTCTGTCAAGACAATACCTGAGCAAGTCTCCAGCACTGTTGCTTGACTGGTTGCCTGTTGCTATGGCTCCTCACACCCCCCACCCACAAGGTGAGGCCCCCTCTACACGCAGCCATTCACGACAGGGGGTAGGGTGTAACCCCAGTCACCAGGGGCAGGGGACACCCCAGACAGTCACCAGACCACCATGCCACAGCCACCCCAAGGAAGGACCAGCTCTTTATCTTCTTGGTCCCCTCTCGATCCCAAATAAGAAACCTAGATAAAGAGAAAGGGGGGCAGTTGAGGGTGTACAGTTATTTTTAGACCATCGTCTCAATGATATGTCCATATGATGATGTGGCCTGGTGTGTGCATGTGTAGGCTACTCAAGGAACAGTTGTGAGTTCATCCGTAGGTTGCTAGGCTGTAAATCAAGACCTATATGACCTTTATACTACTGTCATTCACTGCCATGCCAGACAGGCATACATACGGTACGCATAACACATACATGTATGCCTATACCATGACGAAGGACAGATCTAGCATCCATGAAATTTCACAGATAGCATTTGAAAGTGAAAACAAAATCCCCAAATTCTATTGAGATAATATTGCCATATGGAAGAGAACTTCAATGAGGTGGGAATTATTCAAGACACATTTTGAGATGTCCCTGGAGTTTGAGTGGTTAAACCTCAGATTCAGTATTTGACTAAGTTTCCTTTTAAACTTTTAGACAAATTAACATTAAATCGACACAACAAACACCGTCTTGGAAGTGCTCATCTAGGAGCAATAGATTTGAAGCAGGTCGGTCCTCTTCTACTTTGAAGTTTGACCCACCCCACTTGAAATATATTTTGGAGCGCGAAAAATACATGCCAGTAGCACATGACAGCGAGCAGTGGAAACAGCAAACCACAAGATCGTAATTGCTACTCAGACGTCTTTCAAATAAGACAGTCCTTTGGTACATTTGAACTCGACAACCACCCATAACTATAGTAGCGTCTATCGTGATGTTTCTAATATAACTTTAGAACCGTGATGTTGATACATGACATACAAATACCGTACATAGGTGACACTGCAGTGTAACGTTTGTCATTAAGACAATCGATATTCACTAATGATTACAGAGGCAGAATAAACTGCAATCAGTTTATGGCAGCTACAATATTATACAATACTATGATGTAACATTTCCCATTCTAGACTTCATTAACGTTAACTGACTTTCAACCTTTGGTAACCCAGTGGATTGGTTGGACGATTGACACAATCTTGCAGACACAACCAGAAACAAGTGAACCATGCATCAACTTTGATGTTGATATGTATGGAAATGCATAATTGATTGACGAATATAGGGACCCATCAATCTAGTTATAAAACGCACGCTAACGTTCTATAACTCGCTAGTCAGTTGATAAGCTAGCGGCAAGATCACCATGATTAGCTAACGTTAGCTATTAGCTAGCATGAATACCTGTGTCAGAAGCGAATTGGATCGAAATTGCGATGAGTCAGTTTGGCAATGACCAGATAGTGAGATGATAATCCTCCAAGTCAGGTGTTTTACTTTTGATTGCCCACGTAATGTTACGAAATTGGAAGTTATCAAACGTTACACAAATGTCATTCTATCTCCCAATGTCCTTGTCCAGCAGCAACACGCCTCACGCAAGCGTAGGAACGTTTCTAGAAGAAGAAAAAAACGTCAACACGTCATACACCGGCTTAGCGCTGATTGGTGGAGAATGCATATTTCCTTAGATGTAGAATGAATATCGATATCATTCGTAATCAATAAAAGTTATACAATCATTACATTATAGGCAAGAATATATATATATATATATATATTTTTGATCGAAGTCTGCTGTAAAAAATATTGTAGGTATTTTTCATGACTACCATCTTCAGCTACTTTTTTTTAAAAACTTTTTCATTTTTTAAAAAGTTTTTATTAAACTTTTTCAATCAATTTTGTGAAAAAAATATATAATTATTTAATACTTATCCTATCCATTGAACAAAATTATTATTTCACTATCTATAGCTTTTTTTGCTCACAAGAGACTGCAATTCTGTGACAAACCTACTGGTGAAGCTGTGAAATATTGCTTCACTATCAGCTGTCAATCGGCTACTGAAACTCGGTGGTGCCAAAGATGATGGATATACTGACAAGATACTTGTGTCTCCACCGTAACAATGGGAGTCTCGTCTCAACGACTCGTTGTCCATAAAGCCTCTCGGCGGGCTGTCTAGCGCCCCCCTTTACTTTCTTTGGATTGGTGGATACATGTCATTGTTTTAATACTTTTTAAATGATTCGATTAGGGTTGTTGACGTCAACCGCCTGTATTCAATGTAGAGAGTGGCAGAATACCTGACCACTGTGACTGACTCAAGATTAAGGAAAGCTTTGACTATGTACAGACTCTGTGACCATAGCCTTGCTATTGAGAGAGGCCGCAGTAGACAAACCTGGCTCTCAAGAGAAGACAGGCTATATACAAAATGAGGTGGAAAATGAGCTGCACTTCCTGACCTTCTGCCAAATGTATGACCATATAAGAGACACATATTTCCCTCAGATTACACAGACCCACAAAGAATTTGAAAACAAATCCAATTTTGATAAACTCCCATATATATTGGGTGAAATACCACAGTGTGCCATCACAGCAGCAAGATTTGTGACCTGTTACCAGAAGAAAAGGGCAACCAGTGAAGAACAAACACCATTGTAAATACAATCCCTTTGTACTTTAACTATTTGCACAACTTTGTAACACTGTACATAGCCATAATATGACATTTGAAATGTCTCTATTCCTCTGAAACTGAGTGTAATATTTACTGTTCATTTTTTATTGTTTATTTGACTTTTGTTCATCTATTTCACTAGCTTTGGCAATGTAAACATATGTTTTCCATGCCAATAAAGCCCTTTGAATCGAATTGAATTGCTATGCCCAAGGTTCATACCATGAATATGCCGGGATGTCACGTGTCCTACTTATATCAGTACACTCGTAACAACCTAGCATTACGAAACTCCTATTCGATCAAATAAACCTCACGTAGCAAATAAGCCATTCGATTTTTTTGTTGACCAAATTCGACACTCCGTACGAAAACTCGCTTGGTGAGCGAAAGAAACGAAAGAATGCTACCTGCTGAAGAAGACAGATTTTTGGTAGAGTTGGGCTAATTATGTGTTTAGAGACGTCATTGAGTTAGGCCTCTCGCTTTGCCTCTTCCTCTTTGGTGGTGCTCTCGCCACATGATGAAGTGGGAAAATCTCAGGCCGCATGTGTTGTGACAAAACACTTGCGCATCACTGACAGCCACTCTTACCACTGCTTTTAAGTTATTTTGAGACAAAGTCAGGGGGTTATCTGCTAATATCGGTAGAAATAAATAGATTAAAATGCCGAAGAAAGCAAAAGAAGAAGCAGAATGGGAAGGAGAAGAGGGAGCAGCCCCACCAGCGGTGGCAGGTAGCTAATTGTTAGCAGCTAAGCTAACGGTGACAACTGAATCCTAGCCAGCCACTGCACCACAGTTGTTAACGTTAGCTAATGTGCATCAATGTGATATTTAATAAGCAAGTAACTGTCCTGGCTGTCATATGGTGTATCTGTCTACTTTAGCTAGCTTACTATCAATGTTGTGAAAATGATGCAATGCCACATGCATGCCTTGTAATTGTCAGACAAATGATTCCTTGTTCTCTCTACCTGACAGTCAAGTAGAGACATACTTCAACATGTAAAAGGGGTCCTGTGTGGAAGAATAATCAACACAGGGTCTTGGCTAACTAGCTATGCATTTCTCATTCATTGAAGTCATGAAGGCTAGTTAGCTCTGTCATAGCTAGTATGCATTGTTAGAAGAACTGCTGTGTTGCCAAAAGTATGAAAAATGTATGCACTCACTAACTGTAAGTCGCTCTGGATAAGCGCGTCAGCTAAAATAAAATAAAATAATAATAACAAAAAAAAGTCATTCTGAAAATGCGCCACCCCTCCACTTCCCCATATAACGGGCTTTACCGCATATCTTGTCACTCAGTGCATCCATATGTCGATGACCAACTTGCTCATCTTTGTACCTACATTTTCTCTCCCCACTCTTCAGAAAAATCAGTAAAGAAAGGAAAGAAGGATAAGAAGGGGAAGAAGAGTGTGAGTATACCTCTTTTGTGGATATTTTGAATAGATTGAATGAGGTGAGAAAGAAAATGTAATCATCAATGTGTGAACACATTAAACAAAATGTGTCAAAATCTCTCATTGACTGTCACACTCTCTCTCACAGTTCTTTGATGAGCTGGCCACAGATAACAAAACGGAGAAGGAGGATGAACCTGTGGCGAAGGAGACTCAAGGAAAGCAGGTAATTGTTTAAATTTATTAATACAGATAATCATATAGGCCATTTGTAGTTGGATTACTTATTTTTGCAACACTGTATCAATAACACAATGTCCTGTGATATGTTGACATTAATAAATCCACCTATTACATAATTGTTACGTTTCTTCCCTTCCCACCTAATTTGCTCTCTTGAAAGATAGAAGATGAGCTTGAAGAGGTCGGGAAGGTAGCCACTACTAGCCAGAGTGATAGCTAGCTTGCCGTATCGAATCTCCAATAAATAGAAAATCATAATACATATAGAATCATATATATATATATATATATATATATATATATATACACACACAGTGAGGGGAAAAAAGTATTTGATCCCCTGCTGATTTTGTACGTTTGCCCACTGACAAAGAAATGATCAGTCTATCATTTTAATGGTAGGTTTATTTGAACAGTGAGAGACAGAATAACAACAAAAAAATCCAGAAAAACGTATGTCAAAAATGTTAATGAGGGAAATAAGTATTTGACCCCCTCTCAATCAGAAAGATTTCTGGCTCCCAGGTGTCTTTTATACAGGTAACGAGCTGAGATTAGGAGCACACTCTTAAAGGGAGTGCTCCTAATCTCAGTTTGTTACCTGTATAAAAGACACCTGTCCACAGAAGCAATCAATCAATCAGATTCCAAACTCTCCACCATGGCCAAGACCAAAGAGCTCTCCAAGGATGTCAGGGACAAGATTGTAGACCTACACAAGGCTGGAATGGGCTACAAGACCATCGCCAAGCAGCTTGGTGAAAAGGTGACAACAGTTGGTGCGATTATTCGCAAATGGAAGAAACACAAAAGAACTGTCAATCTCCCTCGGCCTGGGGCTCCATGCAAGATCTCACCTCGTGGAATTGCAATGATCATGAGAACGGTGAGGAATCAGCCCAGAACTACATGGGAGGATCTTGTCAACGATCTCAAGGCAGCTGGGACCATAGTCACCAAGAAAACAATTGGTAACACACTACGCCGTGAAGGACTGAAATCCTGCAGCACCCGCAAGGTCCCCCTGCTCAAGAAAGCACATATACAGGCCCGTCTGAAGTTTGCCAATGAACATCTGAATGATTTAGAGGAGAACTGGGTGAGTGTTGTGGTCAGATGAGACCAAAATGGAGCTCTTTGGCATCAACTCAACTTGCCGTGTTTGGAGGAGGAGGAATGCTGCCTATGACCCCAAGAACACCATCCCTACCGTCAAACATGGAGGTGGAAACATTATGCTTTGGGGGTGTTTTTCTGCTAAGGGGACAGGACAACGTCACCGCATCAAAGAGACGATGGACGGGACCATGTACCGTCAAATCTTGGGAGAGAACCTCTTTCCCTCAGCCAGGGCATTGAAAATGGGTCGTGGATGGGTATTCCAGCATGACAATGACCCAAAACACACGGCCAAGGCAACAAAGGAGTGGCTCAAGAAGAAGCACATTAAGGTCCTGGAGTGGCCTAGCCAGTCTCCAGACCTTAATCTCATAAAAATCTGTGGAGGGAGCTGAAGGTTGGAGTTGCCAAACGCCAGCCTTGAAACCTTAATGACTTGGAGAAGATCTGCAAAGAGGAGTGGGACAAAATCCCTCCTGAGATGTGTGCAAACCTGGTGGCCAACTACAAAAATCGTCTGACCTCTGTGATTGCCAACAAGGGTTTTGCCACTAAGTCATGTTTTGCAGAGGGGTCAAATACTTATTTCCCTCATTAAAATGCAAATCAATTTATAACATTTTTGACATGCGTTTTTCTAGATTTTTTTGTTGTTATTCTGTCTCTCACTGTTGAAATAAACCTACCATTCAAATGATAGACTGATCATGTCTTTGTCAGTGGGCAAACGTACAAAATCAGCAGGGGATCAAATACTTTTTTCCCTCACTGTATACATATACACACACACAAACAGTGCCTTTGGAAAGTATTCAGACCACTTGACTTTTTCCACATTTTGTTAGGTTACAGCCTTATTCTAAAATTGATTAAATTCTGTATTTTTCCTTATCAATCTACACACATTACCCCATAATGGCAAAGAAAAAACAGGTTTTTTGAATTTTTGCTAATTTATGGGGAAAACCCCCCCGGAAATATCACATTTACATAAGTATTCAGACCCTTTACTCAGTCACTTTGTTGAAGCACCTTTGGCAGCGATTACAGCCTCGAGTCTTCTTGGGTATGGTGCTACAAGCTTGGCACACCTGTATTTGGGGAGTTTCTCCCATTCTTCTCTGCAGATCTTCTCAAACTCTGTCAGGGTGGATGGGGAGCGTCGCTACACAGCTATTTTCAGGTCTCTCCAGAGATGTTCGATAGGGTCAAGTCCGGGCTCTGGCTGGGCCACTCAAGGACATTCAGAGACTTGTCCCGAAGCCACTCCTGCGTTGTCTTGGCTGTGTGCTTAGGGTCATGTCCTGTTGGAAGATTAACCTTGCCCCAGTCTGAGGTCCTGAGCGCTCTGGAGCAGATTTTCATCAAGGATCTCTCTGTACTTTGCTCCGTTCATCTTTCCCTCGATCCTGACTAGTCTCCCAGTCACTGCCGCTGAAAAACATCCCCACAGCATGATGCTGCCACCACCATGCTTCACCGTAGGAATGGTGCCAGGTTTCCTCCAGATGTGACACTTGGCATTCAGGCCAAAGAGTTCAATCTTGGTTTCATCAGACCAGAGAATCTTGTTTCTCATGGTCTGAGAGTCTTTAGGCAAACTCCAAGCGGGCTGTCATGTGCCTTTTACTGAGGAGTGGCTTCCGTCTGGCCACTCTACCATAAAGGCCTGATTGGTGGAGTTATGCAGAGATGGTTCTACTTCCGATCTCCACCGAGGAACTCTAGAGCTCTGTCAGTGACCATCGGGTTCTTGGTCACCTCCCTGACCAAGGCCCTTCTACCCCAATTGCTCAGTTTGGCCGGGCGGCCAGCTCTAGGAAGAGTCTTGGTGGTTCCAAACTTCTTCCATTTAAGAATGATGGAGGCCACTATGTTCTTGGGGACCTTCAATACTGCAGACATTTTTTGGGACCCTTCCCCAAATCTGTTCCTCAACACAACCCTGTCTTGGAGCTCTACAGACAATTCCTTCGACCTTATTTTACATTTTAGTCATTTAGCAGACGCTCTCATCCAGAGCGACTTACAGTTAGTGAGTGCATACATTTTCATAGTGGTCCCCCGTGGGAATCGAACCCACAACCCTGGCGTTGCAAGCGCCATGCTCTACCAACTGAGCTACACAGGACTTGGGTTTTGCTCTGACATGCACTGTCAACTGTTGGACCTCATATAGACAGGTGTGTTCCTTTTCAAAATCATGTCCAATCATTTGAATTTACCATAGGTGGACTCCAATGAAGTTGTAGAAACATCTCAAGGATGATAAATGGAAACAGGATGCACCTGAGCTCAATTTCGAGTCTTATAGCAAAGGGATCTAAATACTTATGTAAAAAAGGTATTTCTGTTTTTTATTTTTAATACATTTGCAAAAATGTCTAAAAACATGTTTTTGCTTTGTCATTATGGGGTATTTTTATTCATTTAATCAATTTTAGAATAAGGCTGTAACGTAAAAAAACTGTAGAAAACGTCAAGGGGTCTGAATACTTTCCGACGGCACTGTATGTATGTATGTATGTATGTATGTATGAAGTCGGAAGTTTACATACACTTAGGTTGGAGTCATTAAAACTTGTTTTTCAACTTTATTTTTAACAAACTATAATTTTGGCAAGTCAGTTAGGACATCTACTTTGTGCATGACACAAGTAATTTTTCCAACAATTGTTTACAGACAGATTATTTCAATCATAATTCACTGTATCACAATTCCAGTGGGTCAGAAGTTTACATACACTAAGTTGACTGTGCCTTTAAACAGCTTGGGAAATTCCAGAAAATAATGTCATGGCTTTAGAAGCTTCTGATAGGCTAATTGACATAATCTGAGTCAATTGGAGGTGTACCTGTGGATGTATTTCAAGGCCTACCTTCAAACTTAGTGACTCTTTGCTTGACATCATGGGAAAATGAAAAGAAATCAGCCAAGACCTCATAAAAAAATGGTACACCTCCACAAATTTGGTTCATCCTTGGGAGCAATTTCCAAACGGCTGAAGGTACCACGTTCATCTGTACAAACAATAGTATGCAAGTATAAACACCATGGGACCACGCAGCTGTCATAACGCTCAGGAAGGAGATGTGTTCTGTCTCCTAGAGATGAACGTACTTTGGTGCGAAAAGTGCAAATCAATCCCAGAACAACAGCAAAGGACCTTGTGAAGATGCTGGAGGAAACGGGGACAAAAATATCGATATCCATAGTAAAACAAGTCCTATATCGACATAACCTGAAAGGCCACTCAGCAAGGAAGAAGCCACTGCTCAAAAACCGCCATAAAAAAGCCAGACTACGGTTTGCAACTGCACATGGGGGACAAAGATCGTACTTGCAAGCCGACGAACACCATCCCAACCGTGAAGCACGGGGGTGGCAGCATCATGCTGTGGGGCTGCTTTGCTGCAGGAGGGTCTGGTGCACTTCACAAAATAGATGGCATCATGATGAAGGAAAATTACGTGGATATATTGAAGCAACATCTCAAGACATCAGTCAGGAAGTTAAAGCTTGGTCGCAAATTGGTCTTCCAAATGGACAATGACCCCAAGCATACTTCCCAAGTTGTGGCAAAATGGCTTAAGGACAACAAAGCCAAGCTATTGGAGTGGCCATCACAAAGCCCTGACCTCAATCCTATAGAAAATTTGTGGGCAGAACTGAAAAAGCGTGTGCGAGCAAGGAGGCCTACCAAACCTGACTCCAATAGCCTGGCTCTGTCAGGAGGAATGGGCCCAAAATTTACCCAACTTATTGTGGGAAGCTTGTAGAAGGCTATCCGAAACGTTTGACCCTAGTTAAACAATTTAAAGGCAATGCTACCAAATACTAATTGAGTGTATGTAAACTTCTGACCTACTGGAAATGTGACGAAAGAAATAAAAGCTGAAATAAATAATTCTGACATTTCACATTCTTAAAATAAAGTGATGATCCTAACTGACCTAAGACAGGGAATTTTCACTAGGATTAAATGTCAGGAATTGTGAAAAACTGAGTTTAAATGTATTTGGCTAAGGTGTATGTAATTTTCCGACTTCAACTGTGTGTGTGTGTATATGTGTGTGTGTGTGTGTGTGTGTATATATGTATATATATATATATATATATATATTACTACCAGTCAAAAGTTTGGACACACCTATTAATTCAAGGGTTGTTCCTTATTTTTACAAATGTTTACATTGTAGAATAATAGTGAAGACATCAAAACTATGAAATAACAGACATGGAATCATGTAGTAACCAAAAAAGTGTTAAACAAATCAAAATATATTTTATATTTGAAATTCTTCAAATAGCCACTCTTTGCCTTGATGACAGCTTTGCACACTCTTGGCATTCTCTCAACCAGCTTCATGAACTAGTCACCTGGAATGCATTTCAATTAACACGTGTGCCTTCTTAAAAGTTAATTTGTGGAAATTTATTTCCTTCTTATTGCGTTTGAGCCAATCAGTTGTGTTGTGACAAGGTAGGGGTGGTATACAGAAGATAGCCCTATTTGGTAAAAGACCAAGTCCATATTATGGCAAGAACAGCTCAAATAAGCAAAGAGAAACGACAGCCCATCATTACTTTAAGACCTGAAGGTCAGTCAATATGGAACATTTCAATTACTTTTAAAGTTTCTTCAAGTGCAGTCGCAAAAACCATCAAGCGCTATGATGAAACTGGCTCTCATGAGGACCGCCACAGGAATGGAAGACCCAGAGCTACTTCTGCTGCAGAGGATGAGTTCATCCAGCCTCAGAAATTGCAGCCCAAATAAATGCTTCACAGAGTTCAAGTAACAGACACATCTCAACATCAACTGTTCAGAGGGGACTGTGTCAATCAGGCCTTCATGTTCGAGTTGCTGCAAAGAAACCACTACTAAAGAACACCAATAAAAAGAAGAGACCTGCTTGGGCCAAGAAACACGAGCAATGGACATTAGACCAGTGGAAATATGTCCTTTGGTCTGGAGTCCAAATGTGAGATTTTTGGTTTAAACGGCTGTGTCTTTGTGAGACGTGGTGTGGGTGAACGGATTATCTAGGAATGTGTAGATCCCACCGTAAAGCATGGAGGAGGTGGTGTTATGGTGTGGGGGTGCTTTGCTGGTGACACTGTCTGTGATTTATTTTGAATTCATGGCACACTTAACCAGCATGGCTACCACAACATTCTGCAGCAATACGCCATCCCATCTGGTTTGGGCTTAGTGGGACTATCATTTGTTTTTCAACAGGACGATGACACAACACACCTCCAGGCTGTGTAAGGGCTATTTTACCAAGAAGGAGAGTGATGGAGTGTTGCATCAGATGACCTGGCCTCCACAATCCCCCAACCTCAACCAAATTGAGATGGTTTGGGATGAGTCGGACTGCAGAGTGAAGGAAAAGCAGCCAACAAGTGCTCATTACATGTGGGAACTCCTTCAAGACTGTTGGAAAAGCATTCAAGGTGAAGCTGGTTGAGAGAATGCCAAGGGTGTGCAAAGCTGTCATCAATGCAAAGGGTGGCTATTTGAAGAATCTCAACTATAAAATGTTTTGATTTGTTTAATACTTTTTTGGTTACTACATGATTCCTTATGTGTTATTTCATAGTTTTGATGTCTTCACTATTATTCTAGAATGTAAAAATAAAGAAAAACCCCTGAAGGAGTAGGTGTGTCCAAACTTTTGACTGGTACTGTATATATTTGTAACTTATGTATTGTGATGTTTCGTGTGGTCCCTCCCTGCAAATACCTAACCTTAGTAGTTATCATGTAAACCTTAATGCCCATCTAATATAATCTCTCTTGCTCTCAGCCTCAGAAGAAAAAGAAAGACCGGCGGAAAGGTAAAGGTGGAGAGGGAGACGATGATGATGACGAGGATGTGATGGAGAAACTGAAGAAGCTGTCAGTGCAAGCCAGCGAGGACGAGGAAGAAGAGGGTAAGTTGACTGCTTAATAAGTCTGTCAAACATAAATTATGTATACATTTCAAGCTGGAAATGTGTGGAGTTGATAGCTTAGCTAGCCTTTCATCAACTTCTCGCTCTTGCTTGCTCTCTCTCTCTCTCTCTCTATCTTATCCCAGTTGTGGCCCCCAGAAAAGGCAAGGGAAATAAGGTGAGCATGTTGTGCATGCAACAGTCTTGATCACTATATCTAGTCTTAACAGTGTTGATCACTCTGTTCTATTCTATTGCATTTTGGGGGGAGAATATGCTATAATCCACTTTTAAATTGTATTTGTTCTATTTGTTGTTTCAGGGCGGGAACATATTTGCAGCTCTCAGTCAGGGAGACAGTGATGATGATGATGGAGTGGCTGGAGGGGATGATGATGAAGATGAGAGACGGATGAAGGTGCGTGCGGTTTGCTTCTTATGTTTATGTATCATGTTCTTCTGAATCTGAATGTTGATTGTATTTATACTACCTTTTTGTTTGCGGTCCAGGCAGCTCTAAGAATGGGTTTGTTTACTAATTCATCCACCCCATCCCTCCCCTCCTCATATCCTTCCTTCCTGTTCCTTTTCTACAGTCTTCTCTTCTCTTTTGGATTTCATCACACACACCCAATAATAGCTACACATGTTCACATCCATATTCTTAGGTATTCCTACATTATTTTATTGCATTTTATTGCATTTCATCTACATGTGTTGGACATATTAGCAATGGCTAGAAGGGCTGGGGCTTGCAAGGCACTTAGAATCGAATGATCTGAATCAAGCATGTTCTTTTTCTTCATAACGACGTTGTACTCTGGTGTAAGGACATCTCTAATATTAAGGAACTGGTGTATCTGTGTGCGTGTCTGTGCGTCTTTAATACTTGAACACAGGAGGTTGAGAAGGTGCATAAGGGCAAGAAAAAAGATAAACCTAAGCCAAAACCAAAAGCCAAGGTGGGTGATGGAATGTTTCTTCTCCTACTGCATTCTCTTTTCTTTCCCTCTCCTTTCCCCTTTCTTCATACCCTTTTTACCCCCGTGCCTGTCTTTTTCCCATCCAACAGGGTTGATAACGGAAGGCAGCACATTTTTAAATGTTCACTAACACATCCCCCACTCATTCCATTCACTTTTATTTCACTCTACTCTCTATTTAACTTATTTCTCTTCATCGTACACCTCATATCTGCAGATCTAACCCACTGAAATACTCAACACAATAAAACCGTGTGAGTCTGATCTCACTTTTTCCCAGACGTGGAGCCTCACTCTATTCTTCCTACATAAAACCAGGCTCCCTCTGATGATGAGGCGGAGGAAGAGAAGAAAGAGGAGGATGAGAAAAAAGCTGTGAAAAAGAACAAGAAACCAGAGGCTAAACCAGCACCCAAGGTCAGGCTTCTGATTGGCTTGGTGGAATATTCACCATATTGCTTACACCTATCAAATTATTTCAGATCTACTGGAGTATCTAGAGAGTATTGATTTGGGATTCAGCATTATGTTGAGAACTAAATGAGAGAGACTCACCTTTTCTCTTCCCTTGTAGGCAACTGAGGAGGATGAAGCAGAGGAGGAGAAAAAGGAGACGTCTCAGCCGAAGAAAGGCAAGAAGGAACAGCCCAAGGTGAGTGAAGTGCTCTCTCTGGTGGTAACAACACAAACTTTGTTTAAAACAGTTTTCCTTCTGGGAATGTAGGGATGGCATTCGATAGAAAATATTATTGGGTTAGCGACATATAGTGTGACCAAGTCCTAAAATCCAAACCTGTAAACTGTCTAGTATGCAGGCCAATATAATGCATGGCCACAGTGTATGGGTCACAGTAACACTTAATATCTTGTCAAGGTAGTTTCTGTAAAACCATAATGCTGTGTGACTTGTCCCATTCAGAGGATGAACAAACCTGCTCGCCCGCCTCGCAGCGAAGATGAGGAAGAGGGTGAAGACGATGAAGATGACACAATGAAGGTGTGTGTTTATAGTCTAATCTGAGTCTGCTATATGGAAGGGTGATACATAGCGTGTAGAGTCACCATAGAAGGCCTAACTCACTGTCTCTCCCTCTGTCTGTGTGTCAGTGTGCTGAAGACGTGATCGCAGAGCAGGAGCAGGAGAAAGGTGACGACCCCTTCGCCAACATGAGCAAGAAGGAGAAGAAGAAGAAAAAGAAAATGGTAACCAGTCTATACATATACAGTGGGGGAAAAAAGTATTTAGTCAGCCACCAATTGTGCAAGTTCTTCCACTTAAAAAGATGAGGCCTGTAATTTTCATCATAGGTACACGTCAACTATGACAGACAAATTGAGAAAAAAAATCCAGAAAATCACATTGTATGATTTTTTATGAATTTATTTGCAAATTATGGTGGAAAATAAGTATTTGGTCACCTACAAACAAGCAAGATTTCTGGCTCTCACAGACCTGTAACTTCTTATTTAAGAGGCTCCTCTGTCCTCCACTCGTTACCTGTATTAATGGCACTTGTTTGAACTTGTTATCAGTATAAAAGACACCTGTCCACAACCTCAAACAGTCACACTCCAAACTCCACTATGGCCAAGACCAAAGAGCTGTCAAAGGACACCAGAAACAAAATTGTAGACCTGCACCAGGCTGGGAAGACTGAATCGGCAATAGGTAAGCAGCTTGGTTTGAAGGAATCAACTGTGGGAGCAATTATTAGGAAATGGAAGACATACAAGACCACTGATAATCTCCCTCGATCTGGGGCTCCACGCAAGATCTCACCCCGTGGGGTCAAAATGATCACAAGAACGGTGAGCAAAAATCCCAGAACCACACGGGGGGACCTAGTGAATGACCTGCAGAGAGCTGGGACCAAAGTAACAAAGCCTACCATCAGTAACACACTACGCCGCCAGGGACTCAAATCCTGCAGTGCCAGACGTGTCCCCCTGCTTAAGCCAGTACATGTCCAGGCCCGTCTGAAGTTTGCTAGAGTGCATTTGGATGATCCAGAAGAGGATTGGGAGAATGTCATATGGTCAGATGAAACCAAAATATAACTTTTTGGTAAAAACTCAACTCGTCGTGTTTGGAGGACAAAGAATGCTGAGTTGCATCCAAAGAACACCATACCTACTGTGAAGCATGGGGGTGGAAACATCATGCTTTGGGGCTGTTTTTCTGCAAAGGGACCAGGACGACTGATCCGTGTAAAGGAAAGAATGAATGGGGGCCATGTATCGTGAGATTTTGAGTGAAAACCTCCTTCCATCAGCAAGGACATTGATGATGAAACGTGGCTGGGTCTTTCAGCATGACAATGATCCCAAACACACCGCCCGGGCAACGAAGGAGTGGCTTCGTAAGAAGCATTTCAAGGTCCTGGAGTGGTCTAGCCAGTCTCCAGATCTCAACACCATAGAAAATCTTTGGAGGGAGTTGAAAGTCTGTGTTGCCCAGCGACAGCCCCAAAACATCACTGCTCTAGAGGAGATCTGCATGGAGGAATGGGCCAAAATACCAGCAACAGTGTGTGAAAACCTTGTGAAGACTTACAGAAAACGTTTGACCTGTGTCATTGCCAACAAAGGGTATATAACAAACTATTGAGAAACTTTTGTTATTGACCAAATACTTATTTTCCACCATAATTTGCAAATAAATTCATTAAAAATCCTACAATGTGATTTTTTTCTCATTTTGTCTGTCATAGTTGACGTGTACATATGATGAAAATTACAGGCCTCTCTCATCTTTTTAAGTGGGAGAACTTGCACAATTGGTGGCTGACTAAATACTTTTTTTCCCCACTGTACTTGACCAGACACAGAATAAGCTTTTTATTCATTGGAAGTGTGTGTCTGTGCCTCTGTGTTTCTAGATGGAGTATGAGAAGCAGCTGGCCAGTGTGCGTGCTGCCAACGCTATCGAGGGAGATTTCTCCGTGTCCCAGGCTGAGTTGTCTTCCAGACAGGCCATGCTGGAGAACGCATCAGATATCAAGGTGACCTGACCGTCTCAACTCTTCTAGTGTTTCTTTATTCTGACGAATTGAGTGAGAACTTAATAGAACATAGTTCTTGAATACTGAAGAAAATGTATTAAATGTTTCTTTGTAAGTAGACAGTGTGAGGTATGAGGTAGTCCCTTCAACCATTATATACTGTAGAAAAGGGATGGGCTACCTTGATGGGGGTGGGGGCCACAAAATCTGAACTCATCATGAGGGGCCGCAGTTTTTTGCGGGTCTATGTACTATATCCATACCACCCCCCCCCCCCCCCCACCCCTTTGACAGCAGAGAGGCATTTTTGAGTAAATTCCGCGCAATTCTAGATGTTTTGCCATGGGATGTAGAGAGAAAATGTTGCGGTTTTAAATTAAGTTTGCTGCAATTCTATACATTTTGCCATGGGGCAGAGAGAAGACTGCAGTTTTATAACTAATTTCATGCAATTCTACTCATGAAAAATGTATGCACTCACTAACTGTAAGTCGCTCTGGATAAGAGCGTCTGCTAATGACTAAAATGTAAATGTACATTTTGCCATGGGGCGGAGAGGAAAAGTAGCTGTTTTATATAGGGTGGGGAGAAATGTTTGCAGTTTTTAATATATCTGAGTGAGACTGAATAACAAAATCAATGGGGGCACCCCGGACATTAATTCGACCATGATAATAAGTTTAGATAGCTGGCCGCTAAACTAACTTAGCAAATCTAAAAAAATTTAGCTGACATGGGCTAACTGACTATCAGTGACTGGCATAACAAGAGAAAAACTGCTAATGCACAACCAAATTTCATATTCTACTGTTGTAACGCGCAACTGTAATTTGAGACCCCAACTGAGTTCCAATTTAAAAAATAAAATATAAATATATAAAATACAATTTAAATTGATCCGAGGGCCTTCGGGCCGCCAGTTGCCCATCCCTGCTGTAGAATGTTCCATAAAGTTCTATGAGTATCAGAGTTCACCTGTAGTGGTTTCAGTGTTTTAATGTGCTACTCTTTGTCTCCTCCAGCTGGAGCGGTTCAGTATATCAGCTCACGGGAAGGAGCTGTTTGTCAACGCAGACCTCCTGGTGGTGGCAGGAAGACGCTACGGTCTGGTTGGACCCAACGGGAAAGGGAAGACCACTCTCTTGAAACATATCGCCAACAGAGCTCTCAGTATCCCTCCTAACATCGACGTGCTGCTCTGTGAGCAAGGTATGTCACCTGTCCTCTGAAGAATACCTCTCCAATCATACCCTTCTCTCTCCATCTCCCTCTCTTATCGTCGATCTGTTTGCATGTCTTTTGTCTCTACCCCCTGTCTCTCTCCCTCTACCCTCCTTTCTCTACCCCTCTTCTCCCTTCCTATCTCTCTACCCCTTCTCTCACGTCACCCCTACCCTCTCTCTCTCTAACACCCTATGTCTCTCTCCATCTCTCCATAGAGGTGATAGCTGATGACACCCCGGCGGTCCAGGCTGTGTTGAAGGCAGACACCAGGCGTCTGAAGCTCCTGGAAGAGGAGAGACAACTGCAGGCTCTGCTGGAGAAAGGAGAAGACAGCGTGGCTGAGAGACTGGACAAGGTATGGGGAAGCGTTATAATGAAACCCTAATACACTCTTAGATCTGCCAGGTGAAATATCCACCTCCTAATTGCTATGATAATGTATTGGATACAGTGTTTTTTAATTCAGACTGTGGAGTCATTGTCTCTTAGGCTGCATTCAGACAGAAATGCCATATCTGTCAATAGACTAAGCCACTGCATGTCTACATATTGTGTGTCCGTCTCAACCAGGTCTATGAGGAGTTGAGGATCATTGGGGCAGCAGCAGCGGAGGCTAAAGCCCGTCGTATCCTGGCTGGTCTCTCCTTCACCCCAGAGATGCAGAACCGAGCTACCAAGAAGTTCTCTGGAGGCTGGAGGATGAGAGTCTCACTAGCCAGGTAGACTTTATCAGAATTCGAGATGCTGAGAATTTTCCTGCAGATGAGTTTTGTGATTTCAATAAATTCACTGAAAACCCACACTACCACACAGTTATTAACAGTATCGCACTTTTCATGTAATCTACTTTTGGCCAGCTAATATGGACATTATGGACTTAACATTTTAAATCCTGTTGCTGGAGGATTATTTTACTGTTACAATATTGATCAAATTAAGATCCTATATCTGTAGACGCCCTAGCCCTGCTTAGGCACTTCTATAGATCTGAAAGGATGAAAACAGAGATAAAAACAGCAGCAATGAAAACAGCAGTGAAAATGAACTCTAACCTAAGCTTCCTGTGGCCCTCTCTCCTACCAGAGCTCTGTTCATGGAGCCCACCCTGCTGATGCTGGATGAGCCCACCAACCATCTTGACCTCAACGCTGTCATCTGGCTCAACAAGTAAGGGCACACCACACGCTGCCTTTTTCTTAAATATCATTTATTTCACAGGGACAGGTCACAGTCATAGTCCACACAACACGGAGCTGCTTAGTCAATGGGTCTCCTTTCTGCCTTGCATCTGTGAATGATACACTACAGTGGCTAATATATCAATCTCTCCTCCTTCTCCTAGCTACCTTCAGGGCTGGAAGAAGACTCTCCTCATCGTGTCTCACGACCAGAGTTTCCTGGACGATGTGTGTACTGACATCGTTCATCTGGACAACCAGAAACTTTATTACTACAGAGGGAACTACTGTGAGTATTAGCTATGTACATTCTTTCACCTTCCCCACAAACTGTTAGCCTGGGAATACAAACTTCAACACAACAACAAACAAAAATGTGTGTATTTGGTTATTGACATACTATACTGAACAAAAATATAAACGCAACATGTAAAGTGTTGGTCCCATGTTTCATGAGCAGAAATGTTCCATAAACACAAAAACCTTATTTCTCAAAAATGTTGTGCACAAATGTTTACATCCCTGTTAGTGAGCATTTCTCCTATGCCAAGATAATCCATCCACCTTACAGGTGTGGCATATCAAGAAGCTGATTAAACAGCACGATCACTACACAGGTGAATCTTGTGCTGGGGACAATAAAAGGCCATTCTAAAATGTGAAGTTTTGTCACACAACACAATGCCACAGTTTTGAGGGAGCGTGCAATTGGCATGCTGACTACAGGAATGTCCACCAGAGCTGTTGCCAGAGAATTGAATGTTAATTTCTCTACCATAAGCTGCCTTCAACGTCTTTTTAGAGAATCTGGCAGTATGTCCAACCGGCCTCACAACCGCAGACCGTGTGTAACCACGCCAGCCCAGGACCTCCACATCCGGCTTCTTCACCTGCGGGATCGTCTGAGCCAAGCCACCCGGACAGCTGATAAAACTGTGGGTTTGCACAGCCAAAGAATTTCTGCACAAACTGTCAGAAACTGTCTCAGGGAAGCTCATCTGCGTGCTCGTCGTCCTCACCAGGTTCTTGACCTGACTGCAGTTCGGCGTCATAACTGACTTCAGTGGGCAAATGCTCACCTTCGATGGCCACTAGCAAGCTGGAGAAGTGTGCTTTTCACGGATGAATCCCAGTTTCAACTGTACCGGGCAGATTGCAAACAGTTTATATAGCATCGTGTTGGTGAGCGGTTTGCTGATGTCAACGTTGTGAACAGAGTGCCCCATAGTGGCGGTGCGGTTATGGTATGGGTAGGCATAAGCTACGAACACAATTGCATTTTATCGATGGCAATGTGAATGCACAGAGATACCGTGACGAGATCCAGAGGCCCATTGTTGTGCCATTCATCTGCCGCCATCACCTCATGTTTCAGCATGATAATGCACGGCCCCATGTCGCAAGGGGCCGTGCATTATCATGCTGAAACATGAGGTGATGGCGGCAGATGAATGGCACAACAATGGGCCTCTGGATCTCGTCACGGTATCTCTGTGCATTCACATTGCCATCGGTACATAATTCCTGGAAGCTGAAAATGTCCCAGTTCTTCCATGGCCTGCATACCATTGGGATGCTCTGGATCGACGTGTACAAGAGCGTGTTCCAGTTCCCGCCAATATCCAGCAACTTCGCACAGCCATTGAAGAGGAGTGGGACAACATTCCACAGGCCACAATCAACAGCCTGATGAACTCTATGCGAAGGAGATGTCGCGCTGCATGAGGCAAATGGTGGTCACACCAGATACTGACTGCTTATCTGATCCACCCCCAAACTTTTTATTTTAAGGTATCTGTGACTAACAGATCCGTATCTGTATTCCCAGTCATGTGAAATCCATAGATTAGGGCCTAATTAATTGATTTCAATTGACTGATTTCCTACAGTAAAATCTTTGAAATTGTTGCATGTTGCGTTTATATTTTTGTTCAGTGTAGATGCATGTTCTATAATGTAGAACATGTACGGTGCATTCGGAAAGTATTCAGACCCCTTGACTTTTTCCACTTTGTTACGTTGCATCCTTATTCTAAAATTGATTTAAAAAAATAATAATACTCATCAATCTGTACACAATACCCCATAATGACAAAGCAAAAACAGGTTTTTAAAAAAGTTTTTGCAGGTTTATTACAAATAAAAATCGGAAATAGTACATTTACATAAGTATTCAGACCCTTTACTCAGTACTTTGTTGAAGCACCTTTGGCAGAGATTACAGCCTCGAGTCTTCTTGGGTATGACGCTACAAGCTAGGCACACCTGTATTTGGGGAGTTTCTCCCATTCTTCTCTGCAGATCCTCTCAAGCTCTGTCAGGTTGGATGGGGAGCGTCTCTGCACAGCTATTTTCAGGTCTCTCCAGAGATTGGGTTAAAGTCCAGGCTCTGACTGGGCCATTCAGGAAATCCAGAGACTTGTTCCGAAGTCACTCCTACGTTGTGTTGGCTGTGTGCTTAGGGTCGTTGTCCTGTTAGAAGGTGAACCTTCGCCCCAGTCTGAGGTCCTGAGCGCTCTGGAGCAGGTTTTCATCAAGGATCTCTCTGTACTTTGCTTTGTCATCTTTCCCTCGATCCTGCCTAGTCTCCCAGTCCCTGCTGCTGAAAAACATCCCCACAGCATGATGCTGCCACCACCATGCTACACCGTAGGGATGGTGCCAGGTTTCCTCCAGACGTGACGCTTGGCATTCAGGCCAAAGAGTTCAATCTCAGTTTCATCAGACCATAGAATCTTGTTTCTCATGGTCTGAGAGTCTTTAGGTGCCTTTTGGCAAACTCCAAGCGGACTGTCATGTGCCTTTTACTGAGGAGTGGCTTCCATCTGGCCACTCTACCATAAAGGCCTGATTGGTAGAGTACTGCAGAGATGGGAGAAACTTCCAGAAGGACAACCATCTCCACAGAGGAACTCTGGAGCTCTGTCGGAGTTACCATCTGGTTCTTGGTCACCTCCCTGACCAAGGCCCTTCTCCCCCAATTGCTCAGTTTGGCTGGGCGGCCAGCTCTAGGAAGTCTTGGTGGTTCCAAACTTCTTCCATTTAAGAATGATGTAGTTCAATGTGTTCTTTGGGACCTTCAATGCTGCAGAAATGTTTTGGTACACTTCCCCAGATCTGTGCCTCGATACAATCCTGTCTCGGAGCTCTACGGACAATTCCTTCGACCTCATGGCTTGGTGTTTGCTCTGACATGCACAGTCAACTCTGGGGAAGTGTACCAAAACATTTGTGCCTTTCCAAATCATGTCCAATCAATTGAATTTACCACAGGTGGACTCCGATCAAGTTGTAGAAACATCTCAAGGATGCTCAATGGAAACAGGATGCACCTGAGCTAAATTGAATCTCATAGCAAAGGGTCTGAATACTTATGTAAATAAGGTATTTCTGTTTTAGTTTTTTTTTTTATGTGCTAAAAATTCTAAAAACCTGTTTTCGCTTTGTCATTCTGGGTTATTGTGTGTAGATTGATAAACATTTTAGAATAAGGCTGTAACATAGCAGAATGTGGAAAAAATCTAGGGGTCTGAATACTTTCCAAATGCACTGTATCTAATCTCTCCAGGAGTAGCAAAGTGACATGTTTTTGTCATAATCAGTTGTTGTCTTGTACTGTCTTTTGCTAGCTAGGGGCATCTAACCCTCGCACTTGTCTTTTCCCGCTGGCACTGACTTTGTTTAACTACTTTATTGAGGAAAAATGTACTTACTATGACTGAGATGTGGTTATTTATGACGGAGATATGTCTCACCTAGCTATCTTAAGATGAATGCAGTAACTGTTGCTTAATCTGGATACGAGTGTCTGCTAAATTACTATCTGGATACGAGTGTCTGCTAAATTACTAAAATGTCAAATGTGTTTCTCTCTCCGTCTCAGTGACGTTTAAGAAGATGTACGTCCAGAAGCAGAAGGAGCTCCAGAAACAGTACGACAAGCAGGAGAAGAAGCTCAAGGATCTCAAGGCTGGAGGGAAGTCCACCAAACAGGCCGTAAGTTTAGTTCAGCTACCTCTGTTTAGACATTGTTCTACCTGGATCTGTCTGTGTCTGTCAGTCTCTCTGTACTTCTCCTATCATCCACTGTTTTCTGTCTCTGTCTCTAGGAGAAGCAGACTAAGGAGGTCCTGACCAGGAAGCAGGCGAAGGGAAAGAAGAAGGGAGGAGTGGAAGAGGAGAGTCAGGAAGCAACAGAGCTGCTCAAACGACCCAAAGAGTACACTGTCAAATTCACCTTCCCCAACCCCCCTTCTCTCTCTCCTCCCATCCTCGGACTGCACAGTGAGTTGTCCCTCTCTCTCTCTTTTTTCCTCTTCCTCTCTCACTCTTTGTGTATCCCTGTTAACCCTCCGCTCTCTGTCTGTCTCAGGTGTGGACTTTGCCTTTGAGGGACACAAACCCCTCTTCAAGAATGTGGACTTTGGTATCGACATGGAGACTAGAAGTAAGTAGAAATTGTTTCTGTTTGAAAACCTGGGACATGTTCATTTGCCTCCATACTATACCTCATAGCTTTTATCCTTGTTCAGTTTGTATTGTTGGACCCAATGGAGTCGGGAAGAGTACCCTACTACTACTTCTCACTGGCAGGTTAAATCCGGTGAGTTTGCCTCCAAACAAAAACAACAGTAATATCTATACAAATACGGTATCTGTTTCTGCACTGATGGGTGTAACTGTGTGTCAAACTAAATGTGTTGATTTGCCTTTCAGACCAAGGGGGAGATGAGAAAGAACCATCGGCTGAAGGTGGGCTTCTTCAACCAGCAGTATGCTGACCAGCTGAACATGGAGGAGGCAGCTACAGAGTACCTCCAGAGGAACTTCAACCTGCCCTACCAGGACAGCAGGAAGTGTCTGGGCCGCTTCGGACTGGAGAGCCATGCACACACCATCCAGATCTCCAAGCTATCAGGTTAGGATTAGAAACATGCACGCACACACATGCGCAAACACGCACACCATCATCCATTGTCAATCTGTTCTTTTAAATGTCCTCTCTATGTTCCTCTTCATCCAGGTGGTCAGAAAGCCAGAGTGGTGTTCGCTGAGCTGGCCTGTCGGCAACCTGACGTTCTCATCCTGGATGAGCCTACTAACAACCTGGACATTGAGTCGATCGATGCCTTATCAGAAGCTATCAACGAGTACAAAGGAGGTACAGTTGAAGTCGGAAGTTTACATACACCTTAGCGAAATACATTTAAACTCAGTTTTTCACAATTCCTGACATTTAATCCTAGGAAATTCCCTGTGTTAGGTCAGTTAGGATCACCACTTTATTTTAAGAATGTGAAATGTCAGAATAATAGTAGAGAGAATGATTTATTTCAGCTTTTATTTCTTTATCACATTCCCAGTGGGTCAGAAGTTTACATGCACTCAATTAGTATTTGGTAGCATTGCCTTTAAATTGTTTAACTTGGGTCAAACGTTTCGGATAGCCTTTCACAAGCTTCCCACAATAACTTGGGTGAATTTTGGCCCATTCCTCCTGACAGAGCTGGTGTAACGGAGTCAGGTTTGTAGGCCTCCTTGCTCGCACATGCTTTTTCAGTTCTGCCCACACATTTTCTATAGGATTGAGGTCAGGGCTTTGTGATGGCCACTCCAATACCTTGACTTTGTTGTCCTTAACCAATTTTGCCACAACTTTGGAAGTATGCTTGGGGTCATTGTCCATTTGGAAGACCCATTTGCAACCAAGCTTTAACTTCCTGACTGATGTCTTGAGATGTTGCTTCAATATATCCACATAATTTTCCTTCCTCATGATGCCATCTATTTTGTGAAGTGCACCAGTCCCTCCTGCAGCAAAGCAGCCCCACAGCATGATGCTGCCACCCCTGTGCTTCACGGTTGGGATTGTGGTGTTCGGCTTGCAAGGTCCCCCTTTTTCCTCCAAATATAGCGATGGTCATTATGGCCAAACAGTTCTATTTGTGTTTCATCAGACCAGAGGACATTTCTCAAAAAAGTACGATCTTTATCCCATGTGCACTTGCAAACCGTAGTCTGGCTTTTTATATGGCGGTTTTGGAGCAGTGGCTTCTTCCTTGCTGAGCAGCCTTTCAGGTTATGTCGATATAGGACTCGTTTTACTGTGGATATAGATACTTTTGTGCCTGTTTCCTCCAGCATCTTCACAAGGTCCTTTGCTGTTGTTCTGGGATTTATTTGCACTTTTCGCACCAAAGTACGTTCATCTCTAGGAGACAGAACGCATCTCCTTCCTGAGCGGTATGACGGCTGCCGGGTCCCATGGTGTTTATACTTGCGTACTATTGTTTGTACAGATGAACGTGGTAGCTTCAGGCGTTAGGAAATTGCTCCCAAGGATGAACCAGACTTGTGGAGGTCTACAATAGTTTTTCTGAGGTCTTGGCTGATTTCTTTTGATTTTCCCATGATGTCAAGCAAAGAGGCACTGGGTTTGAAGGTAGGTCTTGAAATACATCCACAGGTACACCTCCCATTGACTCAAATGATGTCAATTAGCCTATCAGAAGCTTCTAAAGCCATTACATTTTCTGGAATTTTCCAAGCTGTTTAAAGGCACAGTCAACTTAGTGTATGTAAACTTCTGACCCACTGGAATTGTGATACAGTGAATTATGTGAAATAATCGGTCTGTAAACAATTGTTGGAAAAATTACTTGTGTCATGCACAAAGTAGATGTCCTAACCGACTTGCCAAAACTATAGTTTGTTAACAAGACATTTGTGGAGTGGTTGAAAAACGAGTTTTAATGACTCCAACCTAAGTGTATGTAAACTTCCGACTTCAACTGTATGTACACAAATATAAGAGACTGTTTGTTATTGAGGGTTTATTTTTGTTTAAATGTAGGATCAGAAAGTAGCCTCAGTGTTCCCTCTACTTGTTTTCGGCACTGAGCAAATTTCAGGTCTGCTTAGTGCAAACTTAAACGTTGTAAATATTCTGTGCAACTTCTGGCGCGCGTTTACTGTGAACTCTGAGGCTGTACCTGCTTCAAGTTAGCTAGAACAGTGGCCAAGTAGGCTACTGTGGCTATTTGATCATAACGCATAATATCAGCCTACAGTAGCAGTAAATGTGTGTTGTTCAATGTAGGCCTACATTCCATTAGACGTTTGGAAAAAAACATGTAGGGATTGACATTAACCTATTTATCCACTTGTCCTTCAGAGAAGGTGACTGAAAATGTTGTTGTTTGATGCAAGAAACAACTTTACAAAATATACTGAACAAAAATATAAATGCAACATGCAACAATTTAAAAGGTTTTACTGAGTTACATTTCATATTAGGAAATCAGTCAATTGAAATGAATTCATTAGGCCCTCATCTATGGATATCACATGACTGGGAATACATATATGCAGCTGTTGGTCACAGATACATTTTTTAAAAGGTAGGGACGTGGATAAGAAAACCAGTTAGTATCTGGTGTGGCCTCATGCAGCCGGACACATTTCCTTTGCATAGAGTTGATCAGGCTGTTGATTGAGGCCTATGGAATGTTGTCCCACTCTTCTTCAATGGCTGTGTGAAGTTACTGGATATTCGCGGGAACTGGAACACGCTGTCGTACACGTCGATCCAGAGCATTCCAAACATGCTCAATGGGTGACATCTGGTGAGTATGCAGGCCATGGAATAACTGGGATATTTTCAGCTTCCAGGAATTGTGTACAGATTCTTGCGACATGGGGCCATGCATTAGCATTCTGAAACATGAGGTGATGGTGGCGGATGAATGGCACGACAATGGGCCTCAGGATCTCGTCACTGTATTACATTTATATTTTAGTAATTTAGCAGACGCTCTTATCCAGAGCGACTTACAGTTAGTGAGTGCATACATTTTTCATACTGGCCCCCTGTGGGAAATGAACCCACAACCCTGGTGTTGCAAGCGCCATGCTCTACCAACTGAGCTACAGGGGTATCTCTGTGCATTCAAATTGCAATCGTGTTCATTGTCCGTAGCTTATGCCTGCCCATACCATAACCCACCGCTACCATGGGGCACACTCTTCACATCGTTGACATGAGCAAACCGCTCGCCCACACGACACCATACACGTGGTCTGCGATTGCGGTTGTGAGACCGGTTGGACGTACTGCCAAATTCTTTAAAACAACGTTGGAGGCAGCTTATGGTAGAGAAATAAACATGACATTCTCTGGCAACAGCTCAGGCGGACATTCATGCATTCAGCATGCCAATTACACACTCCCTCAAAACTTGAGACATCTGTGGCATTGTGTTGTGTGACAAAACTGCACATTTTAGTGGCTTTTTATTGTCCCCAGCACAAGGTGCACATGTTTACATTTACATTTTAGTCATTTTAGCAGACGCTCTTATCCAGAGCGACTTACAGGAGCAATTAGGGTTAAGTGCCTTGCTCAAGGGCACATCGACAGATTTTTCACCTAGTCAGCTCGGGGATTAGAACCAGCGACCTTTCGGTTACTGGCACAACGCTCTTAACCACTAAGCTACCTGCCGCCCATGTGTAATGATAATGCTGTTTAATCCGCTTCTTGATATGCCACACTTGTCAGGTGGATGGATTATCTTGGCAAAGGGGAGATGCTCACTAACAGGGTTGTAAACTAATTTGTGAGAATAAGCTTTTTGTGCGTATGGAACATTTCTGGGATATTTTATTTCATCTCATGAAACATGTTGCGTTTTATATTTTTGTTCAGTGTAAAATTCATTATTATTACCATACCATTATTACAGAGAATCAGTCAAATTATGCTACCCTCTGCCGATTGGCTTCTACTTAGCTTATTCAAGCCTGTCTCAAAATATAACACAGAAAAAAGCTCTTTCCCTGACTTGCTTTTCAAAGATGGCTAGAAATGCACACTTTTGTGCTCTTGTAGGAAGAAACCACTCCCCCATCGCTGACTTGAAATTAGTTATAACTGGGCTAATAACTCGGTAGCAAAGAATATGAACAAATGTACACACCTGGCTACATGCAGCTCTTGCTTTGATCTCAAAACAAGCGCATCTACTCGCGACCACTCGTGCTGTAAACACAGTCCAGTTCAAAGTAAATGGCACAGATCCATATATGGCAATGGTCTATTTGCATATAGGGATACTGCAGCTCTGATTGGTTATGGCGCACTGGTCTGTGTAGAGTATGGGTCTGAATCGTGCCTGTCAATGCAATAGAATCCTACTCCAATGTACAAGAAAATCTATTGCATTGTTCGTTTTGTTTCGGTATGTTGCGTTGAAAGTGGCTAATATTGTGTTGATTTGAACACAATTTGCACAGTAGATGGAAACGTTGATAATGTTCAATCTCGTGCTTCTCTGCGCGTGGTGATATTTCTTCTGCGCGCCAGTCCCGGGGGAGCTGCATGTAGCTTAGAGGGAACAGTGGTGGTGGCATAAATAAATTGGCTGTCAACATCAAACGCATAATTAGCATGCTGCTGATAGTGCCTTTTGGTAGACTCTTCTGACAGTGTGTCTCATATCTTATGGTAATGTCACATGTTCATTCCCTGCTTTTGTCCCTCCATAGCGGTGATCATCGTGAGCCACGATGCCCGGCTGATCACTGAGACAGCCTGTCAGCTGTGGGTGGTGGAGGACCGGTCCGTCAACCAGATAGACGGGGACTTCGAGGACTACAAACGCGAGGTCCTGGAATCACTGGGGGAGACCCTGGTCCACAAGGTCAAGGAGTGACCTACCTACTGCAGAACCAGGGCGCTGTTGGCACTCTATTCCCTATAGTGTGCTACTTTTCACCAGAGCACTATTGGCCCTGGTCAAATGTACTGCACTATGTAGGGAATAGGGTGCCATTTCGAACAGACCCCAGGAGGAAATGTAATGCAATATAACCTACTGCTGAAGCTGGCCATGTCATCAGCTCAATGCTGGGGTGCATCTCGATAGTCTAAGGTGGCTTCCTCGTCTCCGCTCCTGATCGTTCAGCACTTATTTGGATAAGCATCATGGCTGAAGTCTGTCTCCCAAATCAGTTTGATCGAAGAAAGGTGTGGAGAGAAAACCACGTTAAGACTATTGAGACACCCCTGGTGTACTGCAGTATCCTCTCGGCCTATGAGATGCGTACGTCCAAATTGCCACCTTGCCCCCCTACACACACCTGTAGATCTGAAAAGATGGGGCAAGGGGGTGATTTGGGATTCAGAATTTGACTGGACAAGTCTCACCCATGTGACAGAAAGAAAGAGCAATATGCTGAGCAATATGCTGAAGTATTTATATTATAGAGAGGAAATGGCAGTACATTAACACTGGATTCATACATGTAGAAACCGGCTCTTATTAACTGGGAATAAACATGTTGATACCTGTATGATCAAGTCTTTACTACAGATAAAAAGGCAATTCAATAAATGGATTTTGCATCTTACAATGTCTTTATTGTACAACTTGTCTCTGAATACTAAACAATGAGCATAGATTATTAGACAGATTTATCTCATGGACTGTCCATATAGTAGCATGTACTGTTCAAGAGCTGATAAGTCATCCTGTTGCCTAGTTACTTTACCTCTACCTATATATACACTTATCTACTTCAAGTACCTCTACATATTGACTCGGTACTGGTACCCCGTGTATATAGCAAAGGTAATGTTACTCCTATTTTTCTCTGCATTGTTGGGAAGGGCCCTTAAGTAAGCATTTCACTGTTCGTCTACACCTGTTGTATACAAAGCATGTGACAAATACAATTACATTTTAAGTTGTAGCCTGTGAGGAGAAGGGGCTGGAATGAATCAGTGATCTGTTTTTTTTTGTTGTTGGTATTTTACCCCCTTTTTCTCCCCAATTTCGTGGTATCCAATTGGTAGTTACGGTCTTGTCCAATCGCTGCAACTCCCGTACAGACATGGGAGAGGCGAAGGTCGAGAGTCGTCCGAAACACAACCCAACATAGCCGCACTGCTTCTTGACACAGTGCCCGCTTAACCCGGAAGCCTGCTGCACCAATGTGCCGGAGGAAACACCGTACACCTGGCACTGCGATGGGACAAGAACATCCCTCCCCTACCCTGGATGACGCGGCGCCACCCCATGGTTCTCCCGGTCGCGGCCGGCTGCGACAGAGCCTGGACTCGAACCAAGATCTCTAGTGGCACAGCCTTAGACCACTGCGCCACTCGGGAGGCCCTGTGACGTGTTTTAGCAAAATTGCAACTGCTACTCTCCCACACTCCCAAAAGCAATAAAAAAAAAAGCTATTTTATAACTTGTTTTAAAACTGTAATATGTAACTTTTAGGGCGACCCAACCAAATTCACACAAGTGAGTTGTATATCTGTCATTCTCATTGAAAGCAATTCCAAGAAGCAGTAGATATGTTCTATGTGTGCTATTTCTATGCTTAAGTTAACTTTTTGCATATTTTACTTTCATTTTTGTACACCATCTTAAAATACAAGATTTTTGGTTATGGAAAATATATTTCACACTGTTGTTTAGATGGTACAATGATTCTTTACACTATACTTGCTTGTTTTGTCACAAACTGAAATTAGACAAACTATTCCTCTGATAGGCCCTAGTCTATTTCAAATAGGCCTTGTAGGTCTTCTTGACTTTAGCCACTTCAGTCTCGTCTGGCTGTATGGTGTGGTACCACCAGTACCAAGGGGTCATGGTGGGGGGAGGAGGGGTCGAGCCCACTGCATCATGGGAGTTTGAGTAGTCCTCCCCTGAGAAGTCCACATGAGGAACCTGGAAGGGTAGCAGCCCTGGAAATATGGACAATATTTATGTACTGTAGAGAACTGCAGTTTCTGTTTTGGTGGCATTGTTGAAGCACTGCACTGGTCAAAAAATGTTTTATTCTTCATTATTACTGTACTGCTCTAACATTCTCCTCCTTAGTTACAGAGGCTGAACTTACCATGGTCTCTTGCAGCGCCAATCGCCTGATTGAGTTGTTTTTGCTGTTTCTGACACACTCCTGGATAAAAATTTAGAATAACAATATAAATGTGGCACTTTGGTTACCTCAAACCTCACAAAAAGTGTTGGTCTTGAACCAGATGTTACTTTATGCAGAACTGTTTATCACTAAAACAACTATTGGCAGATTCTCAGATTCTTGGTTGTGTCAACTGTGTAAATTAATCATTCATCAAATCAAAGACAACTTATTTCGATGAAACATATTAAACCAGCAAGCATTTATTAAACCAGCAAGCATTTAGATAACACCTGCTGAATTCAGCATGGTTGATTCAGATTCATTCATAGAATTGTATACATATATTGAACTAATATCTTACCTGTCCGTGTGGGGTCATACAAAATGCCTGTATATGGACTGATAAACTGTTGCAGCAGCTTCACATTCTGCAGGAAGACAATGGTCCATTGCTTTACAAACATAACATTGAATAGCTTGTTAAATCAACTTAACGAAATCAAAGGTAATGCCATCCAATTTTCCATCTCTCATAATGGCTGTGTGTGTATTCCATGAGTAAATGTGAGAGACCAAACCTGATAGTGGATGATGATGTTGGTGTCTCGACAAATTGGACAGGGGTTCCCACATATCTTGTCTCCTCTCTGAAGAAAACAAAACAGAAATAGTGATTAGAGGTTGCAGTCACATGTCTGTCCGGTGGAGAATATAATAATAATATGGAGTTACATAGCCTAATACAAAGCAGACAGCATCAAGGTAGACATCCTCTGATCATCTGTGCACTCCCCAAAGCCTAGGCAATAGCTCAGAGACCTGCCGCAAGTCTCCAGGTCTCAGGCAAGGTTACAGAACCACCTCTGTTACACCTACAATGCAGGTCTTGCGTGTCTTCTGAGGGGGAATCCCCCCTTTGTGGTTCCTCCTGTAGTCAGACCACACTGGACTGGTTCCATAGCGCTCTATGTACTCTAGAGATAGGAGAGGTAGACGGACACAAAGTAAATGGTCACAGATATGGATGGATTAACAGTAATTAATTACACTATTCCTGGACTTTTCCCAGACAATTCCTGATTATCCATTGAGCATGCCTTTTAGAGCAGGAACCTGGAGTAGGCTTAATCTGGGTCCGAGGAACCATCCCTTAGAAAACAGCAGAGTGCATAGAAAATACATACAATCTCTAATCTCCATACCTTCGCTCTCCAGGTAGTCCCATGGTCTGTCCTTGTAGCGGGCAAGAGCCTCCACTGCCTCAGCAGCATCACTGGGGATCTCAGGTGAGGCTGCAGTGCACAGAGAGAGGCTGGACTTCACACTTGGAAACACAGCCTGGGTCCAAAGCCTGACAGGTAACCTCTTTGGAAGCTAGAAACCAAACAAATACAGTGACTGTCAGTCAAGTCATCAAGTGTAAAACTTGCAAATACAGTGTACTGTACTGTACACAAGCCAATGATGCTGATAAGTTTGCATATACTATGGTTATATGTGAAACATATTACTGGGCTTGCAGTGGATGATGTACAGTGCACAAAGTCGAGTACCGGTATGTAGTTCGCTATGTTGCTAGCTGCAACTGGCTAGTGGTGTTTATTAGCCGGCGGTAACGTTAGCTCCGTCACTGTTTCGTGATATGACTATCTGTGTAACGTAGTTGAATGTGTACATCAGAAGTCCTAGCTTTTGCTTATATGATGCACTATAGAAAATAATTGTGAAATACCTTATTCTGCCGAATATTCTGTAAAAGTAAAGGAGACACACGGCATAAAATCCTTCCAACGCTTGGTATGGACGCTGCCATTTTGCCTTTCACAACTGAGGGTTGAAAGTTTACAGGTGAAAGGGGAAGTAGCACATTATTTTTTTTGGTGCATGGCTAAACTCTCCTTTTGGACTTCAATTCATTTATTTTATGAATTTTAGTACATTATTAATTTCATCATTTTAAATTAAACGCAAGGTTTTGATAGTGTCCGCGAGTGTGCCAGGCAGCATGCTCGACTCCACCGCAGCCATTTTGTAAAAATATTACAATCGAAATTACACCCAAATGTGATATTATACCTCAGTACGAGCACCATATTTTGTGAGTTAGAACTAATACTCATTCAAATGTGTTTAGATAAGCAACAATAGACTTGGGGTGTGATTTAAATTTAAAAGAGAATGTACAAAACGTGCAGCGACATCTTTCTGTCCTAATGGACAATGAAGGCACAGATAGAAAACTCTTTGATGAAGGTCGGTCTACAACTGCGCGTCACCAAAAACTCAATTTTGTTACCATGAAAATCCCAGAAAATGTATGGTAGAACACTCGTAAGACGTCAAAAACGTCACAGGGTATAAATATCAAGCCCCTCCCCTTTCCAGCACATTCCTGGATTTGTTCTGCGGTGAGTAACGTCGAAAGAAATGCTGTAATTTATTTATTTATTTTCGAAAACGACTGCGCAATTATTCATTTTAACCATAATCCATCATAAGAAAGCTATTTTAAGATACAGGTGTGTATGAGCGCACTAAGAAAGTAAGTGAATGTAACTTTAAATGTTTTTCGTTTTGTGTGCTCTTTTTTTCAGGTATTTTGTCTCTGAAGAGTGGCCGTCGAGGACTTTGAACATTAAATAAAAACACTTTTCAACAAATTGACGTTTTACTACTAGTTTTGCCTCCAGTTTGTTCCAGAAGGAATAGCTATCTTTTAGCTGCCACAACCTCGCCCAAACATTGGCAGTAGAATGGCCTGTACTGAAGAGCTCAGTGACTTTCAACGTGGCACCGTCATAGGATGCCACCTTTCCAACAAGTCAGTAAGTCAAATTTCTGCTCAGCTAGAGCTGCCCAGGTCAACTGTAAGTGCTGTTATTGTGGAGTGGAAACGTCTAGGAGCAACAACGGCAGAGCCGCGAAGTGGTAAGCCACACAAGCTCACAGAACGGGACCGGCAAGTGCTGTAGCGGCAAAAAATTCTGTCCTCGTGCAACACACACTACCGAGTTCCAACCTGCTTCTGACAGCAACGTCCGCACAATAACTGTTTGTCTGGAGCTTCATGAAATGGGTTTCCATGGCCAAACAGCCACACACAAGCCTAAGATCACCATGCGCAATGCCAAGCGTAGGCTGGAGTGGTGTAAAGCCAGATAGGCGGGGACTTCCAGGACTACTAACAGGAGGACCTGGAATCACTGGGGGAGACCCTGGTCCACAAGGTCATGGAGTGACCTACCTACTGCAGAACCAGGGCTCTGTTGGCACTCTATTCCCTATAGTGTGCAATTTTTCACCAGAGCACTATTGGCCCTGGTCAAATGTACGGCACTATGTAGGGAAGAGGGTGCCATTTCGAACGGACCCCAGGAGGAGATGTAATGCTATATAACCTACTGCTGAAGCTGGCCATGTCATCAGCTCAGTGCTGGGGTGCATCTCGATAGTCTAAGGTGGCTTCCTTGTCTCCGCTCCTGATCGTTCAGCACTTATTTGAATAAAGCTCATGGCTGAAGTCTGTCTCCCAAATCAGTTTGATTGAAGAAAGGTGTGGAGAGGAAGCCACGCTAACTATTGAGACACACCCCTGTTGTATGACATTATCCTGTCAGCCTATGAGATGCATACATTTTTTAAAAGTCCAATTTGCCACCTTGCCCCCCTACACACCTGTAGATCTGAAAAGATAGGGCAAAGGTGGTGATTTGGAATTCAGAATTTGACTGGACAAGTGGGCATGTCTCACCCATGGGACAGAAAGAAAGGGCAATATGATGAAGTGTTTATAATGGCAATACATTACCACCGGATTCGTACATGTATAAACCAAGCTCTTATTAACTTGAAATAAACATGTTGATACCTGTATGATCAAGTATTTACTACAGATAAGGCAATTCAATAAATGGATTTTGCATCTTACAATGTCTTTATTGTACAACTTGTCTCTGAATACTAAACAATGAGCATAGAACAGATTATTTGACAGATTTATCTCATGGACGTCCAGTGGTCTAAGGCACTGCATCGCAGTGCTAGCTGTGCCACTAGAGATCCTGGTTCGAATCCAGGCTCTGTCGTAGCTGGCCGTGACCGGGAGACCCATGGGGCGGCGCACAATTGGCCCAGCGTCGTCCAGGGTAGGGGAGGGAATGGCCAGCAGGGATGTAGCTCAGTTGGTAGAGCATGGCGTTTGCAACACCAGGGTTGTGGGTTCGATTCCCACGGGGGGGCCAGTATGAAAAATAAAAAATGTATGCACTCACTAACTGTAAGTCGCTCTGGATAAGAGCGTCTGCTAAATGACTAAAATGTAAATATAGTAGCATGTTCTGTTCATGAGCTGATAAGTCCTGTTGCCTAGTCACTTTACCTCTACCTATATATACACTTATCTACTTCAATTACCTTGTACCTCTGCATATCGACTTGGTACTGGTACCCCGTGGAAATTGCTAAATTAATGTTACTCCTATTTCTTCCTTGTTCTTTTTTTCAATTTTTCTCTGCATTGTTGGGAAGGGCCCGTACAAAGCATTTAACTGTTAGTCTACCTACACCTGTTTGCAAAGCTTGTGACAAAATTAGATTTTTAGTTGTTGCCTGTAAGGAGAAGAGGCTGGAATGAATCAGTGATGTTTTATCAAGATTGTAACTGCTACCCTCCCACACTCCCAAAATCAATAAAAAAAAGCTATATGTTGCCATGAAAACAAACAAATCATACACAATATTCTATAACTTGTTTTAAAGCTGCAATTTGTGACTTTAAGCTACCTGACCAAATTCACATAGAAGTGAGTTATAGATCTGCCATTCTCATTGAAAGCAACTCCAAGAAGTGGTAGATCTCTTCTATGTGTGCTATTTCTATGCGTCCTGTGCTTAAAATTCATTTTGTCTTTTACTTTCATTTTTGTACACCAGCTTCAAACACAATATTTTGGGTTATGGAAAATATATTTCACAGCGGTTGTTTTGTCACAAACTGAAATTAGACAAACTATTAGATTTTTAGCAAACAGGAAATGGCAGAGGGAGATTTCTGCATAGGGCTCTACTACTTCCAGAAAGCCCAAATTAAATCCACACAAAAAAATTATTTCACCATGATTCCTCTTCTGATAGGCCCTAGTCTATTTCAAATAGGCCTTGTAGGTCTTCTTGACTTTAGCCACTTCAGTCTCGTCTGGCTGTATGGTGTAGTACCACCGGTACCAAGGGGTCATGGTGGGGGGAGGAGGGGTCGAGCCCACCGCGTCATGGGAGTTGGAATAGTCCTCCCCTGAGAAGTCCACTTGAGGAACCTGGAAGGGTAGCAGCCCTGGAAATATGTACAATATGTACTGTAGAGAACTGCAGTTTCTGTTTTGGTGGCATTGTTGAAGCACTGCGCTGGTCAAAAAATTGTTGATTCTTCATTATTACTGTACTGCTCTAACATTCTGCTCCTTAGTCACAGAGGCTGAACTTACCATGGTCTCTTGCAGCACCAATCGCCTGATTGAGTAGTTTTTTCTGTTTCTGACACACTCCTGGATAAACATGTAGAATAACAATATAAATGTGGCACTTTGGTTACCTCAAACCTCACAAAAAGTGTTGGTCTTGAACCAGATGTTACTTTATGCAGAACTGTTTTCATCACTAAATCAACTATTGGCAGATTCTCAGATTCTTGGTTGTGTCAACTGTGTAAATTAATCATTCATCAAATCAAAGACAACTTATTTCGATGAAACCAGCAAGCATTTAGATAACACCTGCTGAATTCAGCATGGTTGATTCAGATTCATTCATAGAATTGTATACATATTACATAAATTGAACACATATCTTACCTGTCCGTGTTGGGTCATACAAAATCCTGTATATGGACTGATAAACTGTTGCAGCAGCTTCACATTCTGCAGGAAGACAATGGTCCATTGCTTTACAAACATAACATTGAATAGCTTGTTAAATCAACCTAACGAAATCAAAGGTAATGCCATCCAATTTTCAAATCAAAATGTATTTGCCACATGCACCGAATACAACAGGTGTAGACATTACAGTGAAATGCTTACTTACAAGCCCTTAACCAACAATGCATTTTATTTTATTTTTTAAGTAAAATAAAAAAAGTGTTAAGTGAAAAAATAAAAGCTAATAACTAAAGAGCAGCAGTAAAATTAAATAACAGTAGGGAGGCTATATACAGGGGGGGCTACCGGTGCAGAGTGAATGTACGTGGGCACCGGCTAGTCGAGGTAATTTAGGTAATATGTACATGTGGGTAGAGTTAAAGTGCTATGCATAAATAATAAACAGAGTAGCAGCAGCGTAAAAGAGGGGGATGGGTTTGGGGGGCAGTGCAAATAGTCGAGGTAGCCATGATTAGCTGTTCAGGAGTCTTATGGCTTGGGGGTAGAAGCTGTTGAGAAGCCTTTTGGACCTAGACTTGGCGCTCCGGTACCGCTTGCTGTGCGGTAGCAGAGAGAACAGTCTATGACTAGGGTGGCTGAAGTCTTTGACAATTTTCCATCTCTCATAATGATTGTGTGTGTATTCCATGAGTAAATGTGAGAGACCAAACCTGATAGTGGATGATGTTGGTGTCTTGACAAATTGGACAGGGGTTCCCACATATCTTGTCTCCTCTCTGAAGAAAACTAAACAGAAATAGTGATTAGAGGTTGCAGTCACATGTCTGTCCGGTGGAGAATATAATAATAATATGGAGTTACATAGCCTGATACAAAGCAGACAGCATCAAGGTAGACATCCTCTGATCATCTGTGCACTCCCCAAAGCCTAGGCAATAGCTCAGAGACCTGCCGTAAGTCTCCAGGTCTCAGGCAAGGTTACAGAACCACCTCTGTTACACCTACAATGCAGGTCTTGCGTGTCTTCTGAGGGGGAATCCCCCCTTTGTGGTTCCTCCTGTAGTCAGACCACACTGGACTGGTTCCATAGCGCTCTATGTACTCTAGAGATAGGAGAGGTAGACGGACACAAAGTAAATGGTCACAGATATGGATGGATTAACAGTAATTAATTACACTATTCCTGGACTTTTCCCAGCCAATTCCTGATTCTCCATTGAGCATGCTTTTTAGAGCAGGAACCAGGAGTAGGCTTAATCTGGGTCCGAGGAACCATCCCTTAGAAAAAACATCAGAGCGCATCGAGTAGACATTCAAGCTCTAATCTCCATTCTTCTCCAGGTAGTCCAATGGTCTGTCCTTGTAGTGGGCAAGAGCCTCCACTGCCTCAGCGGCACTACTGGGGATCTCAGGTGAGGTTGCAGTGCACAGAGAGGCTGGACTGCACACCTGGAAACCCATCCTGGGTCCAAAGCCTGACAGGCAACCTCTTTGGAAGCTAGAAACCAAACAAATACAGTGACTGTCAGTCAAGTCATCAAGTGTGAAACTTGCAAATACAGTGTACTGTACTGTACACACGACAATGATGCTGATACGTTTGCATAGACTATGGTTCTATGTGAAACATATTACTGGGGTTGCATTGGATATTGTACTTTGAAGATGCAATATGCACAATGCATAAAGTCAGGTACTGGTCTGTAGTTAGCTATGTAGCTATGTTGCTAGCTAGCTCTGTAACTTCGCTAGCTGTAGTTAGCTCGGTCATTGTTTCGTGATATGACTATCTATGTAACGTATTTGTATGTGTGCAGCAGACGTCATAGCTTTTGCTTATCTGACGCACTATAGAAAATAATTGTGAAATACCTTATTCTGCCGAATATTCTGTAAAAGTAAAGGGGACACACGGCATAAAATCCTTCCAATACTTAATATGAATGTTCCCATTATGCCTTTTACAACTGAGGGTTGAAAGGTTACAGGTGAAAAGGGAAGTCGCACATTATTTATTTTTGTGCATGGCCAAAGACGGTCCTTTTGGACTTCAATTCATTTATTTTATTAATTTTAGTTAATTATTAATTTCATCATTTTAAATTAAACGGCAAGGTTTTGATAGTGTCCGCGGGTGTGGCACGCAGCATGCTCGAGTGCATCGCAGCCATTTTGTAAAAATAGTACAATCGAATTTATACCCAAATGTGATATTATAACACAGTACAAGCACCATATTTTGTGAGTTAGCACTGATACTCATTTAAATTTGTTTAGATAAGGAACAATAGACTTGGGATGTGAGATACATTGAAAAGAGAACGTACAAAACTTGCAGCGCCATCTCTCTGTCCTTCATGGACAATGAAAGCACATATACAAAACACTGATGAAGGTCGTTCTACAACCACGCGTCACCAAAAACTCCATTTTGTCACCATGAAAACCCCAGAAAGTGCATGCGTGAACACGCGTACGACGTCAAAACGTCACATGGTATAAATACCAAGCCCCTCCCCTTCTAGCTCATTCCTGGATGTGTTCTGAGGTGAGTAACGTCAAAAGAAATGCTGCTATTTTTTTAAACAAAAACGACTGCGCAATTATGTATTTTAACCATAATCCATCATAAGAAAGCTCTTCTAAGATTCAGGTGTGTATGAACACACCGAAAAAATAAGTGAATGTATCTTAAATGTGTTTTTCGTTTTGTGTGCTCTTTTTTTTCTTCAGGTATTTAGTCTGAAGAGTGGCCGTCGAGGACTTTGAACATTTTACTCAAAAAAAACTTTTTTTTTTTTCAAGTAATGGACATTTGATTACTATTTTTGCCTCCAGTTTGTTCCAGAAGGAAAAAACTAGTTTTTAGCTGCCACAACCCCGCCCATAAACCAGTTTTTCCAGCCATAAGATTGTTAACGTTATAATAACATGACGGTTAACGATATAAAACTGATGTAACAAGAGATCTGTTGCTGTAAAGCACAATATACAGTAGTATAGCTACCCGAGACGCTGAAGTATTTATAGTAAGTGTTGATTTTCAAAGCATTCTGAACCAAAATTCATGAAATCATCAATTGTTTTGTCGTAGATTTAGGCTAATGTGAAGTCTGCTAGTTGGTCTCCGTACGTGGCTAGCTAGCTATTTGCAGTTCAAATGCAGCGAAAGCTAAGGATAGTTTATGAGCTCACACAGGAAAGTATGCAGAGTGGAAACGCTCCGTTTCTTTGTGTGTGAGACTGATACAAATAAACTAAACACATGTTTTAAGTTAATCATAAGCAATCTACTCATAAAGATTGCCGTAGGAAATATTTTTGCCTATGAATCTGGATGTTTTTTTTCTCTAAATAGGGAGAGGTTCTTGGAATTGACACCTACCGCAATCTATACATAAAGATTGCTTAGTTTGAAGATTACGGACTTCACTGGAAAAGTCGGTCATTTGTGGTAGTTTGCTACACCTGACATTGTATCGTCGATATCGTTATAGCAGGAAATACATTCCCCAGGTGTACGATATGTATACGGCAATCTGAGGATAAAGATTGCAGGATTGAAATACTCGGGGGGAAACGTTCATTCGAAATTTTGTACAAGGCAGAACGGTTTTGTCGGAATTACATCAAAATGGCGGGCTTGTTGTCGTTTTATCCTTTCAGAAGACGCAGCATTAATGGCTACAATGTTTTTCTGGAGTGACAGTCGGGTGTTGGCTTCCCTGAATAGCGGAATGACTTTCTTCTCGCAGTGTCCTTAACGCATGTGTAGCCGTTATAGCTAGATACCTTCCGTTGTTTTTTGTAGATAGTCAAATGATTCTCCGGCCGTGCTAATGTGATAGTAGGCTAACTGTGTTGTTGTGGCCGGGTTAGCTGGCATACATTGTTCTCGAGGCTGTGGCAGCCACGAAGCAGTTAACAAAAGAGGGCAGGGCCTAGGTTTATTTTCGGTGGATCACGGGTTAGTTTTTTCTCTCTTAACGGCACCCTCCCCTAGTCTGAACTCGGTCATTCAACGGGATCTTTATTCTAGTGGTATGGTAGGGCGTGCATTGCAATGACATGCAGTTTGTCATAAAGGGCTGCGTGAAATTTAATTATATAACCATCATTAACATGGTGCGTTTGAATGAAATGTATATACATAATTTGATTATCTACAGGCTTTCCCGCCTCTATTTTCTATTTGTAACTAGTCATTTATTTGAGTTAGATCTGCTTGGTGTAGGCTACAAACAGAAATAACATTAACCCCATAGGACAAATGTGTTTGATGTAATAATGACTGTCGACCAGGGATACGGTTGTTATGTAAACAAAAAATCACTTTGTATTGCCAGGGGTTTGAGCGATAGTGACAAAGTATTTGTTAAATTGTAGCTAAATGATAACAGGTGTTACTCTTTTCAACTGCATTGCTATTTATTTGAGTAAATGCACCAAAGCAATTATTTGTGTATGAATATTAATTTACTTGACTTTTCCCCCATTGAATTATTCTTTACTAGGCTGTCTTCTCAATAACTTCGTTCTATTGACTGTGTGCGTGTGTAACAGTTGTGACATTTTCAGGAGTTGTGTGTTGTGGAGTTCTGAGACTATATAAAACTTCTACTACAACAGTTAAACGGGTAAGACCAAACTGATTTCCTCACATCATGACATTTCAAAATGAAATACTTGGATATTATCCAAGTAATACTTGGATACAGTAATTAAAAGTATATGATAATGAACATAGTCATAACCATATTATAACGACCTTCAAATATTAACGTTATAAGCGTTCAGTTATGCACTGAACAATGAGAAAAATGCATACAGATAGCCTAAGTCCCGCCCCTACTGTAAGTGTTTATTATGATTTAAGCATAGTTTGAGCAAGGCTAAGCAAAAATTATAATTACATTTTACTGCAATGGTTTTATAGCTTAGTGGAGATTTGACTGCGTTTTATATGTAGAGGATCGATCCATCCATAGTCACTGTATCCTCAACTGAGGTTGGTCTACTAGTGTTCCCATTATATGGCACATTAATGACGTCGGTAGTTGTTTTAACAACGCACTTGTACTTGAGCCAATCTCCTGCTCAGGTTAACTATACGTTTCAAATATATTCATAGCCAAATTAAATTACTTTCGTTTAGTGAATTTGACGTTTTTTAAATATAGTGTATAAATTTGCTTTGATACATGTATTCATTAATTGGTACTTTGAAATGTGTGGATTTCTTTTGACTACATTAGCATTGACGTGTAGTGCTTGTACATTTCATACAATTTGTCATTCCTTGTACTAAACTATAGGTGGCAGTAAATGCTAAGAAACGTTTATCCAATACTCTTGGGGGGACCATTGAAGCAAGTGTTAGTCATGGATAATGCTTCAGATTAAATATTCCCTTTATTCTAATGTTAATATTAGGTAATTAACATACTGGTTCCACAGTAGTCCTATACACTTTAAGGGATGTATGTGTGAGATCAACCACTTACAATACCAATACTTACAATATCAATTCAAATAACTTTAATATTACTTTAAAATTATTATTTATACTTACAAACACACACAAAAATAGTTAAATATGTTCTTTAGATAACTGAAATTAATAGTACTATGCATTTGTCATAGAATAGGCTTCTTCTGTGCTCTGTTCAACCAACTGTGTTCCTTGGAGTTCCTGTGCCACCTGAGACTACTGGTAATATGACTGCACCCTTCTCTATCAGTGAAGGAGCTGGTCAGTCATTCCAACCACCAGTTTAGTGCACTGCAAGCCTGAAACTGAATATCGGTAGGCTTTCATTTTGAGGGCCGTGTCTGTGTGCCTCAGTGTTTAGCTTCCAATATGTGTGTATTATTAGTAGAGGGGGAAGCTACTCAAGGTATTTTTCACCCACACTCAACAAAGACTGTAGCATCCTCATCCATTACCAGGACAGCATCAGTAAAGTATTCTAGCTTCCACAGCTCTCATCACCTTTGACATTTCTATAAAAACATTTCTATAAAAATAAGTTGGAAAGTCAGTATTTTTTTTCTCTGAGACTAGAACAGTACAAATGGCAGGTTGACAAGGCTGCTGCTCAGCCCAAAGACTAACTTCCCCTCCACTGTAGTTTGTAGGTCTACTGGTTGTTTTGCTCATGTCCAAGCCTAATCACTCATCCGTTTTTATTTGCACTTACCATGAACTTGTTAAGGCTGTACATTTTATGAAGGCAATCATGAGTGGAAGGTTTTGTTGAAACTTGTTGTGTAATGTTTTAACAATCTGAATAAAGCATAGCTACTTGAATTTATTGCTCCGCCCTTGGGGGAAGTCCACATGAACCTACTCTAAACTACAGCCCAACCTGTCATTTTCTCATAATAATGTGCTGTGTTGAACTGACTCCTTGCATATTTCCTCCCTTTCTTTCTCTGTGTATTCTATTGAATTACTGACACAGAAAATGAACTAGCAGCATGACCTATAAGCAATCTTTGTATTAGGCTCTACCCTGCTGTCTTTGGGGAAGCCTACTGCAGATACTGTGAGAACAGGGACAGTAGGCTCTGTCTGTCATCCCCTCTTCTCCCTCAGCTAGGAGAATAACCCCATGGAACTGACAGATCCATCCCTCAGAGAAAATGAAATGCACATTTTTTAAAAGTATGAGCCAATATATCAGTCAATACATTTACATTTTCGTCATTTAGCAGACGCTCTTATCCAGAGCGACTTACAAATTGTTCACCATGGTACATCATTTGGAATACAAAGGCAGCACCTATGCTGAGGGTTTAGCTGGGAATGTCACTGCCCCCTTGTGTTGTCAGATTTCAGTGTGACTGAAGATCTAGCAATGTTGGTGTTTTGACGTAGGCCTCTGGGCCATTGTGGTGTTGCTCTCAGTTTTGTAGCTAGAAGGAAACAGTGTAAACTATGCAGTATGGATTTCAGCCTTGGTTGATCATGTAGTAGAGAGGATTTTGGAAATGTCTTATGGTCGTTGCTTTTTGCAGGATTTAGAGTTGAACGGATGGTGTCTGTTCCAAGGAGCACTCCCAAAACAAAGTCAAATCTGACATGCCTGGATGCAGTTCAGTGCAAACATCACTTGAGCGGCACATTGAAAGAGACTATAACGATGACTGTTTAGTAAGCGCCAGCGTTTATAAGATTTTATTTGACGATATCCTGTATGTTAAGTGTGTTTGTCTCTTCCTCCCTTAGAGCAGAGATGGCGGTGGGCCCGGTGGACCCCAGGGAGGTCCTGAAGGGAGTAGAGAACCTGCTGGGGAAAGATGGAGAGCTCCGCAGCCTGGAGGGAGTCCCCAAAGTTTTCAGGTAATTAACACACTGCCATATTTTAACTTTTATGATGTGCTTTTGAACTTGTATACATTTTTTTCCAGCTTTTAGTGTTTTTCATTAATTATTTTAAAAAATGTATTTTGAGTTGCCGGTGTAGACTGTAATGGTAGCATTGTAATGGTAGCATTATTTTGTTCTGACGGTTGGTTTTCTTCTTGGTCTTTTCTCCACAGTCTCATGAAGGGCTCTCACAAGATGGTGAGCAGGTGTATGTACCTGAATATCTTACTGCAGACCAAGTCCCATGACATTCTCAACCGGTAAGATCTACTTCCATCTTATGTCATTTATTGTTTAGTAACTTGTTTAGTAACTTCACTAGGGAGTTTTCTCTGCCACTGTGCTGCTGCTTGTTCTTTGGGGGGTTGGGGGTCTAGGCCGGATTACTGTAAAGCACTTTGTGACAAATGGCTTTGTAAAAATGGGCAATTTAGCTTCAATTTGATTGACTCTTCCATCACTTCATCCAGGTTTATCCGAGTGGGAGGCTACAAGCTGCTGAACGCGTGGCTGACCTACTCCAAGACTAGCAACAACACCCCCCTGTTACAGCTCATCCTGCTGACGCTGCAGAAACTGCCCCTCACTGTAGACCACCTGAAACAGAACAACACTGCCAAGCTGGTCAAGCAGCTCAGCAAGACTGGAGAGACTGAGGGTATGTTTTTAAACAACTTTCTTTTCCCTTGTGGTCCACCCTCTTCAATACACTGCTGACTAATAGACCTCTGTGAAGAAATACTTTAGCATTTTTATTTGTAAATTGTTTTATGACAGTGTCTGAAGTTGATGTGTAACTAATGTTGTCTCTCAGGGCTGAGGAAGCTGGCCACTGGGCTGGTGGATGGCTGGATGGCTACCATCCGCTCCCAGAGTGTCTCTGCCACCTCTCCTGCAGGTAACCACTACTTTCCTATCCCCCGTTCCCTCATGCTTTCCATCTTTCCCCTCTTTCTCATTTTTACTTTCTTCCTCTTTAACTCTCCGCTCCCCTGTAATCTCTTTGTTTACATAACACCCAGTCTATTTCTCTCTCAGATAAGAAGCGGAAGAAGGAGGAGGGGAGAGTGCCAGTCCGAGAGGTGAAGGCGGCTGATGTAGGGAAGGCAGCAGAGGAGGAGAAGAAGCGGGAGAAGCCCAAAGCTCACGCTCCCAGCCATGCTAAGATCCGCTCCATAGGTACACTACGCTTCCCGTCACCACCATATTGTCAAACTACATGCACACTCTGTCCTCACAGTTTTTCACAAAAAAGTTTAATTTACAAAAGATGATTCTGTGTATACGGTTATTGTCCTTCAATAGAAGACAGGCCACAGTAATATGCAAATGAGGAAAAGGTCATTGTGTTTCTGGCTGTAGGGATGAAGCTCCTGCTGTTCCTAAAGTGCTGGATGTAGGACTATATAATATCCTGATCTGACCCTGTCCTGTGTGTTGTCTTCCAGGCCTGGAGATGGATGCTCCCACCCCTGTCCCAGTCAAGAAGCCAACCGTGGCCCTCCAGCTGGGAGACAAGTACAACATCAAACCAGCCCTAGTCCTCAAGAGACCCAGGTAAACTACACTTACTTCAGACAGTAATAACAGCTTTGTTCGTATTGTGTATATGTGTTTCCCTTCTGCTGTTTACTGGGCAATAACAGGATAAATATTGCCTAACCACAGAATTTCACACTGCTCAGTGCTTCCCCCTAGGTGCTTAATGAGAGTACTGCCCAAACCCATCTTTGGCAAATGTATTTGCCATTTGTAATGAAGATATTGGAACTATTACTCACTGAACCTCTCCCATTTATCTCTCTCCACCAGTTTGGGTCCTCTGGGGTAAAACTTAACCTGTGTTTCTCTTGTCTTTCTCCCCACCAGTTTGGGTCCTCTGGACCCTCCCCCTGTGGAGAAGAAGTATAAACCTCTAAACACCACTCCTAACCAGACCAAGGAGATCAAGGTGAAGATCATCCCGGCACAACGTAAGACCTCAACAGAAATCGGTATGTACTATCTTTCTGACCCCTTCACTGCATGTACAGTAGTAGATTAGACCTAACCCCTCAACATGTAGATTAGACCTAACCCCTCAACATGTACAGTGGTGAAAAAAATTATTTAGTCAGCCACCAATTGTGCAAGTTCTCCCACTTAAAAAGATGAGAGGCCTGTAATTTTCATCATAGGTACACGTCAACTATGACAGACAAATTGAGAAAAAATTCCAGAAAATCACATTGTAGGATTTTTTATGAATTTATTTGCAAATTATGGTGGAAAATAAGTATTTGGTCACCTACAAACAAGCAAGATTTCTGGCTCTCACAGACCTGTAACTTCTCCTTTAAGAGGCTCCTCTGTCCTCCACTCGTTACCTGTATTAATGGCACCTGTTTGAACTTGTTATCAGTATAAAAGACACCTGTCCACAACCTCAAACAGTCACACTCCAAACTCCACTATGGCCAAGACCAAAGAGCTATCAAAGGACACCAGAAACAAAATTGTAGACCTGCACCAGGCTGGGAAGACTGAATCTGCAATAGGTAAGCAGCTTGGTTTGAAGAAATCAACTGTGGGAGCAATTATTAGGAAATGGAAGACATACAAGACCACTGATAATCTCCCTCGATCTGGGGCTCCACGCAAGATCTCACCCCGTGGGGTCAAAATTATCACAAGAACGGTGAGCAAAAATCCCAGAACCACACGGGGGGACCTAGTGAATGACCTGCAGAGAGCTGGGACCAAAGTAACAAAGCCTACCATCAGTAACACACTACGCCGCCAGGGACTCAAATCCTGCAGTGCCAGACGTGTCCCCCTGCTTAAGCCAGTACATGTCCAGGCCCGTCTGAAGTTTGCTAGAGTGCATTTGGATGATCCAGAAGAGGATTGGGAGAATGTCATATGGTCAGATGAAACCAAAATAGAACTTTTTGGTAAAAACTCAACTCGTCGTGTTTGGAGGACAAAGAATGCTGAGTTGCATCCAAAGAACACCATACCTACTGTGAAGCATGGGGGTGGAAACATCATGCTTTGGGGCTGTTTTTCTGCAAAGGGACCAGGACAACTGATCCGTGTAAAGGAAAGAATGAATGGGGCCATGTAGCGTGAGATTTTGAGTGAAAACCTCCTTCCATCAGCAAGGGCATTGAAGATGAAACGTGGCTGGGTCTTTCAGCATGACAATGATCCCAAACACACCGCCCGGGCAACGAAGGAGTGGCTTTGTAAGAAGCATTTCAAGGTCCTGGAGTGGCCTAGCCAGTCTCCAGATCTCAACCCCATAGAAAATCTTTGGAGGGAGTTGAAAGTCTGTGTTGCCCAGCGACAGCCCCAAAACATCACTGCTCTAGAGGAGATCTGCATGGAGGAATGGGCCAAAATACCAGCAACAGTGTGTGAAAACCTTGTGAAGACTTACAGAAAACGTTTGACCTGTGTCATTGCCAACAAAGGGTATTTAACAAAGTATTGAGAAACTTTTGTTATTGACCAAATACTTATTTTCCACCATAATTTGCAAATAAATTCATAAAAAATCCTACAATGTGATTTTCTGGATTTTTTTCCCTCATTTTGTCTGTCATAGTTGACGTGTACCTATGATGAAAATTACAGGCCTCTCTCATCTTTTTAAGTGGGAGAACTTGCACAATTGGTGGCTGACTAAATACTTTTTTCCCCCACTGTAGTAGATTAGACCTAACCCCGCAACATTTAGTAGATTAGGCTAGATCTAACCTCTTAACAAGGAGAATATATCAGGATTGAGGTCAATTCCTTCTCAATTCAGGGAGTTAAGGGAAATTCCAATTCCAAGTGTCTTCAGTACTTCTCTGAGAACATTTTGGAATTTGTTTACTTCCTGAGTTGATTGGATTGAAATGGAATTGACCTCCTCAACCCTGGTAGAGACCCACACACTGCTGTATATGTTCCCCTACTGGAAGGTCTTCAAGATTGAAACATTGCAATAAACTACAAGAGAGCATACCAACAGTTTCAGAGCATAAACAAACATTTGTTTCTTTCACATGTTGTTGTTTTGTACCCTACCCCTGAGAAAATAGTGTGGTGTGTAGTACACACTTTTAAACCAATCTCCCAATCAGGTAGCACTGCAGTATGTTGACTGTTAGTGACATCACTAAGGTACCCTCCTCTCTCTATGCAGCCCTTGAGGGTACAGGCTTCCTGGATGCCCTAAACTCCGCCCCCGTTTCTCTCATCAAGATCAAGAAGAAGAAAGGAAGGGAAGGGAGAGACCCCAAAGCTGTCTCTCCCACGTCAAACAAGGTAAACACATGCCTTCCTGACCAGACAGACAGCACAGACAACTACTGTCTCTGCTATTCTGACTCTACACCTAAATCGATGGGAAAGCTGTGCAAATGGAATTGAGTATTCACCCTTGTCTCTCTCTCTCTGCATCCCTCCTCCTCTCAGCCGTGTCCATTCGAGGGTAAACCCCACTATCCGTCACCCCAGGGCGGCGCCAAGCCCTTGTCCCCAGAGACCCAGGTGGCCTCCACCACCCCTCCCCACGAGGTCCCAGTAGACCTAGAGCAACCCGGCACGCCTGTGCCTGCCGACGACCCAGAGGCCATGGACACGAGCAGTGAGAAGCCCAGCGCCCTGGCTGAGCCCCGCGGCGAAGAGGAGGGTCAGCTGACCAAGAAGGGCAAGAAGAAGAAGAGCGTGCGCTGGGCCGAGGAGGAGCAGCTCAAAGAGTACTTCTACTTCGACCTGGACGAGACCGAGAGAGGTGAGAGAACAAAAACTAACGGTAACTTCAATTCAATTTCTTTGGTCGGTGTTGTGTTTAATTGCACGTCAAACTGTGGTTCTATAGTCAAACTAGATAGTTGTCAATACTGGCTAGCTAGTCAACAGCCCAATAAAGACATGCTCAATACTTTACTAAGTTCTGGTAAATGAGTCTTTTGGTAGCGATGTGATTCCCCCCCTGCTTTTCTGTCATTTATCTTCAATCCCTACTCAAAAGCCAGCTTTTTCTATCTTGTCGTAATCACATCCCTGTTGGGTGCCACAGCTAACCTTTTCCTTGTTCTCCACCTCTCTCCTTCCCTCTATCCCCCTCTCCAGTCAACGTCAACAAGGTCAAGGACTTTGGCGAGGCGGCGAAGCGCGAGATGATGATGGACCGCCACACGTTTGAGATGGCGAGGCGCCTGTCCCACGACTCCATGGAGGAGCGGGTCCCCTGGAGCCCCCCGAGGCCCCTGGCCCTCACCGGCCCCCTGGTCAACGCCGGGGCCAACAGCACAGAGAGACTCACACAGAGGGACCGCGAGACGGGCATCCTGCAGGAGATCTTCCTCACCAAAGAGAGGTACGGATTCACACAGAGAGAGAGTTTGTGAGAGAGAGGAAGAGAGAAGTATGGCTTAAAATGATATGGATTTCTATAGCCTAGTGGGTTACCAGGTGCTCAAAGTGCCTCACATTGTATTGGGGAAGCTCACCTTCTGTCTCTTCCTCAGTGTTCCTGACAGCCCCCATGAACCAGAGCCTGAGGCCTACGAACCCATGCCTCCACGCCTCATACCCCTGGACGAGGTGAGATATACAATTTTCTGTCAATCACTTTGATGCTGTTTGAAAGATGTTCAACTCCAATGAATGCACAAACAAAGGTTTTGAATATAAAATAGGAAGCATTACAAGTGTTATCAGTTTTGACTTTTACTCTTCAGAGTTTTGCATCTGAAATTGATACAAAATTCCTGTAATACATAGAAAACAACATTCAATGCTCCAAACATCCTCTGTGTCCAGTTCACTAACTCCCTCTTTTCTCCAGGACTCAACCATGATGGACGACAGCTACATGGAGCCCATGGACACGTCGTCCCAGCCTGGCTCTGCCGTGGGCCCCGGGGGGGTGGAGGGCTCCAAGCTGCCCCCCATCCTCGCCAACCTCATGGGCAACCTGGGGGCCAACAACCTGTTGGGCAACCTGGGTAACCTAGGCAACATTGCCCAGGGCACGCCTGGTGCCCCCGCTGCCCCCTCCGTCAACGTACAGGAGCTACTCACCTCCATCATGGTAAGCGATATAGAGATTTAAAAAATGTCAAAACATGAACTAATGCTGTTTTTGTAACCCCGCCATTATGTAATCTCATTGAGGAACTTTATGATTGGATGAATTCAATTATTAATGCGTTGTCTACCGTAACTGTTTTAAAACAGAACTTCTGGAACCCCTGGAGAAGCCCTGTAACCAGTGTATCTGTGATGTTTATTTTAGAGTGTGTTCATGATTTGGCTGAACCTCTCCCTCCCTCCCTGTCTCTCCTGTAGGGAGCTAGTGGTGGCCAGTCTACTGAGGACCTGATCAAGCAGCCAGACTTCTCTGAAAAGATCAAACAGCTGCTGGGCTCTCTACAGCAGACCCAGAACCAGGGCCCCCCCACCGGACCCCCGCCCGGAGGTACACACACCACCACACAAACCTTTAACACACACCTTTACAACACACACACACACACACACACTTACAACACACACACACACCACACTTTACATTCACATAACACACCACCTTTACCAACACCACACCTTACACACACACACCTTTACCACACGCACACACATTTACAACACATACACACACACACACACCTTTACAATACACACACACACACACACCTTTACAACACATACACACACACCACACACACCTTTACAACACATACACACACACACACACACCTTTACAACACATACACACACACACACAACCTTTACAACACATACACACACACACACACTTTTACAACACATACACACACACACACATTTACAACACACACACATTTACAACACATACACACACACGACACACACCTTTAAACAACATACACACACCACTTTTACAACACACCACACCAACACCTTAACAACACACTTTTAACCAACACACACACACCTTTACACACAACACACACACACACACCTTTACAACACACACACACACACTCACACCTTTACAACACACTCACACCTTTACAACACACACACACCTTTACAACACACACACCTTTAAAACACACACACACCTTTACAACACACCCTTCACCTCGCTCTTCAGTTCTAACACAAACCAAGTATTCTTCAATTTCCTCCTACTCTTAACTGTATATGACAATATGCATGCTAGGATGATTTTTAAAGTATGTCTTTCCTCCACAGTGAGCCAGGGCCTGTTGGGCCACGGTCCAGGCATGAACAACATGCCCAACATGAACAACATGGGCATGCCCATGAACGGAGTGGGGTACCCTCCTGCAGGCAAGCCCCCGGGCCCCGGAGGCCCCCACTACAACCACCCCCCGCCCCCGCCCCCACACAACCACGGACCCCCTGGCTTCAACGCCAATCCCCGCATGATGGGGCCCCCGCCGCCCCAGGGCCACGGAGGAGACAACAGCAACTACTGGGGGGACGACTCGATGAGGGGGGGGCCACACCGGGGCGGAGGGGGACACTTCCACCGCGGGGGCCGAGGGAGAGGAGGGGAACAGGTGGGCTTCAGAGGGAGAGGACGAGGTGGTCCTAGAGGAGGACACAACATGGGAGGTGAGTTGACTTAGAAAGGGAATGTTCCTTCAAGTAATTAGATTTCTATGTTAGAGACATATAGGGCCAGTCTGAAACGACACCCCGTATTGCCCATGTAGGACTCTGCCCCACAGTAGTCCAATAAAAGTAAGGACGAAGTTGTTTTCCGTTTGCCATCTTCTAGCCTTGATGCAGTCAGTACAGAAACGTTTGATTTGCCTGGCTAGTTGTGTACTAACTCTGTTGTTGTTTCTCTCTCTTTCTCTCTACTCTCCTCCTCCCAGACATGTCCAAGAGGCCAGTGTGTCGCCACTTCATGATGAAAGGAAACTGCCGTTACGAGAGCAACTGTGCTTTCTACCACCCCGGTGTCAACGGTCCTCCCCTGCCTCCCAACCACCCCGCCCACAACCAGTACAACGACCACGGTCCACAACATGGGCACTAGTCCGCCGACACACCTCGGACACTAAGACGTGACAATACCCTGATACTACCACTAGGTGGCAGAACTCTGAATTCATGAGCTGCTGGTTTGGTTTCACCGCTGGAACAGCGAGGACAGAGAGACAGACAGCCCACCAGGCTAGAAAGACATGGCGCGAGACAAGACCCATAGATAGTTGGATGTGACTGCCAATGTGTCCTGCTGCCTTAACAGCTGCTCCGGTCTGGTGATCTCTGTGATTTTTCTGCAGGTCTGTTGAAGAAGCAGTTCTCCTACTGTGTGACTGGGACTTTGATATGAAGGCTCACCAGTAGCAGAGGAAGATACTGAATGTAGAGGGCAGAATCAGACCTTTCTCTACTACTACCTCTTCCTCTCTCCCCACACCAACCCAAGATGTCCCCCAAGAAATCCTTTACTTTCTACATCCATTTTTGTTTGCCCTGCTCGCTCAAACGCCCTCAATCAGGGATTGAGGACATTGCTTGTACACAAGAATACACACGCTCATGCCCTGGCTTTGTAAAAGTATAGGTACTGCTATAGCTGTGAGATGATCATTAATATGTTTAAATAGATGTTTTATTGTGATCATATTTAACACAGTTGCTTCAGGTTGATGATGTACAGTAACCACCCACTATGACCACTATGACTATTATGGTTGCTGTCTGACACTCTCCCATATAGCCTATCAGCTAGCCCTGTCTAACGCACTAGTCTCCTACATCTTTGATACTTCAATCAGCACTGAGCTAAGAGATCAGCAATGAAGATAGAACATCAATAGAAACATCTCCAGGATCTCCCCAGTATTGAGCCAGACTTCTTTAAGCTAAATAATCCTTCCATCATTCTGCTCTGTAGTTGTGTAGCATCACCCTTGCCCTGGCTGTACCTATTGGACCGTGTTCCCCTGAGACAGGATCTTTAGCGAACCGTCAGCGCCAGAATGAGTATAAGCCCCGCCCTCCCTCCTGAATGACTGAATGTAGCACTGTGGTCCCCTGAGTTTTCAAACTGTAGTCAGAAAGACATGGCCAAATGACAATGTTCAGTACACCATTTTAAAACCTATTTACGGCCAAGTGGCATACAAGAAAGACATGCCACTTTTTCTACCGTAGGATTTCAACAGAAAACAAGATAATGAATGTGAAGTTGACCAAATCATTTGAATATTGTTTGCAAACTTCCCAATAGGCAACAGCGTTATCAGTTAGGAAGCACTTTAAAAGGAAAGATGAGGGCCAAATCCAAGTCGTTTTCACCAGGCATCCTGACTGACAGGACAGGACCTAACTGGTAACGTCTAATGTCGCTCCCGCCCTCTACGCTGCTTGTTCTATGTTCTACTATCTAGCTCCTGCTCTAGAAAGGCCTGCCTGAAACCATTCCCCTCAAGATCAAATGAATGAAACAGTATTGAGAAGAGAATGTTCAACTGAACCACTCCTAGATGAATGCCTACGCGCTGAACGAACGAACGCTGCCTGTAGGCTACGTGTTGCGTTTTCTACTTGTGGGTATTAGTGGTCTGCCTATCACAGGAGAGGAAACAACAGGAAAAAGCGTTGCTTGATTTGACTGAGCCTTTTACCAAGAATACATTATAGTGAATGAAGTTCAGGTCTAATGGAAGCCTCTGTGTGATTTTTATATTTCAACAACTGTATAACCTGTACCATCAACTTGTACCACCAGGAGTATCTCTCTTCCATGTGACAAAAATGATGGTCAAATGTCCCCCTGGATACCCTGTGGCAGACACACAGTCCCCTTACATAAGTGCTGCTTCTTCACACACACACACACACCTGTATTAGCTTGTATGGGCTTCAGTGTTCGGTCAGTGTTAAATGTCCAACGGGGTAAAACTAAGGAATCATTCTCTGGGTCAACTAATTCAAAGTGTTTTCTATGAAAACCGTGGCCTTAATGTCTCTTGTGGGACTATAATTATGTAAAATGTTGTTTTTGGTTGGATTTGTTGCGTTTTATTTTGATATGATATTTTGAGATGAGTTGGATCTCTCCAAAATGAGGTTGACGTTTTTGTTAGAAATTCTTGTATCCATGTGTTTGTGTAAATGCATACACACACTCATACATATTATCAGTATGAGTATTTTGTACATGTATTAATAAATGTCATAAAATGAAAGTTTCAGCATCTGTGCTGTTTGTTGTTACTTGGCTACCTTTTCGTTTTTTTACTTTAAGAAATCTACCAACGTCTTGGTTTTGTCCCCTTTGAGGGAGGGAATGGCCGGCAGGGATGTACCTCAGTTGGTAGAGCATGGCGTTTGCAACGCCAGGGTTGTGGGTTCGATTCCCACGGGGGGCCAGTATGAAAAAGAAAGAAATAATGTATGCACTCACTAACTGTAAGTCGCTCTGGATAAGAGCGTCTGCTAAATGACTAAAATGTAAATGTATGTCCTCGCTCAACTTTTCATTCAACTTTCTCACCCTGGACAGTTTATCTGGACATGATTCTACAGGACCTCCACCAGCCGAAAAAGCTAAGTAGCAACATTAACGCAATGCCATCTAATTGCAGTCGCTATAGATAATATGCCCTCTTTCTGGGACTCACCCACAAACAGGACCAAGCCTGGCCTGCTGAGGAGTGACGGACTCCATCCTAGCTTGAGGGGTGCTCTCATCTGATCTATCAACATAGACAGGGATCCTCTAGCTCCACAATGAGATGGCCTGCCCCCTGTCTGCCGCTAGCACAGTCAGTGTAGTCAGCTTAGTTTCTCCATTGAGACAGAGTCTGTGCCTCGATCTAGGTCGGGAAAATATAAACATGGCAGTGTTTGCCTTAACAATCTCACTGGAATAAAGACCTCCATCCCTGTCATTTTTTAAAGAGACTGTGATAATGCCTCAACTCAAAATAGGACTACCTAATGTTAGATCCCTTAATGTTAGATCCCTGTTCCAAAGCAGTCATAGTAAATTAACTAATCACTGATCATAACCTTGATGTGATTGGCCTGACTGAAAAATGGCTTAAGCCTGATGAATTTACTGAGTTAAATGAGACCTCTCCTCCAGGTTACACTAGTGACCATATCCCCTGCACATCCCGCAAAGGCGAAGTGTTTCTAACATTTTCATACTGCAAATGTAAATCTATAAAAATACAAAAACTGCCTTTTCTGAGTTTCTAGTCATGAAATCTATGCAGCCTACCCAAGCACTGTTATAGCTACTTTTACAAGCCTCCTGGGCCATATACAGCATTCCCTGAATTTCTATCGGACCTTGTAGTCATGGCAGAAAATATTATACATTTTGGTGACTTTATTCACATGGAGAAGTTCACAGACCCACTCCAAAAGGCTTTCTGAGCCATCATTGACTCAGTGGGTTTTGTCCAACATGTCTCTGGACCTACGCATTGCCACAGTCATACCCTGGATCTAGTTCTGTCCTGTGGAATAAATATTGTGGATCTAAATGTTTTTCCTCACAATCCTGGACTATTGGACCACCATTTTATTACGTTTGCAATTGCAACAAGTAATCTGCTCAGACCCCAACCAAGGATTATTGAAAGCCACGCTATAAATTCTCGGACAACCCAAAGTTTCCTAGATGCCCTTCCAGACTCCCTCCACCTACCAAAAATCAGTTAACCACCTAACTGAGGATCTAAATGGAACCTTGCATAATACCCTAGATGCAGTCGCACCTCAAAAACATTTGTCACAAGAAATTAGCTCCCTACCTAGCTCCCTACCCGAGCCCTGAAGCAAGCTTCCAGAAAATTGGAACGGAAATGGCGCTCCACCAAACTGGAAGTCTTCCGACTAGCTTGGAAAGACAGTACCGCGCAATATCGAAGAGCCCTCACTGCTGCTCGATCAGCATACTTTCCCAACCTGATTGAGGAGAATAAAAACAATCCAACATTTATTTTTGATACTGTCGCAAAGCTAACTAAAAAACAGCATTCCCCAAGAGAGGATGGCCTTCACTTCAGCCGTGATGAATTCTTTGACGAAAAGATCCTAATCATTACAAAGCAAATTACGGACTTCTAATTTCTCCAAAACTCAGTTGTCCTGAGTCTGCACAGAACTGCCAGGACCTAAAATCAATGGAGACACTCAAGTTTTTTAATCCTGTATCTCTCAAAACATTCATCGAAAAAATAGCCATGGCCTCTAAACCTTCCAGCTTCCTTCAAGACCCTATTCCAACTAAACTACTGAAAGAGCTACTTCCTGTGCTTGGCCCTCCTATGTTGAACATAATAAATGTCTCCCTATCCTCCGGATGTGTACCAAACTCACTAAAAGTGGCAGTAATAAAGCCTCTCATGAAAAAGCCAAACCTTGACCCAGATTATTATTTTTTAACTATCGGCCTACAGTGCCTTGCGAAAGTATTCACCCCCCTTGGCATTTTTCCTATTTTGTTGCCTTACAACCTGGAATTAAAATGGATTTTGGGGGGGTTTGTATCGTTTGATTTACACAACATGCCTACCACTTTGAAGATGCACAATATTTTTTATTGTGAAACAAACAAGAAATAAGAGAGAAAAAAACAGAAAACTTGAGCGTGCATAACTATTCACCCCCCAAAGTCAATACTTTGTAGAGCCACCTTTTGCAGCAATTACAGCTGCAAGTCTCTTGGGGTATGTCTCTATAAGCTTGGCACATCTAGCCACTGGGATCTTTGCCCATTCTTCAAGGCAAAACTGCTCCAGCTCCTTCAAGTTGGATGGGTTCCCCTGGTGTACAGCAATCTTTAAGTCATGCCACAGATTCTCAATTGGATTGAGGTCTGGGCTTTGACTAGGCCATTCCAATACTTTTAAATGTTTCCCCTTAAACCACTCAAGTGTCAAATCTCTGGAAGACTGAAACAGGTTTCCCTCAAGAATTTCCCTGTATTTAGCGGCATCCATCATTCCTTCAATTCTGACCAGTTTCCCAGTCCCTGCCGATGAAAAACATCCCCACAGCGTGATGCTG